CCCTGAGATTGAGTTTCACATTTTCATATCACAAAGATTCGTTCCCACGATCACGTTTATCGTACACCAGTGGCGTGGCGTGAATTGCGATATATCGATTGTTATGCCATTTAAACCTATGGTAAAGAATCGATTATTGAGGTGTTCGCTGCGGACACCCTGTTAATCGATCCTTTTCCATAGGTTTAAATGGTATAACAATCGATAGATCGCAAAGCACGCCACGCCACTGTCGTACACTTCAACTGAACTATAGACTATAGGTTTTTCGTGAGCGGGAAGTTTAATTTTATGCATAGGAAAAATGTAGGGGGCGGGCTGAGTATTGAAATTGATAAACAAAGCTACAGACAAAGAAGACATAGGGAGTATGGAGCGATCCTATTGGTTGAGGTGGCTTGTTCCTGTGGACCGAGGGAGAAAATGATGGACCAACTATAGGGTCTCTCGTGGGTTGCCCTCAGCTAATCTATTTCCCACCCCCTTTTTCTATTGCAACCACCTGTTTCCACCAATAGGATCCCTCCATATCACTTTTATTCTCTTTTTCTCTTTGTCTTTGGCTTTGTCTATCAGTTTCAATAATCAGGCCGCAGGAGAGAAATTTAGGAAATGTGAAATGCAGTTAGGTTGATTCCGGTGAGATCCGTTCAATTTATCTATGTCTTTTCTACAGTTAAAAGGAGCCCAATCTTATAGCAACACTTTACATGGCGCGCACATAGGGTTTTTAATTGTTATTTTTCATCTAATCTGTCATGCTACGGAAAAACGCTGCGAGAATATTTTTGATCGACGTTGTCAAATTTTTTCCGATAAAACACGAATTCTCTAGAAAACTTGTGGCTATTTTTCTTTGAATAATCAGAGGACAAGTTTTCTAATTTAATCTTGTTTGCGCGTGAATTTCAAGGAAAAATATTCATCATTTTCCTCAGAAAAACCGTCAGAAGAAATGTGGCAACACCAGAATACTCACATGACGCTCTTCCTTCAGCAAGGCAGTGTAATGGAATGTACGTTATGCTATCGGAATTCACGTACAGAATTCCCTCAGCAATGAAGGGGTCAGAGCCAGATAGCACAAGGGATAGGTATACACAAAAAACCCTGAACTTTCTGATTGGAAATTGCCACTTTCAGGGTGCATAATTGTAGGCATTAACAGCTCTTTCAGAGGGAGAAGCACTTTTTAAGTCTGGTTTCAGAGCTATGAGATCGCCACTTAGAAGTTTTGGTCATTAATTTCTGCCGTTCGGCGCACAATTTTGTTGGTGTCTATAAGGGAATTTTAAAATTGTATCAAATGCTACTACTACTAACAAGTCGCTCTTATAGCGCTTCTGAGCGCTCTGCGACACCCAACCGCCAATAACAATTAAAAACGAAATGCTTATGCAATGCTTTACTTGATGTAACTGTTTAACGCAGTAGGAAATCAATTTTTCGTCTTGAGCAACGGGAGTTGGAAAATTATGCCACGCCAGCTAATTTGCTACGAAACTAGCTTTCGTGCGATAAAAATTAAATGAAATGTCAGCAGTGCGCGGTACGTGGTTAAACCAACACGTGGCGGCACGCGATACGTAAGTCTAACGCGCGTTATATCTCGGCAAGTATCCTCTCTATTTTTATTTTTTTGATCCCACCTGAGAGCTGTGTTTAAAGTCAATGGATTCAGCCTATATTATGTTTTTATGTAATTCATAAAGTATATGAAGAAAATCCGAAACTTTCACATTCGCGAAAATTTTACTTTCGAGTAAATTACAATGAGATGAAGTGAAAAACTTGTTTGTGTTTCCAGTAGGTGTAGCGTTTTTTCATTATTAATTTGATACAAATGCCACAACCATTTTTGCGCGATGATAAACAAATCGATCCGTGAGTGCAATTTAAGGTAGTGCATTGACCTGCAGCTTCCACCGCACGGTAGATCGAGTCAATAAGAGAGGTCGGACAAAGTTTGGAAACTTTAAAAGCACATTACTTCATTTTTACAAAACTTTGAGGTTCTAAGAGTGGTTCCATTGTTTTACTGCGTAAAATTTCCTTCTACAGGCACCCTTTACAATTTAAAATGCGACGAAATAAACATCAAAATTTGCAGTTTTAGTCAAACATTTTACATCCGACCTCTCTAATTGATTCGATCCACTGTAAGCCGGTTGATGTCCTGCGGCACTTCACTGTAATGCTAGCCTGGCGTCCTCAGCACTTTCATTCGTATATGTTCGCCTTCACTAAGCACAGGTATGCAATTTCTCGACTTAGGAGCACGTTGATTCGTATCCTGTTTTGCTGCAATTTATATAGGTATACTTAGCGTTAAAGACGTCGCGCTGCGCGTCAACTTGACGTCCTTCATACGTTCATATGCTTGCCTTTACTGCTCGTAGGTAGGCAATTTCTTAACTTAGGATAGCGTTGAATTGTATCCTGTTTTGCCGTACTTTTTTCCATCATATTCATATACCTTGATCGTGATTGTTATGCGGCGCCTTGCCGCCTATCAGAAACAACGTATGTACCATTAGTTTCACTATGCACATAAGTGTTTTTCTAAGGATGAGTCAGAAATTGTATTTCCTAATTGCAAAATGTAGTATTTCTCTATTTTTCTTCAGAACGACCTCAATATCTTCTGTCAAATTAAAGTTAAAGAAACATTTTGAATCAGGAATTATTTTTCGAACCTCAAATGACATTTATAGATTAGTTTAAACATTACTTGAGCAATACATTTTAGCTGTAAAATTTTACTGCCGCGTCGCCGGTTATATTACTTAATTGAATATACATAGGGTCTTTTTTCAACCAGAAGGTAAAACGATACCAAGAGGCGAAAGAACCAATCTTAAGTTCTCCCAATTAAACACTTCGTCCATTTGGTTCAGAAGGTATAGACACTTGTCGGTTGAAACCCTTAGCTAACATTCCAGCGGCAGAAAGCGCATCATTTCCGAGAAATTCTGGTTAATTCGTTTAAAAATGTGAAATTGGCGTATAAACTCCACTTAACTATCGTGCTAAGGAAAAATGTTCGTACGGAAGTTCAGGCGTTGCCAAACTTCTTATTAAGACCGCGGTATTTTCGGAGAATTCGTGGCTGTTTTCCTCTGCATTTTTTAGAGAACATTTTCTTCAGTTTTTGTGGGTATATTTAAAAATTTCAAGGAAAACCACCCATAACTGCCCTCCAATGTGAAGAGTTTCTCAGAAGAAATTTGACAACATTCGACAGCTCTTACGGCATTCTTCCTTACAGCAAGGCAGAAAAGTCTGGAGTTCGGGTGTGTTTCTTCCGCCGCATCCATGATTGAGGAACTCAGGTCCGCGAATTTGGAGGCGGGCCAAGAGTGGCTCCTTTTTTCCGCTAAATAAAGAATTTTATCTCAACTTTGATAAATGAGTTCAGAACGGTTTAATACGGTATATAGGTCACAATGTGCATGACATTCTTGGACCTGAGCGCTCTCCCGTCGTCGCGTCTGGACGTCTGTGTAACGTATGTCCCGTTACCGCTGCGTCGTCGTCGCCCTTCACCATCACCCTCACCCCTCGCCCTCAGTCTGACTCGCCGTCCAATGCTCCCTCACTCCTTACGCCAAGAAACGAGCCCGTGAAACTCCCTTCGTCTTCCATTCGGGGGTCGAATCCTCGTCCCCTCACGAAAGGTCGTAACTACATTTCAATCTTGCCAAATTTTCCCGCACAACTTGCATTTTTACCAGTAAATCTCAGGCATTTCTAACTATAGGTTTAACCGATTTTTCATCTATTCTTATGCAAAAATCAGAAAAAAACCGAAGACAAAAGAATGGCTGCATCCTGGTAAAAAATTAAATTGTTCTCGGAGAAAAAAACTTCATGCATGGGACCCGAGGTTGAGCTCAAATGGATCTCTGAAGTTGCCTGATCACGCATCCGAAAACTTGAGGTCGAGCTGCCGAAGTTCGGGTCAGACATCGAGGCACTTCGGTATGTACCGGAGTACTTCAGATGTGTGACCCGAACCCTTCGGTATATATCGAAGTACTTCAGATGTCTAACCCGAACTTGGGCAGCTGGACCTCAAGTTTCCGTGATCCGTAAACTTCAGAGATCCACATGACCTCAACTTCGGGTCCCACGCGCGAAGTTTTTTTCTCCGTGTTTGAAGTCAATTTAGCAACCTCGGAATGGAGTTACGTTCCTTCGTCCAAGCGTTCGGAACGATGAAATGACTCGCAGGGCAAAGTATATATTTTATCATTCCGATATTTTGTTCCTGCCTCAAAATTTCACATGCAACACGATTTGCGCAGCGGAAATGATCGGAAGTAACTCTCAACCAACGTTTTTATTTGGCATTGGTTACAAAAATTGTGTTTCCCCATCCAACCCATCGATTCTTTACCATAGTTTTGAATGGGGAAATATCGATAATCGACAATTCACGCTTCGTCACTGGCACCCAGTGGTATCCTGTCATTCATGTGTTCTTATGGATACATTATTTCTTCTTATGTCCCTTCTCATGTGAGAATGTACATAGTTCCTTTTGATGTAAATACGTCCAAACATACCTTCGAACCAATGATAAAATACTCGACACTCGTGATATCCACCGCAAATTTCTTTCATTGATTAAAAGTCCACGCGGGTGTTTTCCCTCACTTATCAATGTTAACAGACCGTATTCGATAACGGTTCGATGTATCGTTTGGTTCAAAACGATAGAACATAACCTCAAACCAAACTGTAAGGATTTAAGTTGGAAAAGCTGAAAATGAGATATTTCCTGACAATTTCACTTTGAATTGGCATTTTGTACTCAAAAGAATAACAAATCTGTTACAAAAGACATGCTCTCTCAGATTTCTGAATTTACTTTTGAGGCTATGTTTATGTTTTGAACCAATCGATATCGATACAATCTCACCCGTTCGATGTATCGAATACGATCTACAACAACTCTTATTCGGACATTTTCAAACACTGTGCATTTCTTGTTCCAGGAAGACATGGTGTGCCTGTCCTGCACAGCCACCGGAGAACGTGTCTGTCTGGCCGCCGAAGGATTCGGTAACAGACACTGCTTTCTGGAAAATATTGCAGACAAGGTTTGTATCAATATTTGTCTAAGTATTATCATTCATAGGTAGTTTAAAAGCTAGAAGAGACACGCTACACTCTCCTCTTTTGAGTTAGGTATTGTCCAACACACTCTTACACTGCAAACAGCAACAGTAATAAGTTGCAACTACTGACCAAGAACTGCAATCCCTAATGACTGCAGATATAATCATTATTTAACCTTACTGTGATAAACATTCACATTATTTATATCAAGTATCGATAGATACACTTCATACTGAACTTGTAGAAGTTCAAGTTTTTCAAATTAAGTGGTTTTTACGTAAGCTGCAAGTTGTAAGGGTGCCGTTATTTACAAGCTCAGCCCTGGTAAAAGTTGGCAGTAGAATCGGTGTTCCATAATACCGCATAGACCTACAGCCGGCTGTAAGATTTCCAATAGCTTCTATAGCCGGCTACACAATTTCTTATAGCCTTTTATAGCCGATGGCGATTAAGCAACAGCCAGGCGATAAAGTGTATGCTAAACGTTACTAATTACGGATGCTAGGACTTAGTGAGTTTTTGGAATACTGCTCTCTTTTTGGGCCGTAGTATCTTGATTTATTTTGCGAGGAAAGGTCCGTACTTTTGATGGATGCCAGCCATTACTAATATATTAGAGCGCCTTCAGTTTCGTATGATACTGTGCAATACCTCTGGTGTGAAATAGTTGCTTCAAGCGCCGTGGCAGGCGGGCAGCCAGCGGGAAACGCGCATACTTCACGCGTTGCGCAATGCGTGAAGTATCCCTGTTAGGTTTGTAGGCGCCAGTGCGTCGCCGCTCCGCTTTGTGTTAGGCTCTAATATTTAATCTAGCGGAGTCAGCGTCATTCAACTCATGATTTTGAAATGTTTGCACATCCTGTATGGATTATTCTCATTTCAATTGATGAAAAAAAATATGTATTAAAGGAAAATATAATGTGTGTTTTGTAAATATTAAGGTGGTTCCGTATCAAACTTAATAATTTCCAAAGCACACAAATTTCTACACAATTTCTTATAGCCTTCTATAATCGATGGTGAAAAAGCAACAGCAGGGCGATAAAGTGTAAAGCCCGGCGATAGGAACTATAGCCCGGCTGCATAATTTTTTATCGCTTCGTATGGGCCGGCCATATGATTTTCTCCGCATTCTACAGCCAGCTATATGATTTTCTGTAGCCGGCTATAAGAATTCCTCTGGTATTTTGAAACGCAGCTCTTATCGCCAATGTTTACCAGGGGTGTAGAATGCCTTCTAACAAATAGACGTATTTCTGCTAACTGAACTAAGCGCCAATTTCAGTTCCTTCATTGAGGATTTTAGAATCTTGGATAGCGCACTCTGTCAAACGGAACTAACCGTAAGCGCCATGGAAAAGCATTGTGAGCTTAAGATGGAACGAGCTCCGTTGTCTGCTGCACTCGCTAGTCTAATCCGCATTCCCCCTCTTCCCTCTATGCCACTTAGTTCCATTTAACAGGAATACTCCAAATATGATCATCTAATATTAATTTGATTTGAAAATATTTCTCTTTGAAGAATGATACCAAGCATGTCACAGCATTGTCAAACTTAATGCAATGGACGTATTTGTGCTAAATAGAGCTATGTGCAAGTGGGAAGATAGGGTGTGCTTGTTAATGTTCGGGCCCTAAGAATGAATGAGAATTTAAAAGCGCCAGTGACGTCAGCGGTGAGGACCGGGCTCGACGACGCGCGACAGGAGCGACAACGACTAGGTCGTTAGTCTTAAACTCATGGGCCCTGTCCACAATGCTCTTGTCACATGCCCACGGCTCACGAGTTAGCGCCCAGTTCCTTTTGATTCAATGTCAAATACCGCTTTTCCGTTTTCTCAAAAGGAACTATATCCACTTTTACATTGTTTCTTGTCCAGCTCACCACGAGTACACTCCATCTTTCCACTTGCACATAGTTTCTTTTAGCATAAATACGTCCAAATGTGTATGGAACCTTGCCTTTAATATAATCATGAGCACCACAAAATAGGCCGCAGCAGCTACAGTTGGGCAGTTTTATTCTTTTAAATCGCTTTGTGGGACACATTTTCCGATGAGCGCATTTTATCAGGAAATATTGAATGGCAACAGAGGCCTGCAATTTTTCTCGTCCCCTCCCTCGTAGACACTTCTTTATACGCGTATATCCCCCGTAACTATAGTTACGTCATTTGGCTCCGGCAAAGAATAAGGAAGCCATCATGGACTGATTTCGAGCAAAAACCATTCAGCCGTGGTGCAACCAGATTCGATTGGCCTACGGACATTTTTAGATGAATCGTAGAGAAAGGGTCTTTGAAAAGTTGGAGATCATTGCTTACATTTAAACAGCATTAGGATTCTCATCAAAAAGTTTAGTTTTTCTAGAGGTGTTTGATGACAAGTCCAAGAACCTCCATCGATCTAACCCCAGTGGAACAATCTATGATAATTCGTGTACGTCGATGGTGAAACTACAAAAAATGCGTATATCGGTAGCGGTGTTTCGAAATTTCCGTTTTTATTTTGTTTTTAAAAGGAGATCGAACCAACATCATAACTTGACATTTTTACAGAATATTCTTTACACAAAGAAAAAAAATGACCGAAATTTTCAAGAAATGACGCTCAGTAGTTTTCCATGTAGAAAATGAAGTATGACAGGAAGTCTGCAATGCCACAGACCGAGATACGCATTTTTCCAGTTTCGCCGTCGACATGCAGGGTAATCCAAAAGTCCAAAGTAAATTTTTACCTAATTGCGGCAAAGATTTAAAACTTGGAGGATATTCCGTGGTCAAAAAGAGCTATTACCTGACACCCCTAAAATTTTCAAGAGGGCGACGGACCCAGTTTTTTGTCCAGAGTGGTGACCAGTTAAAAGTAAAAAAGACCGAAAATTGGTACCTTGATTTTTTGTCGATAGATTTGTCTGAGACTCGGCTTTTGGGGTTATTTTGCCACGATTAAAACGAATTTGACATTAAATTTAAGAGGGACCAAATTTTCTAAAATGGCGGCCGGGTCTAGTTCAAAATGGTCGAAAATTAGCTCTTTAGAAATCTAACTTCAAATTCGTTTTTCTTGTATCTGAATACCCCCGCCCCTCCCATCGATAAAAAAAGGGATTTTTTGCCATTTTGAACTTTAACCGACTGCCATTTTGGAACAGTTTCAGATAATGACTTTGGGCTAACGCAATTTTTTTCTATGGTTTCTCAAGCGAGGTGTCACAAACGGAATCTTTCCGCACGAAAAAAATTTCGGGTCCATCCCCCCCCCCCTAAGAAACCCCTCTGAAGAGTTTAAGGGGGCTACAAAGTAGCTACTTTTAACCTTGGAATGTCCTGCAAGTTTCAAATTTTGACTATTTGAGACCACCCTGTGTATATCAAACATTTCTTTTTCTTAGTGATTCGATGCCATACTGCTATGGAAGAACGCCGTGTGAGCTTTCAGGCGTTGCCAAATTTCCATTGATAAAACACGAATTTCCTGGTGAACTTATGAATATTTTCCTTCCAATTTCTCAGATAAGTTTGTTCGCAATTTCACTTCAACTTCCTGAAAATTTCGAAAAATATTCATAACTTTTCTGAAAACTAAACATTTTATCGAAGGAAATTTGGCAACCCTCAAATGTTCATACGGCGTTCTTCCTTAGCACGGCAGCATAGTTCAGAAGTTTCCAAATTAACAACCGCTACAACTTCAACCGGAATCACAGCACGATCAATCGCGATGATGGAATGGCTATGTGTGATCTTATTAATTACTTTTATCCCTTTTAAAAGCACAGTTTTTATGCATTGCCTATTACTCATACTCCCAACAATTTACTTTTAGAAGAAATGATAAAAACGACCATATAAGCAAGTGCTCTTCGCTACTCACACTGATCAATTATTGCTACTCAGAAATCAGGAGTACTTTTTACTACTTCAGCCATCGCGGTCTCACAATCAGTCACGTCCCTTGTCGCAACTTGTTACCCGGAAGCGTCAATTTAAAATTTCGCGGTAATTTTTGAAAGTTCAATGGATTCAGCGCTCTTTAAGCGACGCCTGATTGGTTAAAAAGAATTTACGAATTTGCAGCAGTGCCACTACTTGCTTCGTTTCCCCATCACCCGCCACCCTCTAACATGAAGGGAACGGTTCTCATTAAAGAATCAAATAGAGGCATTTACTTTTACTATAAAAATAGTCTGGAAATAAACGAAATATATATTTTTGTTTACCAACACCTGTTAAATCATGAAGTAGTCTTCATGTCTTCCCTGCATAATTTTCGTGAGAGTAGAACCAGACTATCCCTGTTTTAAATATTGGCAATACTTTCACTATGATAACAAAAAATTAACCTCAATCTGCACCTTACTCAAAATTTCGCGCCTTGCTTCTTTTTCACGACGTACAATTTTTGAAAGCAGTTTTTATCTTAGTTATGAAAAGAGAAAGTTTCCGCCGTAAAGTCAGAGAAAAATCTGCTTATCAAAGGCCCTCAAATCGTCGTCGCAAACACGTAGCACAGTGCCAATGCATAGAAACGCCAGGTAGTATTCTACCCCCTCGTTTATGGACATACTTCTCTGGCTTCTCAGAGTCCATAATTCACTTTAATCTCGCTTTTTCCCTCTCCTCGCTCTGTAGATTTTTCAGAAGGTATGAGACTAAGTATATTGATTTAGAGTCAACCTCATCAGTGCAACAAGTTGAGGTTTTTCAACAAGTGGTCTAAGTGAAGTTCAAACTACACAAATTGTCCCATGATCCAACGTTGATCTGTCTCTTTTGATAGTAGCTATTCATTCACACAGTGGAGTTATCGTCAAGTTCAAGTAATGTCGAACTGGCATTGGGTATATCGCATCTATTCGGTCCAAAATCTCGGCAGTTTTTTAACTTTTAGAGATTTTGAATTTTCAGACTTTTTAAAAGAAAGGACGATAGCCTCTGCATTTGAACCTAAAGAATCATTCTAAACCCAATAATCGGCATGATTTCAAGAAATAAAAGCAGTCCAGTGGTAAGAAAACACCTCATATTCGATACAGAAACCGATAGCTGAATCGAATGCGAGGTTTTTTTCATAACACTATTCTGCTTTCATTTCTCTGAATTATGCTGATTTTTGGGTTTAGAATGAAATGCAGAGACTATCGTACTTTTTTTGCTAAAAATTCAAAATCGGCTGAGATTTTGTACCTAATCGGTGCGATAAACCGCATGCCAGTTCGACGTCATTTGAGCTTGACGAATCACTGTAAGCAAATCGAACAAGAATAAACAAGCAACAGTAACCCTAATTACCAAGGAGTAAATATTATTTATTTCAAGCTGCGGAAAAGGAGAGAAGAAGCATAAAAATAGCTAGCGCATTGTTTTTTAGGAGCTCTGGGGAACAATTTCAAGGTTTAGCCATCGGAACCCAATACAATTAAATAAGATGGCAGAAATGAAATATTGACTCTCTACTTCAAAATAGAGATGATGATTAAAGATTTGTTGCTGTGTGTCCCTTGGCTCATTACAATCTCTTGAATTTTTATCGATCAATAATTGATTTTGGATTAAAGGAAAAACTTGTTCAAATAATGTGGACAAATTTTCAAAATCTTATTTCAATTCCTACTTTTTAAGTGGACAGTATTCTCAGAATCTGTAACCAACTTTTCATCATTGAAAGATCAAGTTTTTCAATTGCCAAGGAGCCAACTGTAGCTAATCTTGCATTTAAACCAGCAGGGATTAGGACTGCATTTTCCCCATATATTTTTGAATTTCTTGCCTGAAAAGTGAATCTTCGCCCAGTCACTTCAAGCTGTTACCTCTTACAAGAAGATTTTCATCCAACTAGGTACTTTTTAGAGCCAAAGGACTGACTCGAACACCTATTTTCAGCCTTTCTCAGGATTTTATATCAATTACAATGTAGGTAATTCTTATTGGAGAGTTTTAAAGATAATTGACCTGAGGAATTGCACTTGATGATTGACTTCCTCATAGTACCTATAGTATTTTCTTTTTGGTTTCTTTGAATGATTTTATTAATCATTCCATATCTAATTGAAGTACTTATATTCCATTTTTTGAAATGAAATAACAAAATACAAAGGAAACGTAGGTATTACAAGAGTGTATTTTTTTTTTTAATTGCTGCTATAATTTCCAAAAAAGCCATGGTATTTAACATGGGAAGTCAATAGGATATCTGATAGGGATTACAAAGATTTTTCAAGTTTGTACAAAAATTCCTTTAAATTATTGTGATAAGACAATCTATTCTTTCCAATATTAATCCCTCCATTACCTACCATTTATCCAATTATTATTATACCAAGTCATCCCACCAGTCACCTTTTGTTGATTGTCCTCTCAGTACCACAAATGTTAACTCTCTCTTTTTCTGTTTTTCCTTTTCAGAACATTCCTCCCGACTTATCACAATGCGTATTTGTTATCGAACAAGCACTTTCAGTCAGAGCATTACAAGAACTTGTCACAGCTGCCGGTTCTGAACAGGTAATTCTTGTTTTCTCTTCCTTGAATCGTCATTCCCCTCCTGCAGAAAAATAGCGGCCCAGTTTATGATTTAAGAGGTTGATTAGCTCCGCCTAGCCTAGGTCCTTTGAATGTGCCAACTCACCTGTATTTCAACCCTTTTACAATACCTAGGTAAAACCAGTCACTGACTCTGCCCCTTAGCCACTATTTTTCATAGTGTAAACTGTAAAAACATTGTTAGATTCTTTCAAAGATTTTTGCAGTTTCAAAAATATAAAAGACGGAGACAACAAGCAATCTAATATTCCAGATGAATATGAATATTTTAAAAAGGTACAAATGATGGAAAAGAGTATGGAAGAAAATCCATCATTTTCATGTGATACCTAAAATATGCATTGCAAGTATCATTCATTTTGCATAAAATTGTAATTAATGCTGAGTAAATTTTACTGGTTTAAAATAACTAAACAAACTTCATTTAAAATTATTGATGAGAAGCAAAGCTCTACCAGACGAGTGCATCTAAAGACGTTTAGAAATGTTTTTTATTTCCTTAAAGTTTAAAAGAACTATCTTAAGTATCAATTCTTGCAAATGAATTCCTTCTTCCTCTTTCCTTCACTTTACTTATCAACTGGAGTTTTCAATTAACCCAGCAGACAATTCTTCGTTTATTTCTGTTCTTGTTTCCCTATTTTTTCCCCCCAGCTATAGATGTTAAATTCAAATTTCAGACTGATACAACCATTGTTAGTCTTATATTAGTTACCTAACTTTTTATGGTAGGCCGTTATTTAGACTTTCCACCTGGCAACTCTCCAATAATTTCAATCTATTCAATGGTGAAGATTAAAGTTTCTTTGCAGGGAGAGTATTATCAACTCAATATTTTTAGTACCGGAAAACGGTGATGCTAACAAGTAGGTTGCACCATTCTTCCCCGTTCATCAAACCGCTCTGCTTTATTTTATGACTAATATAAAGAAACAAGATGGTGACAAAGTTCAAAAGTTAATGAAAAATCGTAATATCTCTTGTCAGAAACAAGTTCTAAACGAATTTGTTTTGATATTTTTGCTGAGACTTACTTTTTCAAGGGTATCGTGCATTCCATTAATAGTACAAATTTCTTTAGAGTGGGTTTGTTTAAATTGGTCCCTAATATCCTTATGAGAGTCCTAAAACTCTTGAACCAACTCAAGAAGCACTAAACCTGAGACGTTCACTGAAGACCATTTCATTAAAGTTTATCAAAGCAGAACTGACTTTCATTGTGCACAAGTAAACATTTCCATGTCGACATTTTCAAAGTGCTTGGCTAAAGTAATGATAAAGAACTTTAACTATGAAACCGGACATAATTTACATTTATGTAATAGTTGTTTTTTTACCTTTATCTTAGGGTCATCGTAGGGCCAAGAATAAAGTCATTCCTTTGAATTTATTCAAACCTGTAAGTCTGTTTGTAATTTTTTTTTGAGCATTTAAATGCCAAAGAATGCAGCAAGTCAACAAAATGCAACGAATGTAGAATGGTGACCTATATGCAAGGGAATGTACATTTCTTTCATTCAATCACACCGTTACTCATCATAATTAGATGGATAGTCTGAGGAATGGAACTTATTTCAGTCACTGACTTACAAATCAGCCATTTAACGAAGATTTTGCCTGAAAAGAATTTACCCAGTGGTCTGATATTTTTCTGCATGAGATCTTAAATGTTTGTAACGCCACTTTTTTTTGAAGTCATCAAAACATTGACCTCATTCTTATCCTAATTTCTATTTATTTTTTCTGATTTGTTCACAAAACTGCAATATCTGACAAGGAATTAGGTTGTAAATACATGCACGGGCCAAAACTAAAAAGACTTTCCCCCTTGCCCTCTAAAAGAAAATCCTTGAAAGTAATCAATTTACTTTTTTCATCTCTTTCTCCTTAATTCAATGTAAATAAAAACTAAAATCTTAAGTTTTTTCATTATGGTTTGAAAAAAAAGAAAAACTGTGCATCATTTTGACTGGGAACCACATTTGAGTTTACTTTACTTTTTTTTACAGGAACAGGAACCAATTGTAAGTATTTTTGATAAAAGTTTGGAAAAGAAGCAGAGTATTAGCATAAATAGAGTGTTTTTTGTGCCTCTGTCTAACTTGTCTGGTTTCGTCTATCTTTTTCTTTCCTCTCTGCTAGTGTATACTCAATGCAATTTTTCGAGTGCGGTTTCAAAGCTCATCTCTTTACTCTTCCTGAAAAAAAAGAATTATTTAGTTATTTTTCAGTAATATAGGTTGCTACACGTAATGCTGAATTTTTTTCTCATCAGATGAAGTATTTTACTTACCTAAAGCAACTTATTCTTTTTCAGGAGTATTGTTTTTTCACTGCATCAATTTTAGTATTGTCCTCTGGTTCTAATGCAAGCTCTTTGATAAGATTTTAAGATTATATGTATCCGTCTGAAGGAAAAGGGACTACAGTTCATGAAGCTAATTGATGCTAGAGCGTAGATAAGTGTGAATATTTTGGAATGATAAAATGTCAAGGGGAACCGATGTCATGACAGTTGAAAATTTGCACTGCAAAAAGCGTTGTTAAGAGGTTTCTTTAAAATTCTGGTCTATCTTTCGTTGGGTACTTACAATTTTGAAACAGTGCTAGACTGCAATGTTACTTTACAACATCAATTGATACATACATTGACTGAACCGCTCAAAACGTAGTCTTTTGAACATTATAGAGAGTTTTCCATGAAAATATTAAAATCCGATCTACCGACCCAAATATCAACAAAAATTGCTTGATTAAAAGTTCTGCCCTTCCGGACTCGGGTCCCTTTTCCCATGGATGGTTACAAATAGACGTATTTTTGCGAAAAGGAACTATGTCGCATGCAAAACTTATGCACATAGTTCTTTTTAGCATAAATATGTCCAAATAAGGAAGGCCGTTAATGAATTGCAACTTTGTTTGAAATATTTCCGCACTTAGCTCTATCAAGTAATTGAAGCTTTGTCATGTGCTCTATCAATATCATAGCTGCTTGGTAATTTGTCTCTCTTCTGTGTCCATTTAGAGTAATTCTACGCATATTCGTTGGTTTCAACATTTTAATATTAATAAACTCACAGTTATGTCATTATAAGAGTAAAATTGGCATTAGTCAAGAAACTTTATTGTTTATGCTCACAAGTACAGGAAATTGAAAGTGGCCCAAGAAAGATCTTAAACTTGGAGAATGAAGCTCTATCATTTAATTTTAATGCACATCATTGAGCTTGATCTGCAGTTTACACTTTTGAAATTGAAGAAGTAGACTGCTGAAAATGTCCAGATAACAGCTTTTAAATTCAGCAAACGTACTTTAATTCAAAAGTTGGCTGGAAGCTAACCCAAAGTCAAGGAGGTAGAGGGTATTAACTTTGAGATGCAAAAATTTCAGGGGAAGCTGTACTCATTCCTGTTTGACAGGGGTGTTAAGTATGTGTTCTGAGTTCAGCAAATACTTGTGTAAAATTTTTACAGCAATTTTTAGGAGGCTTAATCATCGAATTTTTTCACCTTCTTTTTTTATGTTGAGCAGTACATAAGATTTCCACTTCTAGTCAAAAGTTCATCATTTAGTTTAGGTATCACATAACAAAGTTATTAATGTAAATATCTCATCAACTTGGAGTTTAAACTAATTTGCTTTTTTTTTTTTGTTCGAATAAAAAATTGAATCATTCTCATCAGGTAACGGAAAAAGTACACATTAATCTGCAGATTGCTCTCCACCATTCTGGTGCTGTTTTGCACAATGTCCCAATCCTACTTCATAATGAGTGATTCTCGAATCCAAGGACTCTTTTGTTTTGTTTAATTTTCTGAAGCTAAGTACTTAAAACATTAACTTGAGTCTACATTAAAAAGTTCCAAGTATAAGAGTACAGATGAATTATGATGAGTATGTACAATGCACAATGTTTTTTTGTCACAGAACTACAAAGTAGGTGCAGCAGAAAGTGTAATCTGATTTGACTCTTATTATTTAACAGTAATTTTCCACATTTTTCTACACGCAATTGAAGCATTTGTAACTTTATCAGTGTAACGAAAATTACTAAGAGTAGCGACCAGATTTCAAGAATCCCTCAAGTTCACAAAGAATGCGTAATTATTCTCAAACTAATAATTTTTATGGTGAGGTATTCGATCACAATGTTAATCCTTGTCAGGTATTAAACAACTTCCCCTTTCTTTCTGAATTTGCACCTGTTTCGTCTTCTTTTAAATAGTTTATGGGCATCAATAATTTTCAGCTCTATACTCATTGGTAGAAAATTTTAGGCTCTAATCCTAACTATCACCCAATAATTGATTAAAAAAACTTATATTGTAGTGATGAAACCTGTGTTCACCATCCAAAGGGACAAACATTCTGTATGAGAGAAATTACATGTGTTGAATGCCAAAATCAAATCATGGTATTCTATTTAATCTCCAGCTTTCTTACAAAATATGTGGAATCGGCTCTCTCTTTAAGACACTTAATTACTTTGGTCATAGAAAGACCCTATAATTTTGGTTTTTTTTCTCCTCAGATAATGAATAAAAATAATGGATTTTAAACAAATTTGGCATATTTGAAATTCTAATATTTACAGAGCCCTTGCATGCTGTTTGCATTTTGATGTATGTGTAAAGTGCTCTTAAAAATCTTATCGGTCACTTCTCTTAAGTCAAAATACTTTTCAAAAACTTAGAAGAAAGGTCTTTATTATATTCAGTTGCCAGTTCTTCTGAAAAGTGATCTCTGTAATTAAGTGCCAGTGATCATTTAGCTCGTTCTAGAGTCAGGCCCTGACTTTTTAACATTTTTAGAAGCATATTTACAATATATTTAAAATTTACACTTCTCTTTCTAACTTGGAGTAAATACTTTCATCATAAGTCATAGTTCCATCTAAGTAATCAACATAATACTTGCTTCTCACTTTTAATTTTCAAAACTGAGAAAAAGTTGGGCCTTCCCAGTATGATAGACTCTGTTCTTTCAATTTTTATTCTTGGATTTTGGTATTACAGTTATTCGTTTTCTTACCAGAGACCTTTCGAGATGTTTACTCACTCATCTATAGGTTAAAATGGTCCAACTAACTCAATCTCAAGTTTAGTCTTTTTCTCAATTGCGTCACATGTTTGTCTAAGTTGAAATAATTTTTCGTTAAAAATTTTGTTTTTGTTTTTTTGTGTGCTTAAAGCACAAATGAAAATTTAAACTTTTACCAATCCACTTTTAATCCCTATGTATTATAAAAATGTCCTCCTCCCACTAATGTTAGATCTAGTATAGCTCTCTGTTGCCCAGAGGTAATATTTATGAGTGACTTTAATTCTTATTCTTTTATTCTTTGTTTTCAGGGCAAAGGAACTGGCTCTGGTCATCGAACTTTACTGTATGGAAATGCAATTCTGCTTCGACATCAAAATAGTGATATGGTAAATTAAATATTCTTTTAATTCAAGATAATTATTCCTAAAGTTTATTTCATTTCATAACCTTTTCTTGTCTGTCTTACTTACAATTAGACAGAGAGAAAAGGTCTAAAACAAGAAGCTCATGAACAATGGCATTGCACATAAAATGAATCGTAGATCTAACAATGCTCATGATGGATTCAGGCGCAATTTTCCAGTTTGTTTAACGGTTACAGCACTGTTATCAAGACTGAAAAACTTGTTACTTTTTATAAAAGTTAACTTTTAACCAAAAGTAGTAGGTTTAATTCTAGATTGGACCTGAAATCCACTTTGAGCATTGCAAGAGCTATGAGTTTTCTGTGTCTGTCAGGTTGAATTAGAAATAAATAGCTCAGTCTTCAACCATTTTAAAGTTCTTGTGACGATTTTTTGTGAAGTTTTTTTTCATTTTATTAATTTTTCGTTTATTTTTATTTTCTCCTTTAATTGCGGCATGGAGTTCATTTGTGACTGTCCATATGAAAAGAGACTTTGGTTCACAAAAATTCAAAATTGAATCACAACACCAGAGTGTAAAATAGTGTTCTGTGATCATTTTGAGACAAAGCACTGAAAATAGTTAAGCCAAACCGGAGTTATCACTGTCTTCAGTTCGAGGTTCAAAAAGTCAGTTATGAGAAAAAATTATCTACAATTCTAATCTGTCATTCTCAAGGTTCAAAATTGCTGCATCATGAATAATATAAAATTTACATAAAATGCATAAGCAAGCACAAGTTAAATTAAGTGTAAATGTAAGTTGATGCAATTATTACCCACAATGCTTGCAAATTATTTCATCGTAAAAAACTCTAATAAAGTTTTGCAACTTGTGAATTAGTTACTTAATAAATCATTAAAAAATTAAAACAGACATGTTTCAACCAAACTCACCAGAAAAGGTTATGGTAAATCTTTACTCAATCCACAGCACTACCTGGGTTCCAAAGGCTGTTTAGCTAGTTATCTTAGTAAGTATTCCCATTTAACTAATCCTGCAGTACTTTTGATACACAGGCATACAATACAGTTTTAACTGCTCACAAGGCTCACTGAATAAGACGATGGATAGGCACCTCTAATCACCTGCAGTACTAGAAAATTTGAAGGATTAGTGACAGTTACTTGGCTGAGCAAATTCAAAACATGCATACAAGCTATGAGTGCTACTTGTAAATCAAGTTGCAGCGCTTCCTGTAAATGCTAGTTTTTGCCCATCTCCCCAAGTTATTCCACCTGCAGCCGGATTGTTGAAACTTTAACTGGCTATGTCGGCACGATAAGACAAGACATAGCCCTATCTGCACCGTGTAATATATCAATTTTCGATTCTTGTTGTGCCGACATAAATTTCAACAATCAGGCTGCTGACCTGTCTTAAGTCAAGCTTTCTGCTTAGTCGTGATTGTCATACGTATTTCTCCATTTTGACAGGGTATATCTTGATATTTTTATCAGTCACCCAACTTCTCTAATCATTACCATAAAATCATACCATTATAAAAAATGCAATTACTTATTTCTGCTTGACTTATAAATGTATGCATTGAATTTGTGTAGTTTTTCTCAGTCTGATTGTCTGTTTGTTTACAGTATCTCGCCTGTCTTTCAACTAGCTCTTCTAATGACAAACTCTCATTTGATGTTGGTTTGCAAGAACATTCACAAGGTACGTTAATACTTTTCTCCTTTTGCTCTTTTTTATCTCTTGAAAATAGAAATAATACTAAATAATACTTAATAATACTAGTAATTAAAAATGTTTTCTTGTTTCTGTTTCCCCATCATGAATTTAACTATCAGTTTCCATTACCTCTTTGCTAATTACCAAAATAATCATAATTTATCTAAAATCTATAATATATGTAGAGCATTAAAACAAATTATTTTCTTGTTTGCAATGCCCAGCTTTACAATTTTATTTTGATATTTTGGTACCTTTCTGTTGTCAGGTGAAGCGTGTTGGTGGACAGTTCATCCTGCTTCAAAACAAAGATCTGAAGGAGAGAAAGTGAGAGTTGGAGATGACTTAATTCTAGTATCTGTAGCAACTGAACGTTATCTGGTATGTGCCGTATTTCTGCAGTTTCATGTAGTTTTTTTTCTTCTTTCAGAGCATGACATCTTTCTGAGAATCTGTCTCTTGTTTACAAAGGTGCCTCATAGCACTTTTGAAAAAAACTGTGAATCCTTAAAACTTTTTGGCCTTATCTCCATAGGACGTTTCATGGGATTTGTCCCGAGGTCGAATTGCAGGAATGAAACTTCTGGGCTTTTTCCCTGTTAAACAAAACTACAAAATTTCTTCTTCTTCTTTCCGAGTTGCTCTAAAGACTCTGCAAAGACTCTGCTTGGTACTGTGATTAGCATTGACTCATTCAATTTTTTTTGCAACTTCGTAAGTGAGATTTTTCTAGGGGACAAATCCCATGAAACGTACCGTTGGAGACAAGGCCTCATAATCATCATGAAATGAAGACATTTTGCATACAAAGCTGTTCAAATTTCTTGATTATGATAAGTTTTTCACAAACAAGAGCTATTGAGCTTTCATTAATTTTTTCATAGTTTTTTCATTTTAGCCTTTAGTTGAATCAGGTCATGCGAAAAGCATTAATGCCCTTTTTTCTAATTTTGAGTTTTTTTGAGTTTGTATGCGGTACTTTCCAAAGTTACGTACAACCATAAATATTGTGAAAAGACTCATTTCAAGGCACTTTGACTCTAAAAGGGGTCTTTAAACAGCTTTTATGATTGCATCGATTCTTGGAAAGCATTATTAACACAAAAAACTGAAAATTGGAAAAATGGACAACATCGGCTTTTAAATGACCCGTTTTTATCTTATATATTCATATACATATATTTTAATCTTATATCATAACATTATATTCTAAAATGAGCGATGCAATTAAAGAGTTTTTTGTCTTGATCATGCATTATTTTTTTATGAAGACAATTATCATGAGCCTGTAATTGCAATTTTAAAACTTGAGTATCAGCAACTTCCAGGATCTTCATTTTCAGGATCTCTCAGGATTCAGTTGAACACAGAAACCTAATTGTATGAGGCAATCTTAAAATTTCTAACTGGATATAAACTAAGCAGCAGAAAAAAAGGTCTTTCTAGAGCGCTACCTCTATTTTTATAAGACTAATTTTACACCATGTCCTTCAATTAAATGAGTGTTCAAACTTTTACAGCATACAGCAAAAGAAAATGATCTGTCTGTCGTAAATGCATCCTTCCATGTTACGCATTGGTCTGTACAACCCTATGGAACCGGAATTAGTAGGATGAAATATGTAGGTGAGTGGTACCTCATTTTTTCGCAAGAACGTTGGTTTGTTTATTTGTTTTTTTTTTTTCTCTCTCTTTATCATTGTCACAGTCACTGTCCATAGGAAATATTTTTTCGAGTTTCATTTGTTTCCTTTTCTGTCTAGGTTACGTCTTTGGGGGTGACGTCTTAAGGTTTTTTCATGGTGGTGATGAATGTTTAACAATTCCATCAAATTGGACGGAAACAACTGGTCAAAAGTAAGTAAATTAAGTTGAAACTGACTGGATCGACTCTCTCCTTCAATCAAAACCTGACAATAATTTGAGTTGAAATTATTTACCTTCTCTCACGATAATAACTCTGATAGGAGAATCGCTTTTTTCCCAAAAACATCATGGAAGAAAGAAGGATTCTTTTAAAGCAGACTTGTTAAACACACTTTCAGTTCTCTAACAATTTAAAGTTTTGGACAGATTACTGGGTTTCTGAGGAACTTGATTCTATTAAAATATAGCTCCTCTTTCACTCTTTGTTTAAAAAAGTCCTATTTTATCCTCTCTTCTTATCAAGAAAAAACAATTGGTAAATACAAACTGACGATACAAACAACGGTAGTTAGTAATTGGTGAACACTTGGTAAATAGAACTTAGCGGCTTCCTTTTATCTTTCTCAGGAGTCATAGATTTTGAAAATTGATTGAAGAGTTCGCGAGAGAATTCATTTTTCCCCTAACTGTTCCTGTATGTGTGACTGACAAATTCATCATCCTTTTCCACCTACCACTAAAAAGTTAATACTAGTGAATAAATGAGTGAAATAATTTACTAAGTAAGAGAAACTTCCGATTTACATTCAATAGCTCAAACTGGTTTTAAAAATCAGAGAGTGTGAAGTGCCCTTCTATTCTCAAAATTGCTGCTTTCTTTACAGTATTACAGGAAAAGAATGTTACTTACTCAAGTTTTTTTCACTAATTTTAGTTCCCTTTATCAACTTTGTTCTCTTTTTTTCTTTTATAGTTTGCTGTACGCCAAATTTTTTTGGTACCAAGTACCAAGTGAATTCTGAATTGGTCTCTTATAAATTGAATATGGTCGATCTCATTATCCGTAACTCTCCTCTTTTTACTCCTTGTTCCTCTCACTTGTGATTTTAAAATACTATCTAATTCGATTGTGTGTGCGATTTTAATTTCTATTCTCCCCCCTAATTTTCTCTCTCCTTTTTGCAGCATTGTGATTTATGAAGGAGGTAGTGTAATGTCTCAAGCACGATCCTTGTGGAGGCTAGAACTGGCTCGAACCAAGTGGGCAGGAGCATTCATCAATTGGTACCATCCAATGAGAATAAGGCATCTCACCACTGGCCGCTATTTAAGTGTGAATGAAAATAATGAATTGCATTTAGTCGGAAGGTAAAAAGTACATTCATAAATAATTTTTTGGTAAATAACCAAGATTTTTGTAGGTTTTATTCTTTCTTTATGACAAAAATTTTTTTCATACCTAATCACTTGATCAACGAGGTGACGAAGTTTCGAAAAATCGTAGAAACCTGGAAAAGGCAGGAAGTTTTACTGAACCATAGAAAGCACAACTTTTTACTGATACGTGTTAAATTTTCACATTGTGTCAAAACTTTTAAACACCTCTGTGGGGGAGCTCATACGTTTTATGAGCAGAGGTCAAACTTCTCGCTGAATTTTTTAAGGAAAGCATTTTCGTGTCCAACACCCTTCGAAAATCTAGGTAGAGTCAATCTCTGAAAATTTGGCACTTGCGATCAATTATTTAAAAACCCTAAAAGCTGTTACTTAATTCTTGAACTTTTTATATAAGAAAACTCACGCTTCCTCTGTGTGCTTCTGTCAAGACGTCGGATTGTCAGATGAACAAGGCACTACTGCATGAAATTCTCATTCCTTCATTTTCTATGTTTGTAGAGATGAAGCTACAACAGCGACATCAACATTCTGCTTACGCCAAGAAAAAGATGATCAGAAAGTAGTTTTGGAAGATAAAGACCTAGAAGTAATTGGAGCACCCATCATCAAATATGGTGACAGTACTGTTCTTGTGCAACACTCTGAGACAGGACTATGGCTTACTTACAAGGTAGTATATGAGTTGCTTTTCTGTGTCTGCCATCTTCTCAACGTATTCAGTAACAACGTTTTTTACCCCTGTCATCTATGATAGCTCTCTTAATTTTTAACATTACTTTGAGTATTTTGCATCCTACTCATAAAACGATTAGTCAATCTGAAGTCAGAGCATCACAATTTCACAAAGTAGCTTAGAAATATGTTTCGAATCTCAATCAGTAATCTTCCAAACCATTATGTAAGTGAAAAACTAGATTTTTATTTGCAGATATGTCAGGTGCCTGGTGACATTCGTCCCTTTGAATTTTTACTGAAAATGTATTCTTTCGCCAATGAGTCAAATTTTTGAGGTGTTTTAGTTGGTTCGAGTGTTTCATAACTTCAGCTCTTTAAAATTTTCAAATCAAAGATTTCCTCCAAAGCATATCGACGGTGCAAGTCGGCAATCACATGACTCGGTTTGTGACGTTGTAGACTTCCTGTCATACTTTATTTTTTAAACGAAAACCACACAACAGCAATTCTTTAAAACTGCCGTGATTTTGCTTCTCTGTGCGAAGAAAATTCTGCACAAACTTCAAGGAATGATGTCAATTTGTTTTCCTTTAAAAAATAACATATAGGTGGAGATTTTCAGACACTGCAAACGAGAGGTGTGATTGCGGACTTATGACGTCGATATATCTTACTAATACATGTATAATTTTCTTGTTTTAGTCATATGAAACAAAAAAAAAAGGAGTTGGCAAGGTAGAGGAAAAGCAAGCTGTCTTGCACGAAGAAGGAAAAATGGATGACGGATTAGACTTTAGTAGAAGCCAAGAAGAAGAATCCCGAACAGCTAGAGTTATTAGAAAATGCTCTCATCTTTTTACCCAATTTATCAAGTAAGTGACATTGTTACAAGTGTTCCATTTAAGTCCATCTGAGATAATTATTTTCCCTGAAATTTGGGTTTATTTCTTCTAGGTCGTTTAAGAGCATCAGAGGAAATTTTAAGCTGGTCTTAATTAATTTGAGAAACTTAGGGGTATGATGATCTCTCTACACTTGATATGTGGCTTACCTTGAATGAAAGATTCAGTAAAAAAACTGTAACATTGTTTCGTCTAAGTTTTTTTATGTGACATAATCGATTTTTAAACTCGACCAAAATTCAGAAATTTTCAAACCACTGCATTTTATTGATTCACTTATATTTTTAACTTCATGACATGATAGAAAAAGAATCGTTATGTGTATCCGTGTTTCCTCCCAATTGCCTGAATGATCAAGTTCAAGCTACTTATGCATTGTAGTAGTTATTAAGTAATTAATGTCCATGTATTTTTAACTTGATCATTTAGGCAATCAGGAGGGAATATATATATACATATACACACACAATATATATTACATAATTATATACCCTGATTAAAGAACCAAACCTTAAGTCTGATTTCTCCCTGCCTGATCACTCTGAAAATGTTCAAAAGGTCAAAAAAACTTGAATTATGGAAATGGCCATTTCGATGGCAGCATCATCGTCAGATCATCAGATGTAAAACAAAGGATTAAACTAACCTCATGATGATATGAATATGATATAAAATAAAACGAAATGAGAATATAAACTGGAATGAAACAGGAAACGGAATAAGAACTAAACAAACGAAACCAAAAAAAACCTGTTAATCTCTCCCCCCTCAGTCTTGTACTGATACTCATTAGAGCTAAAATTTTTGACTCCCGATCAAAATTTTCCGACTTTCTAGGCCTTGCTTTTCCCACCAACATTTTCGGAGTCATTAGGCAGGAAATACTCAGCCTTGAATACTATGCGTGTTGATAAAGAAAAGAAAAACAAATGTAAACCCTTTTCTTCAACATGAGAAACATTTCTTGAAAAAGCTTTTCTATGGCTAATTCGTTTTAGGCATCATGTCAGATCTATAGAATCACAAATGTGTATTATTAATAATTTATGTTATGTGAAAGATCTTAGCCACAGCGGCTTTACTAATGCGTTTTGCATGCAAGCGTCAACTTTTTCTGAATGATGCTACATATTTAACTTATGAGTGAAATATGTTTAGGCATTTAATATATACTTTCAGCATTTCTGAATTTTTCATTTTTTAGAGGACTAGAAACGCTCCAGTCCAACAGGCGACAATCAGTATTTACATCGTCAGTAAACTTAAACGAAATGGTCATGTGTCTAGAAGATTTAATCAACTATTTTGCTCAGCCTGAAGAAGACATGGAACATGAAGAGAAACAAAATAAGTTACGAGCCCTAAGGAATCGGCAAGATTTGTTCCAAGAAGAAGGCATTCTCAATCTTATTCTAGAGGCCATTGACAAGATCAATGTCATAACCTCCCAAGGTCTAATGGTAAGTACATAGTGCGTCTTATTTATTTAACCTTAAATGCATTTTCTTCAATGGTTTGTAAGGTTTAATTTGAAGACAATTGGCTCAATATCATCTCTAAAGTTTTCTACTCAAAATGAGTATCATCTGTTGAAATTAGAACTGCTAGAAAAAATAAAATCATTTGACTGGTAGTCTAAATTTTAAAATTGTCAAGAAATCAGTTGGATGTTTTAAATCAAATGCATTCGCAGAATAAAAAAAAAAATCTAAGGGAGAAATCTGAACAATTTAAAAGCTACTTAAGCAGAAAAAACACTTAACTTATGACCTGGGTATTTCTAAAACAGAATTTAAAAATGGTTATTGGTCTGCATTATTTTGAAGGGAGACAAAGCCGAAAAAAATTTAAAATTAAATGAGAGTAATCAAGCTGAAGCTATAATCTATATAAGAGAGGGGAGAGAGTTCAAGGCAAGCACATCCAAATGCATGGCTAGGGTGCCATAGACAGATTGCCACCAGTTTTACTCTTGTTTGAGCTCATCAGGCGGCCACAATCTGATAGATATGCCATTAATGGTTCAAAAATTTACCGGATGCAATTAAAACATACTGACAAAAATTCATATTTTTGTGGTAATTGAACTCAAAACGACCCATTATACAAACCTTTTGAAGCCTCCTAAGCCTATCAGATTAGCCCGATCTATGATTTATTCAGTTCAATTTGTCTGTATCATTTACCTTCACAAGGTGATATTTTTAAAGGATGTAAAGTTTGTGAATCTGAGTTATGAAGATGTCTATTATTTCAGGTAAATCTTGGAGGAGATGAATCCGGCCAATGTTGGGAGGTCATCTCTGGTTACTTGTATCAACTTCTTGCAGCAATCATCCGAGGCAACCATACGAACTGTGCCCAGTTTGCCAATTCAAACCGTCTAAATTGGCTTTTCAGTCGGCTTGGTTCACAAGCCTCCAGCGAAGGAACAGGAATGTTAGATGTACTCCACTGTGTTTTAATCGACTCACCCGAAGCCCTCAATATGATGCGCGATGAACATATCAAAGTCATCATTTCTCTACTAGAAAAGCATGGTCGGGACCCAAAAGTTCTAGATGTCCTATGCTCTCTTTGTGTCGGTAATGGAGTTGCAGTTAGGAGCTCTCAGAATAATATATGTGACTTTTTGCTGCCTGGGAAAAATCTTCTCCTTCAAACGCAACTGGTGGATCATGTGGCAAGCGTTCGTCCGAATATATTCGTTGGAAGAGTTGAGGGCTCAGCAGTCTATCAGAAGTGGTATTTTGAGGTAACTTATCCTCTACTCAATTTGAATCGGCCATAATTTTATTTGTTTAACAATCATATCATGGTTTGCATTCCAATTTTTTCTGTGTAACAGGAACAGTGATGAAATCTCACTGTCAGTGGTCAGTTTTCAAAGAATCTCCGTGAGAAATATATCTCTTAGAAAGGTAGACAGCATCGAAATGCTTGATCATTCAGTACATTGTATAGAAACACCTCTTTGTCATTCAACTCATAGCAAAAAATTTTTATTTTGTTTTAATTAATATATTAAATAGTATCTCCTTACATTGTATCTTGCGGTTCAATATATTTTATTTAAATTTGGGCACTGAAAGTGTTTTTTTGGTGCAAACTTTTCAGTATAGTTCTTAGATAGAATCGCAAAAATTAATTATGTTTAAAAAGAAAATTTAGTATTTACTATCATTGTTGAAGATTACAGAATCAGAAATAAATAAATTCATTAGATATTTAATTTGGTAACGTTTTAGCACAAATTCCGATTTGCTGCGGAGAGAAGAAATACAGAACTACTAAAATAATGGGAAGTATTCAATTCTTATGCAAATATTCGAATGTACCACTACTTGTTCGAATAAGTCCGAAAATTCGAGGTTTTCAAGTTCGAGTTGGAATCTAATATCAATAAAAAATATTTGAACTCGAATATTTGCCGAACCCAACTTTTTGTAAATGTGAAAATATAGTTTGGTTCAAGGAAAGGACAGCTTTCCCTCTCAAATGGAAAATGAGATACTGTTTTAATTCCAATGTATGTCTATTACTCAATGTTTGAAACTTTCAATGCTTGTGTATTTGCCTAAAAGTCGTAAATTTTTGTTAATTGAGCTTTTGATGGTTCCTAATGTAGGTTACATTGGACCACATAGAGAAGACAACGCATATGACTCCTCACCTTCGAATAGGTTGGGCAAACACTGCTGGATATGTACCATACCCTGGAGGAGGTGAAAAATGGGGTGGAAATGGAGTGGGCGATGATCTTTATTCGTTTGGTTATGATGGAGCTAATCTATGGACAGGTGGAAAATTTACAAATGTGGCAGAGGCAGCAGAGCCATTTATCAAGAAAGGGGATGTAATCGGTTGCGCATTAGACTTAACAATTCCTGTTATCACCTTTAGTTTCAATGGTCAGCCAGTTCAAGGACACTTCAGAGATTTCAACTTGGATGGAATGTTCTTTCCTGTCATCAGTTGCTCTTCCAAATTAAGGTAACTTCATCCTTTCTCTGACGCTCCCTCTTTTCACAATGTGTCTTTTAATTAGATCCAATATCTTTTTGTGATAAAAAATTTCCCTTAGTCAGTGTATAGGTCGAGCATATCGTGGTAAAATAGTAAGAATGAAATTTACTGAACCTGAAATTGAAGACTCGCCTGCGAAATGTAAAGAAAAAATTAAAAAATCAGCAGATGATCCTCTATGTGATAACCTTATAGATAAAGGAGGATAAACAATTCAACTAATATCAGCCCCCATTCCTACCAACATTCTAATTACTATAGAAAGTAGTGAAAAAGTAGTACAAAAGTATTGCTCTATTTGCAATCATAAGTCTACAGAGAGCCAAAGACAGTGTCTTTATTTTGTATTTTCATTGCAGTATCAAATCAATCAAATTCCAAACTGTAAGCAATGTAAGGAAATCAATTTGATATCTGATTGTAACCATCTAATCAATATGCTTTCAGTTGCCGGTTTTTACTAGGTGGTGACCATGGTCGATTAAAGTATGTGCCTCCTGAAGAATTTTCACCATTGGTTGAGAGTCTACTTCCACAACAGATTCTCTCGATTGATCCCTGCTTTTATTTCGGCAATCTCAACAAGTGCACCTTGGCTGGACCTTGGCCTGTCGAAGATGATACTGCATTTGTGCCAGCTCCTGTTGATACCTCGATGGTAATCTTTCCATTTTCAATCCAGTATGATAAGTAGCTTTGATATAATATCCTTAGTTCTTACGTGTAATATGGAATTTTGCATGCCCCACTCTCTGTTTACAAGATATTCATACTGCAACTGAAGCATATTGTATTCCAAAAAAAGAAATTATACCGTCAATTTTATTAATTGTCATCTTTGATTTCAGATAAATTTACCCAGCTATATTGAGAACATCCGAGACAGACTTGCTGAAAACATACATGAGATGTGGGCACTTAACAAAATTGAAGCAGGCTGGCAATATGGTGAAGTTAGGGATGACATTCGGAAGATTCATCCATGTCTTGTTCAATTCGATCGATTGCCCCCAGCAGAAAAACGATACGATTCACAGTTGGCTGTTCAAACTTTAAAGTAAGTTGACTGCAAAGTATCAAAATGCGATTAACTGTAAATTAATCTCATTTTTTATCAATGTAAACTTTTCACTCATGCTTTTAATTTAATTCAGATAACTTAATTATCACATCTCTATAAATTTAAACAGAACTTGATTGTCCAGACTTTCCAAATAATGCCAAGGACTGTTGCTATCCTTAAAATCTATATTTTACAATTATTAGTATGTTGATATTCTACACCTATCGAGACAATTTGTTGAACCCTTTTCCATACGTGGATGCGCCTGCATTTCGATCAGAAATGATGGCCTAAACATAGCGTCTTAACTGAGGTAGCTATCACAGGTCTTTGCTACAGTTATGCCAACCTATGTAATGCCAGCCTACATGTAATATCCAGTAATGCCACCTTTGAGCAAAGGTGCAAGAAGTGAACTAGATTTAGAGCTACGCACTGTGAGAGGTGGCCAATCTGTGATGAACGTGGAAAGTGCTGGTTGGTTACAGTGAGTCTAGCCGGAAAGCTGTAAGAGCTATACGCCACAGATTCATGTCATGAATGATATGTATGTTCCTCTCATCACAGTAACATTCTTCGTAGCGTCATGAATCACCATTCCTTTGTAATTTTTGCAGGACAATTTTAGCACTGGGTTATCACATAACTATGGACAAGCCCTCTTCTCGAATAAAGACGATACGATTGCCAAATGAACCATTCATGCAGTCCAATGGTTACAAACCAGCCCCGCTAGACTTGGCAGCCATCACATTGAATGTTAAAATGGAAGAACTCGTCGACCAGTTGGCTGAAAATACACATAATCTCTGGGCCAAAGAACGGATTCAGCAAGGATGGACCTATGGTTTAAATGAGGTATTTAATCAGAAAACCAAAATTACCACCTCTTCCCCAGGAGAAACAAAAAACTTAACTTGAACTATAGATAGAACCTGGGTTTTTGAAAGCCGAATCAGGCAGGCAATATTTTAAGTCATCAGAGCAAGTGCAACAAGATGTCCATACTTAAAAATCAAAAGTATGACTTCTATGCTCATGGTATTATGAAGGAGGCCTCTTGGTACCAGAAGTGCATTGATGAAGCTAGTTACCCTGCGAAAAAGTTAGATGGGTCTGTATTTTATTCTGGTCATCCAGATTTTTCAGCGTCTGCAAAATTTGTGAGATCCCCACTTGCGATAAGTTTCCTTTTAGACATGGTTTGCTAATTGACAACTGCAGAAGGAAGTCAAGGCGTCACATGGCCGCATTTTCTTATTTTTATCCTGTTTTAATTGTTGGACACAGCATATCCTACAGAACTTTTTAAGACCAAGACCATTAAAATTAGTCCATGTTTGTAAATCCTAAAAAGGGAGTGACCTTATTGAACACTTTTTGTATGAGCTTTGCATTGGAAACGATTATCTCAAAAACCGTTTTTTTCAACAGGATCCTGATATGTTGCGAAGCCCGCATTTAGTGCCTTACCCTAAAGTTGATGATGCCATCAAAAAAGCTAACAGGTAATAATCTAACCTCTCTCATTTTTACAGATTATTTACTACTTTGCTTAGGGATCCTCTGCAATTTGGCTTTGAGAAATTATCAATTCATTATATTGCTAAAATTCGCCAGTTTTATTTTTCGTTCAGGGCTGTTGAAAATGCTATGAATTCTATTCCTAAAAACCTATCAAGTCTTGAAGGTTTGTTTTCTTTCTATCCTTCTTCCCTTATAAAACTTCCTGAAATAGCTGAAAAGTAATAAGTTTCTCCCTCTGCCTCCCTTCCTCCCCCCCCCTTTTTTTTAACCAACTGATGTCACCCGGGTTTTGTGCAATAGTTAGCTAATAAATCATTCTGGAGGCTTACATCTATAAGTCTACTAAATTTTTCTACCATGTTTGCACAGTCTTAGTAGTCACTTTTTAGTAGAATGTGCTTAGTGGTCCTCTCACACCAAGTATCGTTTTATTACTATCATAATATATTTATGAAACACTTTTAATTTGTATTTGTGTTAATGTATTGTTCCGATTATATCTCCTCCTAAGGACAATACAACAAGCTCATGGGGAACATTTTCCATCAAGATTGATTAATACTTTCTTGTCTAATGTTATTCAACATGTCATTCTAAACAAAAATTCTCATAGGCCAAAACATGCATGGAAAGTGGGGTATCAGAAGAGTAATACTAGAATATGTTTGGAAATAAAGGGAGACTGGTAGCTACACTTGATTGTTCAGATCTAAGCCGAAGCTAAAATATTCAGTTGATGCATCTGAAAAAAACAAATGTTTGGCAAGCTGCACACATGATTTCCTCGGAGTGGTGAGAACTTTATTTTAGAATGATGTGTGCAAGTATCTATGAAATTTCAAGCCAATTTGGACATGAACTGCTCCTCACTAAGATTATCCTGTAAAATTTCTTTGAATGTCTTCTTTTTTTTTCAGAGACACAGCTAGTGAAACTGTGCGAACATTGTTAGTGTATGGATACATGCTTGACCCACCTACTGGGGATCCAAACGAAGGTATTGTACTTTTCTCATGTTCATTTTTAAATTTTTATGCTAGCTCTATCTTAAATCATCTGTAAAAACTGTGCATTTTAACAAAAAGAATCTTCAATCTACAGTTATTAGGTTTAAAGTATAATTTTTTTCTACCCCTCAGGAAAATAATATTTCATTCATTGCTTTCTGCTACTCTCTCCAAAATAAAAATAACAAAATATCTCAAGTTCTTCTTCCTCAGCATGTTAGTTTCACTAATAATTTGTGAGTTATAGGTGCTGACATTCATTAATTGCATAAATTGAGCTAACTATAAAAAATAAGTACATGAATACCTCTCCATTTCAATAGGCAGTAGATTTGATCATCCTTTATTACTATTTGTTTTTCAGCTGCGCTACTTGCAGAGGCAAACAGATTGCGACAAATGGCATTTAGAACCTATCGTGTTGAAAAAAACTATGCTGTGTCCAGCGGAAAATGGTAATTGTTTCTTCACAATGATATTCACATCATTTTTGAATCATATTTTTGGTTAAAATTTATTTCTGTTGTATCTCGGCAACTGCTATATTATTGATGCTGCATTTCTCTTTAATCCCCCTAAGACTCTTAAAGCATGCTCACCCAAGAGCAAACTTTCAGGTCATAATTTTAAGATTCTGCTTGAAACTTCCTTCATTTAAAATCTCCTCTAAATTGCCTGAAGCATAAGATTTTGATGTATACAAGAAACTTTCTAGGAGGTTGTAAGGCAAAGCAGTTTCTAGGGTCATCTTAAAGAGCGACTCCAAGAATGGCACAATTTGGGCCAGAAGGGATTTTTCTGAAACCGGGCCCAAACGATACCTTATGATACCCTAAAACTCTGGTAAAAATTTTAGCTTGAGTATACGCACCGTTTTTGAGAAATGGGGGGGCAAAGTTGCCAAATCGCCATCATTCTGGACAGCATTTTTACAGCAAAAAGGCGGGAAAAATGGACGAAAAAGTTACACCATTGATGGGTTTGGGCTGTAAATGTTCTTATTGAGCCCCCGTGCATGTGATTGTCTTCAGTTTCAAAAATTTTGGACGTACAGTGGTCTAAAATGGGAAGAAATCGTGGACAGATAAGGATTCTTTGTCAAACTTTTTAAAAATGCAAGTAAAATTGTTGGTCTCCTGCAGAGATCATGGGAAACAATGTTCTTATCGGTCTTCAATGCATTCAATTGGGTTCAGTTTATCAAATTTTCATCGCACAATGGTCCAAAATGGGAAATTAGTGGACAAATTAAGATCTTCTGCCTAACTTTTTAAAAATGATGTACGACTATTGGTTTCCAGTAGACTTTAGATCCCAGAAAAATTCTTTAAATTCTTTTTTTGACTATTTAAATCTTTTTTACGTTTTTTCTCTCCACTTTTCTTTCTTTTTTTTAAATTTCTGAAAGTTTGCATATTTTATTGAAATAATGCTACAAAGTCTATTCTATAACAACGTTCTATAAACAATACGGTCTGACATATATAAATAATTTAAAAAAAATAAAAACATGCATTTTTCCGGGATTTAAACTCTACTGGGGACCAACAGTTTGACAGAGGATCTTAATTTGTCCACTAATTCCCCCATTTTTGACCACTGTGCGATGTATTTTTGTGAAGCTGAACACATTTTTATAAATTGAGGACCAATAAGAACATTGTTAGCCATGAAAACTGCAGCAGACCGAAAATTTTACTTCCATTTCTAAAAATTTGACAAAGAATCCTGATTTGTCGACGATTTCTCCCTATTTTGGACCACTGTGCGACCAAAATTTTTGAAACTGAACACAGTTAAATGCTTGGGGGCCCAATGAGAACATTTACAGCCGAAACCCATCAAATATTTGACTTTTTCGTCCATTTTCCCCGTCTTTTTGCTGTAGAAATGCTGTCCAGAATGATGGCGATTTGGCAACTTTGCCCCCTCATTTCTCAAAAACCGAGCGTATACTCAAGCTAAAATTTTAACCAGAGTTTTAGGGTATCATAAGGTATCGTTTGGGCCCGGTTTCAGAAAAATCCCTTCTGGCCCAAATTGTGCCAAAAAACGGTCGTTTTTGGCGTCGCTCTTTCAGGCATACATACATGTTGTTGTATGTACCCACTTTTTTTATGAGAATAATCAAGTACAGATATATTACCTATTCTGATGTAAATAATTTTCTCTCCAAAATAATTTCAGTGATTTTGTAATCTGGATGTAATATTTTAACAGCATTTCTTTTTACTAGGTACATTTCTCACATTAAATACCTCCAGGAGATTAAATTAAATAAATTTGTGTATCATTAGTGTTTTTCTCCCCCCAAATAAATCATTATTATTTTTGAGATTTTTTTGCTTAGGTATTTTGAATTTGAAGTTCTAACAACAGGACCAATGCGCGTTGGTTGGGCCAGAGTAGACTGCAGTCCTGGACATCAATTAGGTAGTGATGAAAATTCCTGGGCTTTCGATGGATTTAATGTAAGTCTTTTCTCCTTTTTATCACACTTTTTTTTGTATTCAACCATGTTCCTAGAGAAGCTAATCGAGTTACTGAGCCTAGACTTATCAGAACAATCTTTAGTTGTTAAATTTTTATTGTAAGGCACTTTTTTCCTCTTTCTATTTATTATAACTGAAAGTTACACTGCCCTTCAAGCACTGGTTTCAAAATTGTAGAAGAGTTAATCCTCAATTGAAGTCTTAACCTTAACAGAGAATTTATTCTTTGAATAAATTAATAATATGTCACTGCTCAATAAAAGACATTCCTTCAATTTTTCGGATTGTTTTGCGGCGATTTATGTGTCATACCATTTTCCAAGGTGTCTGTTGAAATAATTTCAACCTTCATTGCAATTTTTTCGTATAAAACTCCGTTAATGTAAGATAAGCCCGAAATAAGTATTCGAATTGAAGCATCATAATTTTCAATCATTAGCTTTTCCCAGAAAGACTTTTTTAAAACCTTGAATCATTTTTTAATTCACTCATAGAGTGTCAAGATCCACATGGGAAGTACAGAGCTATTTGGTCATCAGTATAAAGTAGGAGACATTGTCGGATGTTTTCTCGATTTGTGTGATAGTACCATCAGTGAGTAATTCTAATTTTGCTAGCCCTTCAACGTCTGACCTGTGACCTTATCTGTTCCCTTTCCTTATGTCTTGTTTTGTGTTTTTTGTTTCTTCTCCTCATCACCTGTGACTCCTCATCCGAATCCCTCTTATCCTGTTGTTGGGCATAATATCTTGGCTGAAATGTTAAAACTGGTATTATTTATTCTTAAGTTTCTTAGTAACTCTGTCGCACAAATTTCTCAAATCACAAATACCAAAACCATGTAAATTAAATTCAGGGTTTCTACTATTAAAAAAGCATGACAACAAAGGAGAGTTATTCATGAGGTATTCGAATTCAAAGGAAGGGGAATGAAAACTTATTTTTTCATCCATTTACCCATGATGACTTTTATTTTTTTCTCAATTTATTCTCTTAAAATGAATAGAGGTGCTCAGATGTACCAGCCAAGGGGCTTTAGTGATCTGAAAGTCACCGTGTCTTTCCTGTCTTTTTCTAAGGGTTATTCAACTATTCATCCCCAGATTCAATCATGGTCAAATGAACATTCAATGTATCCCTTTATTTTGGTGAGAAAAACTGCACACAGCAAATAGTTGTATACACAAAAATGTAGCTTATTTGATTCAAGAGTTGAGTGGTATAAAAAGTTTATAAATCATTAATGCCAATTTGACCACAGTCAGACGATCCTTCCGATTATAAATAGTAGAAATCCTGAGTTTCCTCTGTTTGCTCAGTTTAGCAGAGTGGCTCATTTCGTTGCCTCAAATTTTGTCAACCATCATCATTCATCATTAATTCTTCTTTTACACTGTCTCTTTCAATGATCCTATTATACAAGTATCATACATCGTTGTTCAATCACTCAGAAAAAGACACAATTCTTCTCAGTAAAAAATTGCTTCAATCACCAACGATTGCCTTTTGAGTGGGCGTTGTTAAAATTCCATCAGGTAGTCGTTATTTGTTTATATTACAATAAAAATACAATTATGAATTTTTAGGGGGAGAAAACATATAATTTGAGTTTGAACATAGTCCTCATGTTAGTTCCGCTTTTCATGTGAGTGAACATGTAAAGTCGGCTTTTGTAGGGTAAAATATTAAAGGTAAATTTAATTTCCTTTTACTGTTCTGAGTCTCAATGAAAGGAAAGAAAAGGGCTCTTCTTCTTTATCTGTCTCTCTTTTAATCAGTGTATTGAATTCTTATCCCATTTATTTATTTTTCATTCTATCTTACATATTAAGTATGTTATTTTAGACAGATGTAATAGGATAAGAATCCAATTCTACAACTTAAGCTTCAATTTCACTCATTAAATTGACAGTTTGAGGAAGACTCAGCCAAGAAATTTGTAAAGAATCCAATGAACCACTAGACAAGGAACAAAACTAAGCATTCTGATACTCAAAATTTCACCTAAATCACGATTTGTGCAACAAAAATACTGACATCAACTCCTAATCAATATCTTTATATTTAGCATTGGTCAGGAAAAATTGTATGTTATGCTTATATGGAAAACCAGAGTACTTGAATTGAATCGTGCATTACAATGGGCTCAACAGGTTTCTCAATAAGCAGTGTTTCTTCCCTACCCTGTGCTGTTCAAAGTGTGAACAATGTGCAATCGCTGAGCCAAAGCGCCGATCTTGAGGTTTTCATATTTCCATCTGGCGGAGACTGTCATTGTAATGTTCAGAGAATGATTTCACTCAAAGAGATTACAGGGTTCCTTTTTATAAGCGGTAACTTTGAATCGATTTATTGAAAAACGTCAATATCCTCGTCAAGAGTTACTTTCGTTAATTTTTGTTGTACAAATTGTGTTCTACGTGAAATTTTTCTGAGAAAAAATTAATCATAATGCCTCAATTTGCATGTTGTCTAGCGCTCCATTGTTGAAAATGTTCTTTTGTATGTTTCTTTTCAGTCTCTTTTAACAAGCACCCTGATTTTCATGTGGCTTGTCATTCCCTGACCCGTTAATTAATTCATTCATACATTAAAAATATCCTGAAATATAACCATAATTACTGATGAAAATTTTCATCTAAAAAATTAGAGTAAAGGTGCTGTACTATACCAGACATTTTTAAAATAGCCCTTGCTTAGTTGCTAGAGTGAGCCTCCTTTGAAATTAAAAATTTGAATGCCTTGTTCGGAAATTTTAGGGCTCAAATATTATTTTTAAATACCTCCTTCAATCTAAAAAGACCTGTTTTTAAAATGTTGATACCTTTAACTGTCAATTTCTGTTAAAATTTTTAATGTAATCACTGCTTGATTTTGGAATGTGTTTGTGTTGGTTGTTGATGCCCTTTGCTAGGAAGAGAAAGTTCATTGTAATGCTGCCGAGACTTTTGGCCGTCAGTGGCAAGTTGGCGATATTGTTGGGGCTTGCTTAGATTTAATGGACCGCACCATCAGTAAGTCCCATTTCAGTGAAAGCTTCTTTTTTCCTTTTCTTTTAAATTGTTTTTCAATTCTCGTATGTTTGTTTGTTTTTCACTATTTTGGTCATATTCTGAAACTCACCATAGTGAAGACGATTTATGTTGGCATCCTTGCATCATACACATTGTTTTTGTCACAATTATTTAACTTAACCTCATCAGTAACCGCATCATAATCATCTGAATAGTACCCGTAATTCTGAAAATCAGCTAAACCTGTTATGTAAACAATTGATAATCATATCTGATGGACAATTCCTCGATCCCAACTTTTGAGGATTTTTCATGAAAGAACAAAGAAATACTCAAAAACAGTACTCCCTTGGTAACCCAAGTACGACTTGAAGCCGTTTTTTTACTTTTCATAATGAAAAGTGGGATAGGGGGGTCTTACTAACAGTGACAGGAGAGATAATAAGATTAAAGAGAGGCTTTCACCTGGCTGCTTTTAAGCATCCTTTAACAAGTGTTCTTTTCTATAGATCCATGCCGATTTCCTCTCGGAGCATATTTCTCCCGACTGTAGTTTTACATTGCCATTTGCATTCACTCATTTTGTAATTACCCCCTCATAGTTGATGTTTAGTTTATAATTATTTTTGAACTTAGTGGCTTCTTTTTGATAAAGAATAAGCAAGATTTTACTGTAATGACAATTTTGGAAAGAAACGAAAGAAAGAAAAATAATAATTGATCACTCCCAGAAACTTGTTCATTCCGCATCAAGTCTATTTAGAAGATACCTTGAAAAGAAGATAAATATGAAGTATTGACATTTTTCTGTAGAAGTTATTGAACTTTTTTCTGTCTCTCCTCTTTTAGCAAATACCCCTTTGATGTGTCAGTGAAAAATTAACGTTCAAGGTGCAAACATGTAGTCATAGATCAATGAATAAAAGGAAATTTTAAAATTCTTCCTCTTTAAGTAGTCCTTAGCGAATCAACCAGAGTGTCTTTTTTTGCTGTTTGAAATCATCAAATTGACTTGAGCATTTTAGAAGTGCTGGTGTTTTATTCTTAAGTTCTGCACTTTACATTCTCCCTAATTCTAATGTGAAGACTGCACCTTAACTCTTTGCTTGTCGTTAGTAAAACTGCAAATCCCCCTGGTTTTTTTTAAAATGGAACGTGCTTTCCTTCCAATTAGAAGTTCAGATGTCGTTGTTTAATAATCAAAATATCTGAAATTGATATTTAAAAAATCATAAAGAGATCTCATCAATAGCGAAGTCTTGTGGGACACTCCTTTACTCCTCTTTTTGCTTCTGAACATCGATCTTTCATAAAGAGATCTTAAATTGATCTAATTTAGGTACATTAGTTCCAATGTATTAATTGTCAGTACATTGATCTCTTCAATGTAATACTTTTTGATTCACTTGTACTTTAAAAGAGTAGACCCCAAGATAGAGGTATTAGTTTGGGTATCAGAGCTAACTTCATTTTTTCTTCCTCTTTTTCTTTTTTCTATAGGTTTTTCTCTGAATGGAGAGCTTTTAATGGATGCACTAGGAGGAGAAACAACATTTTCAGATGTTCAGGGAGATGCCTTTGTCCCAGCGTTCACCCTTGGAGTCGGTCAGCGAGCCAAATTAACGTTTGGTCAAGATGTCAATCTGCTTAAATTTTTCACCGTCTGTGGATTGCAAGAAGGATACGAGCCATTTTGCGTGTAAGTTTGGAAGAAATTGTACTCCCTTCTCCCCTCTTTCTTTTTTCTTTAGTTATAAAGAAATTGAGTAAGATAAAACTTCATTATATTGTCGTTTATACATTACCTATTGTTTTTATTGTTATTGTGTGATTGTTATCAGTAGGTAACGGTTTATTGAATTTATCCAGCCTCAAAGCATAATGATAATGAAACTACCAAACTACATGTCTCTGTTTGTATTATTGCATATTTTCGGTCCTCCATTTTAGTTTTTATGGAAGCCTACTCATAATTTTTGCACAAAATTTTATTCGATTTTTTTCAGTTCTTTCGGGAATATTCTCTGAACATATCCTCTGAACATTTTGCTAAAAAATGTTGCGGTATATTTTTTCGGAAAAATGAATTATAAACATTGCAATAGAGATCCAAGGTTTGGTAGTTTCTTAATCAGTTAAGCACTAGAAAACAATAATAATACAGTTGTACACAGCGTATGACTGTTGGCAAGAAAAGGCACCTCATAAAAATGAGGAAACTTCTCTGGTGAGCAATTTCTGTTTTATCAATATGGTGATGTTAAACCAAGAACTAAACCCAACTACAAAATTTTCAAATGGGAATTTGAGTTTTGAACGGATTACATTCAGTGTCCTTTAAAATAAACCGATAGTGGCGCAGTTCATTTTCGTGCCAAAAGAGGGTGCACCATTGCATTATAATCGGATAATTCTGATTATCCAATATGCCAGGTTAAAAAAGTGTATCATTATTTTTCATGCTCTCCTTGGTCTCTGCTTAATAATGACTTGTAATGAATTTACCAGGACCTAAATGCTTATTGTCACTATATTTGGACGTATTCCTATCAAACAGATTTTTGTTCAGGTGAGAAATGTGGGGTGTGCTTGTCAGTTCTCTGGCTGTAAGAGTGAATGAGAATAATAAAGCGCCAGTGACGTCAACGGAAATAGATGCGGCTCCTCGTAGTGAGCTTTAACTCATGAGCCCTGTCCACAGTGCTCTCGTGCCATGCCCGCGGCTCATATATCCCGCATTCAGTTGGCACATAGTTCTGTTTGCTGAATTTAAAATCCCGCCTTTCGAATTCTTCAAAAGGAATCACGCCCACTTTTACATTGTTTCTTATGCAGCTTTCTAGAGCACACCCCATATTTCTTACCTGCACATAGTCCTGTTTGATAAAAATACGTCCATTTTAGGAAAAGTATCTTCAAAATATCGATAGAATAGTAACGTCCATGATTTTTATTTTTCACCTATAATTCTTTGTCAATACTTCATTTCAGAAACATGAATCGTGCTGTAACATATTGGTACACGAAAGACCAGCCAATATTTGAAAATACCGATGATTATGCTTCTCCTTTTGATGTGACTCGTATTCCTGCTGGTTCCGATACTCCGCCCTGTTTGAAAATTAGTCACAACACGTTTGAGACCATGGAGAAAGCCAACTGGGAATTTTTAAGACTTTCCCTGCCAATCATCTGCCTACCAGAGTTCATTGAGTATGAGCATTTTAAGATATTTTTTCTTTTGTATTTTGATGCGGAAAATGTCATCAATAAGATTGCTATGTCCAAATATTCTGTTCATGGTCTTCATGCAATTGTATCATTCAAATGGAAATACGTCAGCACACTTAACTATCATGATGATAATGATGGAAAAAACATCACCTACCTAATCGTCATAACAGCATTTACATTTAGTTGTCTTTTTAATGGTATTGGCTTGGTGTCTCAGAAGTTTCATCACTTGGGAAGAGATCTGAAGAGTGAAATTTGTGAATGGATCCATGGTCAAAGTTTGTTTGAATGTAGAAAGTAACACTACGCACACAGCATGTACAGGTATAAACATAACAATGTGAACCAAAGGTTGCTTTTAATATCTTCACCTCAAAGCACCTTGTAAATTTTTTCAGTGGCTAGAAACTATAGATGTGCAGAAAGAAAGCCTTGATTCATAATTGAAGGAGTCGTTCTCATCATTGTTAGGTTTGAATTCTTGTTGAAACTTCTCATCTATCTAATTATATTATGAATATCACTCGTAATTTTTATTGTGGCTCTAATCACAATGTCATGTATTTGTCAGCGAAGCAGAGAAAATGCGACGTTGGCAAGAGATACGCATCCGACAACATCGTCTTTTGGCAGAGGCAGATAAAACAACTCCAGCTCACATTGAACAGATAATGAAATCTGGTTTTTCCATGAGCGATATCAAAGGTAGAAAATAACGATGGTTATTCTATGCAACCCTGAAAATCAACAGGATCGTTTTTTTTTTTTTTTTTCAATTCCATATTCATTAAAGGAACTTACTGTGTTTCCCACTAATTTCAAGAGGATAGCAACTCTGCAATAGCTTTATTTAAAAAGATTTAACTTTGAAGAAACTTCAAAGTAGAAAAAATAATGAGAATAGTAGAAGAATAAACTTGCATAATTCAATCTTAGGGAGACTGAAATAGTTGCCTGCGTATTTTATGTTTCATATTTTTAGCATCTTCTCATTTAATGAATTATTTTATCACAATTAACATACAGGAACATATTTTTTTTTTCAAAAGCTGATATTCTGTATTTGGCTGCTCACTGTAGACTCTTGAATTTTTTGTTTAGTTGCTATGACATTGGAATTGTAACGGTTGTAAAATTTTAGGGCTGTCTGAATTCCAGGGCTTCATCGAGGATACTCTGAAGATGCCGTAGAGGCTGATGAAATGATGATGAATGGAGGAGGAGCAGGACCAATCCAGTCTAAATCAAAGAAGAGTCCAGCTCGACCACCTCGTAAAGGTTCTCTCTCAAGGAATGAAGATCTTCAAATGGATTCAATCATGCCATCAGGTAGTCATCAGAACATTTTATCATCATTAAAGTTGTGTTACTAACATTGAAGACTATTCCAATATATGCAGTGATATCATGACAATTCATGTACTTAACTGTGATTTCTTCTTTTTCATCACTAACGCTAATACATCTCTCACTCCTTTTTACATGCAGGAAAAATTCATCGATCCTCAAGTGAACTGGATGTCAACCGTTACAGTAACATGAATGGCAACGCTGATTTAAAAGATGACAAAAAGAAACGGGGTCGCTCACCATTCAGGTATATGCTTGTTTTTTTTTTAAAAAAAAAAGAATTAAAACTTGTTTTGTTTCCACTGTAATTCCATGATAAGTCTAGTTTAATTTCAAAATTTTCGGTGACTAGTGCCTTGTAATGAGTCTATTCATGATTCCTCAAACATTTTACATTTAGGGTTAGTGGACATAATCTAAGAATCCTTAATTTAAAAATGGTACTAAACATTCCAGAGAGTAAATTTTAACCTTTACAAGTTATATCAGCATAAATCACTGATTCGTTTTTGACTCATCTGCTTTGATACGCAGGTTTTTCTCTCGGAAGCGAGACCAAAGTGGTGAGAGAGGTAAGAAAGCAAAAACTCCGGAACCAGGCGGTATGGTGGCAGAAAGATTTGAAGGATTGGGACAAGGACGAACAGGTCAACAATTTAGAACTTCCCAGGTAACTAATTATATATTAAATGTTGCATGTCCAATGAAATGATGCTGAGAAATCAATGATTTCCTCTTCAAAATCAACTTTGAAGTCAACAGGTCACTGCTTTTAACAAGTTTAGTTAGATAATGGTTGGAATTTTGTGTTTCTTGGCTGGATAAGACAATTGAAGCGGAGAAAATGAGATAAAGTTGATTTAGATAGGAATGGAGTTACGTGATTGGTCAGCTTTATCAGTCATCCTCTCTGTCATGCCCATGTTGGGCAATATTGACGACAAATTATCTGCAACTCAACGTGTACCTTTAATTTGTTGCCGACTCTGCCTAACAAAAAGGAGGACTGATACAGCTGATCAATCACATTACTCCATTGCTACCTTTATCTACTTTATCTTGTCTTATCCTATCGACAAACATAGAATTTCAGCAACTGGTATGTAATGTGGCAGTAGTTATCTTCCTCAACAATGTAAACTGATCAATGAGAGGCCACTAGATTCTACCAAATTTGGATGAAGCAGCTTTGTGGACTGATTATTGTATTATAAATTTCATTAAGCTAGAGGATCTTATCCTCGCCTCTTTTTTTTTAAAGTAGAAAATATATACATATGTACCTATAGAAAGCATTATGAATCAGCTGATGTATTGATTTCGTCAAGACTCTCACCATTATTAACTTCTTATGGAGAGTTTACTCTACGTTTGCAGGCAAACATCAAGCTGGTACCTCCTGCAATTCCAGATCGGAATCCCACTGGTCCAAAGCAAATGTCTGGATCACCACTAACCAGTTCTGGAGTAGAAGCTATTGGAAACGAGATTTACGATGTTGAATGTCTTAAAATGATGAACGAGTACTTCTACGCAGTTCGAATATTTCCTGGCCAAGACCCCACTCATGTTTACATTGGTTGGGTAACAACCCAGTATCATTTACATAGTTCCACTTTCAATCAGTCGCATGTACGGCAAAGTAACATTACAGTATTGGATGATTATGGCCGAATAGTTGATAGGTATGTAAATGCTATCTTCTTATTATGAATCCTTTTTATTTGTAACATGGGTTGGCAGGATGTGAAACTTTTCTTCTCAATTTTTTGAAAATTTGGAAATTTAGAAGTTGCTTATCCACATATTTCCATTATCAAAAACTCCCTAGCAATGAACAGTCATTTAAATAAAAAACAGAAAAATAATAATGATCAGATGGGTTTTTTCTAATCTTCTTTGCTCTAACAATTTGGAGATAAGCAAGACCGAGACTCTCAAATTGCGAGGGAAGGTAAAAATTGCCAACTTGTGATCAACAAGTTTTCGAATAAGGAGAGACGTCCGTACTCTTTTGGTATTTTCCTCACAGAGACCTCTTGTTTGCATCAGATTAATTTCTTTGTAGGAGTGAGCAGGATTCTTAAAGTTTTTTTTTCATACCTAAACTTCATTTTTTTGTGTGGAAGACTTTAAAACCAGTTTGGGGTATTTTTAGCTTTTATTAAAGCGCCTCTTAGACGAAAGCATTTTCAAAAACGAAATTATTTCCTAAAAAATATTTTGCTACCAAAGAAGGTAAATATTCTTTTATGAAACATTTATTTCCTCTTGTTATTTTTCTTTCTTTGTTGGTTTTCTCATCTTTCTCTCTCCGTTTTTAAGCATAACTTACCAGAATTATGATGGTTTTATGTTGCAGTATCAATCGTCAGAGTTGTTACATGCTACGAGCAGATGAACTTTACAATGAGGTTACAAATGATGCTTCTGGAAAAGGTGCTTCTCAAGGGATGACCATAGGCTGCTTCATCGACACAGCAACAGGGATCATGTCATTTACTTGTGAAGGCAAAGAGACATCTCATAAATTTAAAATGGAACCTGAAGCAAAACTTTTTCCTGCAATCTTTGTTGAAGCCACAAGCAAAGAAGTTCTCCAAATAGAGCTTGGGCGCACTTCAACAACCTTGCCTCTATCCTCAGCCATTCTTCAAAACTCTGAGAGGCATGTTACTCCCCAGTTCCCACCGAGACTGAAAGTCCAGTGCTTACGACCACACCAATGGGCTCGAGTCCCAAACATCTCTCTGCAAGTTCATGCCCTAAAGTTGTCTGATGTTCGAGGTTGGAGTATGCTCTGCGAAGATCCAGTTTCTATGCTCGCTCTGCACATTCCAGAAGAAGATCGTTGTATTGATATACTTGAATTGATCGAGATGGAAAAACTCCTCTCTTTCCATGCACACACTCTAACTCTGTATGCAGCTCTTTGTTATCAAGCAAACTACAGAGCGGCTCATACTTTATGCCAGCATGTGGATCAGAAGCAGTTGTTGTACGCCATTCGCTCAGAATATATGTCTGGTCCTCTGCGCCAAGGTTTTTACGATCTCTTGATAGCACTTCACCTTGATCCGCATGCTATGACAATGGAGGCATGTAAGAATGAGTATATTATACCTTTGGGACAAGAACTGAAAGTCTTGTATGAAGATCCACAAATGGGTCACAGTTTAAGAAGTCTAGCCACTGAGTCTGTTCAGCCTCTCATGAAAATGACAGATATCGCTGAAACAGTCGATAATATTCGAAGTCTTTACAGTCCATATTTTCCTTTGGATGTTGTTCGAGACTTTGTCATGACAGCATTAGATGAAGCTGTTCAAATCAACCAAGTGCACAATCGAGATCCTGTGGGAGGTTCTAACGAAAACCTTTTCCTTCCGCTCTTGAAATTAGTGGATCGACTTATGCTGGTGGGGGTTTTACGCGACGAAGATGTGATGAAACTTCTTATCATGTTCAATCCTGAAACTTGGGATCCGCTTTTTGAAAAAGATGGGAAAGATGAGCATCGCAAAGGTCTACTCAATATGAAAATGGCTGAAGGTGCAAAACTCCAAATGTGCTATTTATTACATCATTTATGTGATTTGCAATTACGACATAGAGTAGAGTCGATCATAGCATTCAGCCATGACTTTGTCGGGGAGCTGCAAAGTGACCAGTTGAGACGATACATTGATATCAAGCAGTCAGATTTACCATCAGCCATTGCTGCCAAAAAAACAAAAGAATTCCGTTGTCCGCCCAGGGAACAGATGAATGCTGTTCTTGGCTTCAAAAATTTAGAGGAAGATGACCATGAAAATTGTCCGTGTGGTGATGAACTGAGGGAACGAATGAATGAGTTTCATACATCAGTCATGCGGCATGTGTCTCTGTTGGCACTTCAAGAGCCGTCTGAAGAAGAGGAAAAAACCGATGGAGTTGCAAAACCAAATGTTTTCAAACGTTTAACCAATTTCATAAATGCTGTCAAGGAATTAGAAGAAGAACCCAAACCACCGGAGGAACCAGAAAAAAAGTCACCAGAAGGTACAAGCCACAAATATGCAAATCGTTTTTCTACATATTTTCCTTCAAAATCTTGTACCGTTATAGATAAGTTTAAAGTGAAATACTATTTTACTAAGAAAGCTTCTGTCCTCCAAACAATTGCAGACCTTGGTGACAATAAAGTCCAAATATAATGTCTATGTGTTTTCAAAACGGTAATATAATATTAACCATACTTCAATATTCAACTGCTAATCCGAAAAAGTTTACCATAAAAACAAGTGAAATTTTTCCAGTGATTTCCGATCATGGTTAAAAATTTTGAATACATATCTTTTTTATGCACCCTTTAATAATTTGCCGAGCACAGGAATTTTCATTTATGAAGCTGCTTAATGTGGTAAGTTTTCTCGCTATCTCAAGACATAGCCATGACAAAGAATCAAATATATTTTTCTTTTTCTTTAAAAATTCCGGCAGTTTATTGTGTGCAAAGTCTTCTATCATCAAAGGGTTAGTTGTTCATTGATCGATTTTTATTTTTTCCACAGAAATATTCAGGAAAGTTCTCATCAGTACAATTGTCAAATGGGCAGAAGAATCTCAAATAGAAATGCCAAAACTTGTCCGAGAAATGTTCAGGTAACATCCTTAACTGCTGCAATGTTCTTTTCTGAAGTCTTCTTAAAGCAGATTATAATTAAAGCGCTCATCTTTCATTATAGATTTGGAACGAAGAGAGATCCCCCAAATGTCGATGTCTCTTTATGTCTTCTTTTTTAATCATTACTTTTTGGAAGTACCAGTACCAGTCAATAATAGCATACCCTCATATTTTATGTTATCTCACCCTGACTGCTTTTTTTCTGAGAGAATCAGTACATCCTTTTGATTTATTTGCAAAGACAAATTTATGACGATTTTTTAATGAAATGAGATTTGAAACAGGAAAGAAACTGAACAAGACTGAAAAAAGGACTGAATAAATGTTAGTCTCAATCTGTTGCGCTACAGTGCTGAGTCTAACCCTACTTCAAGGAAATACCCAATTTATCGACCATTCCCCGTGAGCTTTGAGGCACCTCTCCCTCTCTTTTTTTTGAAACTTCAATGAAGGGTATAAAAATGAAAAGAAAAAGTGAATATATAATTCTGAAATCTATTTACTATTTTCTTATTAGTGTGCAAATACTATGAAGCTGAAATAGTGGTGAAATTTAACAATATGGTCGTAGTTGTATCTCGATTTAACGTTTTACTGGAAATTACGTTCATTTTTTCAAGTCCCTGCCAGCCATTTCTCGTCAAAGTGTCGCTCAAAATAACGTTTTCCCGGAAAAAACGCTCTACTTTTAATTTCCCTTCGAAAATATGATAACCAGATACGAATGTAGCTAATATTTTTTTGTTTTATCTCTGTAGAAACTTACTTTTGTCTCTATGTTTGATTTTCTTTTTCAGTTTACTCGTTCGTCAGTATGACAGTGTGGGAGAACTCGTGCGAGCTTTGGAAAAAACGTATGTGATTAATAATAAAACAAAAGGAGATGCTGCAGGAATGTGGGTTGGGCTTAGTCAGATACGTTCATTGCTCCCTGTTCAAATGTCCCAAGAAGAAGAAGAACTTATGAGAGAAAGATTATGGTATGTGAATTCTACATCTTTACCTCTTTCATCCTAGATTACTTTTTTTTTTTTAAACCGTGTTTGATGGGTGATTTGAAGCTGAAAATTTTGAGGTCACATTCAATCTTTTTAAAACTTGGAGAGTTACAAAACCTATTGCCCTGATTTTAAGACAAAGATTTCCTGAAATGTTCTCGCTGCTATTGGTGAAATTCAAGCAGATTGTATGAAAAATAGAACCATCATAAACCTTAGACAGAAAACTGATTACCTGAGCTGAAATATGCCCAGATGCACAAGGGTAGGTTTAGTTTACCGTGACAGGTTTAGATTTTCCCAGTAATAGATTTTTAAAATTGGCTGATTCAAATCTGCCTTGATACATAAAACATGTATACTTGTCAAAGCTTATCGTAGGTTAAAATTTCTAAAGCAGCAGCCCGTGACAATGGTGGTATCAAAAACATAGGAGTAAAAACGGGGTACAAGGCTAAAAAGTACACATAAAAACCGAGACGTCGTCTCGGCAGCTTATCTTGATCCTTCAACGAATATTCGCAAATAGATAGGCCCATAACACTTCAATAATTAATATAAACTTAAATTTCAGGAAGCTTGTGAACAATCACACATTCTTCCAGCATCCAGATCTTATTCGAATTTTGAGGGTGCATGAGAATGTCATGGCTATTATGATAAACACTCTTGGACGCAGGGCTCAAGCACAATCAGATGCTCCGCAAGTCGGCACTGGAGCACTAGATGGAGAACCAGTAGCGAAAGAAAAGGTCAGTTCATATCTATCATCAACAGTTGGCCCTGTCATGTATTTTTTATGCAGAACCAACGCCATTCAAGTGTGTCTGTTGTCGTGACAGACATTGCACAATTTTCAATGTTTCATTCCATCTCTTAAACTGAAAAGAGGAGTGGAAAACTTCCTCGCTTAGAATAAGGCTGAGCTGTAGCCTGGAAGAAACTTATTTATATTTTTGTAGTATCTTGAATTAGTGATTTTAAATCAACAACATCTTGAAAATAACCCGGAATAAGAGACAGTCTGTAGAAAAAGGAGCTGTTTACATCTCAAGCATCTTGAAAAGAAGACTATGACGCAAGTGTAAAAATTTAATGGCTACCCCGTGAATACATAAAAATATGCAATCAATTATTTATTGAAAATATGTTTCTTTATTTACAGGATACTTCTCATGAAATGGTGGTAGCTTGCTGTAGATTTCTCTGTTACTTTTGTCGTACCTCTCGGCAAAATCAGAAAGCCATGTTCGACCATTTATCATTCCTATTGGAAAACAGTAACATCCTACTGTCTAGACCTTCTTTGCGAGGAAGCACACCTCTTGATGTTGCTTACTCTTCTTTGATGGAAAATACTGAACTGGCTCTAGCCTTAAGGTAATAAGTGTGGCTATTTTTTGGTCAGATTTTTAAAATTCAAAAATTCTAGTCGGCGGATGCAGGGCGACTAGTGACCGTGAAAACTGGGAAAAGTCAGGGAATACAACTCGACAGGGAAGGGTCGGGGAATTTTGTCAACAGTCAGAGAATTTTTTGTGGAGCTGGATTCCATGTAAAAATTGGGTCTGCGACAAGCCAGTCGATCGCGTTATTGTGCCAATGTCCTGCTCACATTCATACATTCATTGAGTGGCCTTACGCTATTGTAAAAAAGTCAGAGAACGATAAAATGAAACAATACCAGGCACCCTGCGGATGTGATCCTAACTGCTATATTGACGTCTATCCAATCCAACCGATTTTAGTGAAACATGATATAGAAGATATTTTTTGACAAGAATTCAGAATTTTAATCATATTGTAAAAATTTGAAAATTTAAAGTGGAAGATAAAGTCTAAAATCCAATGTCAGTGAGTCCTTAGCTGATTTGAGTTCTAATTGGAATGTGAGGGGATTTTCCAATTCAACGTGCATGGTAAAATTTCAAAAATTCAAGATGGTAGATGTGGTGTAGTAAGCTCTCCTAATACAACAGATTTATGCGTAGCTTTATTTTCTATGGTATTTTACAACAAAAACCGAAAATTAGGTCCAATTCTCCACACTTATAAATTTAAGATAATGCGTCGGACTCTACATCCTTTACAAAGCTCAATCCTGTTTCTGTTTATTCTCCTTTTAAAAATGTAAGATGGTTACCAAACCTAAAGTGGCCGTTGTTTAAAATTCATTAATAACAAGTGAAAAAAATCTGCAAGAATAATGTGTTTCTTCTCAAAGAATAAATATGATGCTTCAAATATTTAATGCAACATGGAATTGCTATCTTATGTAATCGCATCCTCATGCCAAAGTCTGATCGTTTTCTCTCAAAAATGACTTGAGTCCAAAATGTGGGAGCAGCTTTGGAATGTTTAATGTATTTTTATGTGTATTTGTTGTAAATTTTCTAAACCAAAAAACTGCGCTCTTTCATTATTTGTTTTTATTGAATTTTTCTCTTCTCTTTTCCTTCAGAGAGCATTATTTGGAAAAAATTGCCATCTACCTTTCACGTTGCGGTTTGCAATCAAATTCCGAATTGATTGAGAAAGGTTATCCTGATCTTGGTTGGGATCCAGTTGAAGGGGAGCGTTATTTGGATTTCCTTAGATTCTGTGTCTGGGTCAACGGTAGGTTCATTAGCATTTTCCCGCCAGCAACTTTTGTTCACCTTTTAATCGTTTCAGTCTCTTTCAGTATCTCTTTTAGCCCCTCAAGTACTTTTCAATTCACGAGGTTCTAATGTTTGGTCGGCTCAGTTTTCAAATAATTTGTAAAAACTCATCTGAAATGGGTCAGTAGACCTCAGGAGGACTTGGCTTGTCAATAGTTGATTTTCATAGTCATTGGTTCAAGTAAAACAATGCGCACCTGGAATATCGCAAAATAAATCATCTTTGCAGGGAAACATCACTTTTTTAGTGTTCCTCAAAAACGTGCCATTTTGGCAAATGCAGTGATCGGAAAATCTAGTCAGTACATTAACTGACAGGTAAACTTGTCAAAATCGCACAGCGCAACGCTACTCTTCTGCTGATCAACAATATGCATCAACTGTACTTTGTCAAATTTTCTTCAATGGATTCCACTGTCATATTGATCTTGATGCATAAATTGGACTACTTTTTGCATTTAGGAACTACAGTTTCTAGCTCAGTTCAGAAAGTACTAGTTTCCCTATGCACTTAAGTATTTTTACATATGAGTTAGAAATTAAAGCTCATAATTGCAAAATAAAGTTCAATTCAAAAGCTGCAAGTGTACTGATAAGACCTTGTTTTTGACTATCCTATTTTTTTTTCACTTTAGAGTGAAATTTTCTCCCATTTGCGGCTACTAAAACATTTCCTGGAAAAACAAATGGCTCAGTTGTTTGATACTTTCAAATGACACAATAAAGTTAATGTCTCGACCGATCCATTCTTCATTTGAGATATCCTATTCACCAAAAGTTTGTTCCGCCCTCATTTTCTAACAGTTTTTTTTTTTTTCATTGAGCAGTTGTCTCCAAATGTTTATCAAATCGATATTTAAATGATTAGCTCCTAATTTCTAACTCTTTATATTTTCAGGAGAATCAGTCGAGGAGAATGCAAATCTTGTTATCCGTCTTCTCATTCGGCGTCCTGAATGCTTAGGCCCAGCATTGCGTGGAGAGGGAGAAGGTCTTCTACGAGCAATTATGGATGCTAATAAAGTATATCCCTTTTTCTTTGTCCTCTTTACATTTTTCAATTGACTTTCAAAGATACTACCAAAATTTTTAAAAAATTATTCTTTTGGAATTTTTGCGTATTGACCAATTTGAATTTGTTTTCTTTCTAGTAAATATGCAAAATTGAAACTTGAAGCTTAGATTCTACTATCAAAATTGGTCGTAGATGCAACTTTTGAGTGTTTTCAATAAAAACTAAGAAGTGCTGCTTCTTTGCTAACAGAGTATCGAATGTATGTCTTTTAACACTCTGTTTACAATTTTTATTGATCAGAAATCAGAGGTGTCTCTTACTTTTGATTGATAGCACTCATCAGTCGCATCGATGACCCATTTTGATGGGCTCACTTTGATTGTCACTTTGATAGTAGATAGAGAGCGCAAATCCTGTAACACAGTTTACTGGTCAGCTCAATGAAAATTCCTATAATTTAGAACTAAAATGATTTAAAAGTTTTCTAGAAATTACAGATATTATATAATGTTCAAAAGGCTTCATTTTTAATTTGAAAATGAGGATTTAACCGTGCATATCTGGTTAATAATAATATTTAGCCTACCCGCAATTGATTATTATCGATGTTCGTAGATATTTCATTGATTCCTTGCATGTTATTAGTTAAATTTATTTTTTTAGTCATTCTTATCAGTGGTGAGTGACACTCCTTGGTTGAAAAATGATTTTTTGTCCAAGTACAAATCAGGAGCGCATATTGGTACACTTATGCATTTTACTCTTTCAAGTTCCATTATCAGAGACAAGAGTATCAAAAATATGGAATCATTCGCAATACATGTATGAAAAGAATTTTACTGGAGTTATTTCCTTTGCAGGAAGTAGTAAAGGATGTCATTTACAAATCCTAGTTTTTAAACGAATGAAAAATAATGAAGTAACAAAAAATACAACTCATTGCAGCAGGCTTTTTATGAACAATACTAAAAATACAAAAAATGATTTATAGGTAAGTCTGCTGCTGTCTCTACTTAGTGTTATTTGAAATTCAAAGTGCTGTTAAATGCTAAAAGGACCCCGCACACCTCTTATGGGAAGCTGCACCACGTCCGATTGCCTTCTGACTTATGTTTTTCGATTCTCCTCAAGATGCTGATCAAAAGTTATAATTGCGCCAACTTTCTACGATGCACCGTTTTCGCAAAAACCTAAGAGAAGATTCAATTATTCGGCGATAAAAAGCCAGAAAGATTCCTCATTTCAGTACTCGAGTGAACAAATCAGGGGAACTCCCGCACTGAGCGGCAGTCTTATCTCGGATTCCGCTCGCCGTTTTACTCGACCATACAAATCAGATTCTTGAGGAGCATAAGAACAGGAAAGTCTGAACGTCCACCGGGCGAGTGCGGGAGAGAGATAGCCTCTGAGTCGGCAGGTACAGATAAGAAGACGGACACGCGCTACGTTTTTTCCTTATTTACATCGGGCCTGTCCTCAAATGCTTTGTTCTTTTTTATTCATAGTCGCCGAATAATTGAATCTTCTCTTAGGTTTTTTGCGAAAACGGTGCATCGTAGAAAGTTGGCGCAATTATAACTTTTGATCAGCATCTTGAGGAGAGTCGAAAAACATAAGTCAGAAGGCAATCGGACGTGGTGCAGCTTCCCATAAGAGGTGTGCGGGGTCCTTTAAATGTTCCATTTGATTTATTTACTCTGGGTTATAATTGTCAACTTCTAATCATCAATAAATCAACAATTGTCTGTGATTGCTGATTGTAGATGTCTGAACAAATAGCTGACCGGAAAAAGTTAATGGATGAAGCTGAGGGGTCAACGGCGGTCATGCAATTTGAGCATCCGTTACCAGAGTCCGATGAAGATGAAGACTATATCGATACTGGAGCAGCAATTCTTAACTTTTATTGTACCCTTGTAGATCTTCTTGGTAGATGCGCACCAGATGCCTCAGTCATTGCACAGGTAACATACTTTAATGTATTTCTCTTTTATCTCTCCTATTGAAGGATTCTCCCATTTCAGGATTTTGCAGGATGCTAAACCTGGCTCCCTGAACTAATGTCATCTGCCGACAAGGTCGAAAAAGACCTAAAGCGGTACATATCTCTCAGCAGGACTCTAAGTAAGAATTCCAATGCACCTATTTGAGCTGGAAAACCCTCCTCCCCTCCTCCCCCAGTCTTTCACTGAAACTCATTAGAGCACATTTTGCATACTTTTTTGTGTTTTAATTCTTGAAAATTCTGCAGGATTCTTTTTGTAGCTCTAATTCTAATTTTTGGTTTTTTCCAATAACTTGACCCCATTGTGATATGGACTGCGTTGAACAGAAAGGAACTAAGCCAGCTATTGCCAAATTTGACTGGGTGTTTTAATTTTTTATGAGAGAACGTTTGTGCAAATTCCTTTGAAAACTTTAAGGAATTTGCTTCGTACTGTGGCGAAAATTCACTGGAATTTGCACGAAAATCCGCACAACCATTTTCATGTGAAAAATTTAATTGCCCAAATAAAGTTGGCAATAGCTGATGTGGCTTTGTTTCTTTCTGTTTAATACAGTCCAAATAAGTGTACACTCTCCAAAAAAGTGGTCCAATTGTAATATCTACCCTATAATTTGCCTGTCATTTTTTGCTCTAAAAAACTCTGTCAGCGTTTTTCACTACCATCTCTTTTGTTTTTCCTTCAATACTGCAGAAGGTTCTCTGCACTACCTCCCTTGAAATAAAACATTTAGTCTCTTAAGAGCTACTCAAAATAAGTTTTGAAGTCACGATTTCCTTTAACTGGCAAAGTGATCAGTGTAAATGCACTGTGCCCAGTCAGTCCAAAGGAAATTCAGGCTTAACTGTTTTCAGTTCCATCTACATTTGAGCATTTCCAGTAAAGAAAAAGTCAAGCACATAACTATATTTAAGTACCCACTAATGGAGACTCTCAAGTACTTATGAGCTTTTAGTGCAGACAGCAATCATACAATCAAAGTTCTCATGCAATACCTAAGGAAGTGAGATGACTGTACTAAACATTTTCATTAACTTCCTTGCAGGGGAAGAATGAGTCTCTCCGAGCAAGAGCAATTTTGCGTTCATTAGTGCCCTTGGAAGATCTACTGGGTGTCTTAAGTTTGCGATTCACGCTTCAAAATCCTGCTGCTGGTGAAGAAAGACCAAAGAGTGACATGCCATCTGGATTGATTCCTGGTCACAAGCAGAGTGTCGTGCTGTTTCTGGAACGTGTCTATGGTATTGAGCAGCAAGACTTGTTCTTCAAAATTCTTGAGGAAGCCTTTTTGCCGGATTTAAGAGCAGCCACAATGCTAGACAGAGTAGGTCAAATGCATTTTACTTGTTTTTCAATTATATTTATTATTCTTCTATCATACTTTTCTTTGTATAAGGTAACAAAAATGTCTCCAAAAGCCCAAACAATTTCAACAGCGTACGAAGGAGCCAGGAATAAAAACAAAACGTCAGCTTTATGAGCGAAAAAAGGAGCCTTAAAAACACCTTTGCATGGGGCCCAAGAACCTATATTGACACGCAATAGGTTAATTTTAATAGCATGTAAATATTCATTAGTGCTTAAAGTGAGAAAAGGAGAATTTAAGGAAAATGTATCATTCATAATTTTTTCCTCGCCATTTTTTTCCAGAATGATGGATTAGAATCAGAGATGGCACTAGCAATGAACCGATATATAGGGAATTCAATTTTACCTCTGCTGATCAGTCACTCAAGATTTTATAATGAGTCAGATAACTATGCAAACTTACTAGATGCTACTCTCCATACTGTGTATCGACTATCAAAGAACAGAATGCTCACTAAGGGTCAAAGAGAGGCTGTCTCCGATTTCCTTGTTGCACTCACCAGGTTTGTATTTAAACAACCATGTTATTCATATATTTTTATATTTTTACTAATGAAGTAGGTATTCAGAACTTCGAGGTATTTGATGTCATTATATATAGTGGCCTATGTTTCCATGACCGTCCATAAGAAAAAGAACCTCAGTCCCTTAAGGAAAATTGTGCAGTTGAGAAATTTATTCTGAATGGCCATTCTGTTCCCCAGAACATGGTAGATTTCAGTGTGGGATAGTTTTGGAAATGTGCCCTAATCAAAAACTTGACTCAACTGGAAATCGACCCGACTGGAAAAGTGTTTCAACTCAAAATTTGGTCTTCTCGGATGGAGAATAACCAATTTCAATACCAATATATCATAGATTTTCTAAAAAAATCGCAAAAATTCGATATATGCGATTGATATATGGCCTCGTTAACGTTAAAAATCAATTCTACAAGAAAAACTACGTAGGTGTCGGTGTACTACAATCATATTAGGTGCATTTAGTCATGCATGAATCAAAAATGAACAATATCAATCTCAGAAAATCGTTGATTTTCCGTAAAGAATCTTAAAAAATCGATATACCTGATCGATATATCGACTTGTCAACATTAAAACTCGATTTTGCCTGTAAAAATACGTAGGAACTGGCGTGTATAACATGTGCAAACAACGATAACAACCCCGTAGACGCATCAACTCAACAAGAAAATAGCGAAAAATAAGGCCGAAGTTTGACCCCTTTGCCCCCCCGTAACTCGAAAACGGTTCCTATACTCATCTTGAAATTTTTTCCTGAGTTTTCTGTTATTATAAGCTTCCACTTAAACCTTGGTTTGATGGTCGAATCGAATACAGAAAAAGGGGCGAAATTTTGGGAGGCTCTTTAAGTTATGTTGGTTCCAAGTTTACAGTCCAGGGAAAGTTGCCCGGAGAGAAAGCTGTTCTAAACTATAATTGTATAATTTGCCATGTCCAGGGTACAAAATAGCCAAAAAGATTAGCTGTAAGTTTAGTTTCACTCTAAGGTAGACTTAAAAATACATTGATTTACATGTGTCAGTTTTTCCCGAGCAATTTTTAAGGGCCGTAGAGATCTCCAACTTTTTGCAAGTTCTGTCAAAGAATGCATCAATGGCTGAACTGAACTTGCATGGTGGTGATTATTACTGTCTACTTTTCAGCCAATTGTGAAATCTTCAGGAAAAAGACGGTAAGAAGATGATAGATATGAAAGTCTGACCAACTGCTCTCAGAAAAAGGTTCACTTTGAGGGAACAAGAGGTGATAGAAGGCTAAAATTTGACTCCTAATAGTAACCTCAAAAAATGGTAGCTTGCGTCTCGCTATTTTGGGTCCCCATGGTACTATCTGTTTCTATCAACATTTAATTGGAAACTCTTTATGCTCACATTTTCCTCAATAAAACTGTTTCTGTCTCTGGAATCAAATCTAATTTTTTTTAAAAATATTTTTCAGTCAAATGCAACCAAGTATGCTGCTAAAATTACTACGGAAATTGACTGTAGATGTATCAACTTTATCTGAATACACCACTGTCGCTCTCAGGGTAAGCCATCACTTCCACTTATTCTTAAATATCTTTGGAATGTGTACATCTCAAACAAAAAATGTTTCATGCTATTTAAATAAAATATATCATGAACAGGAAGCTCACTTCATTGTTAATGGGCCTGTTGCAAACTTTTGCTAGAGCAAAAATAAGAGTTGTTTCTTGTAGACAATGCCTCAAAAATCACGATGAGCGCATCGGCAAAATCTGAAATGCACTCATAACTTCACAATCTGCGTAAGAAATTTGCGTTTTTTTAAGCTTCCCGCTTCAAAAACGATACTACGGCACAGGTGAACATTTTGTTAGAGGAGTCGCTCCATCGTCGGCGATATTCATCATGGCCGACGCTTGCGCGCAGTTCCGCGCGTAATTCGAGGAGAGTTCAAGGTCAACCAATTCGGGCGTGGAAAATATGAACGTTAACACACCGATTGTTATCTGGTCTAATCCAGTTCAGGTGTTATCTCGTCCCTTCAAACGTGTTTTGGCGGATTGGCGTCGGCCATGATGATTATTGCCGACGACGGAACGACTCCTCTTACAAAATGTTCACCTGTGCCGTAGTATCGTTTTTGAAGCGGGAAGCTCAAAAAACCGCAAATTTCTTACGCAGACTGTGAAGTTATGAGTGCATTTCAAACTTTGTCGATGTGCTCATCGTGATTTTTGAGGCATTCTCTATAAGAAACAACTCTTATTTTTGCTCTAGCAAAAGTTTGCAACAGGCCCATTACACAGAAAATGAGCAAAATCACTGAAAGTAAAAATCCATTTGTAATGGATTGAGCTATTCCCAGTCTGAAAATTGTATAAACCTTTGTGAAATTCAAAGTAATTAATCCCATTGTGAAAAATTAAATTCAAGTCTAAGAAGCAAAGTTCACCTTTGTGTTTACACACAAGTGATGTACATATTTATACCAAGAGGATCGAAGTGAAAATTAATTCAATCATGAGGAACTTTGTGCATAGTTTTATGTGCTACATAGTTCTTTTTGTTTCTATTCATTATCACATTTTTCCTTCGTGCGAAAATATGTCCAGATAATCATGAAGCTGAAGAAAATTCTGAAATAAGTTTAACAAGAAGCTGGTTTGTTCTCAAAAACTGAATACAAACTAAAACAAGGGGAGCAAGAAGGTAAAAAAAGAAACTGAGTACATAATCTCGTAATACTTAGAATTTTTTAATCCAGGATTTTTAAATGCAGCGTAGGCTGTAGAACAAATTATACCTAGATACATTGTTTGTAAATTATGCATACATGCACATATTTATTACAATGGTTTTTTTCAACAGTTGTTAACCCTCCATTATGATCGTTGTGCAAAATACTATGGTTCATCTGGAGGTCAAGGATTATATGGCGCTTCAAGTGAAGAGGAAAAACGGTTAACCATGATGTTGTTCAGTAACATCTTTGATTCCTTATCCAAAATGGTAAGTATGTCATCGCATTATTTAAAAATCTCCCTTTAGGTGTCAAGGCCATAAAGAAACATACATGTTATACATTTTTAAGCTAAAATTGCATACTGATCAAAAACTTTTTATGAAACTCTATTTTGCATCAGTTATGAGAAAATAATTATTGATTATAAGGAGTAGATAATCGTTTTCTAGGGATCAAAGTTACCTCCCAGGAAGCCAAACAAATATTCAGTTAAGTAAACGTCAGTACAAAACTGTGGAAAACAGAATGTAAAATGTCAGTTAATTTCGAAATCACAAAGTAAAAAGCCCCAGAATGATTTTCTGTACAAGCAAAAAATACTTGATCTTTAAAAGCTGCTAAGAAAGATGTAAAATATGTGAACTTTTAATCTCTTTCAGGATTATGATCCTGAGTTGTTTGGGAAAGCATTGCCATGCCTGATTGCCATAGGATGTGCATTACCACCAGATTACTCCTTGTCGAAGAACTATGATGATGAGTGGTATGGATCAAAAACACAAGTTCAAACAGGGCCTGCTGATGGACCTTACAACCCGCAGCCCATCAACACATCTAGTGTCCAGCTTAACAATGACCTCAACACTATAGTGCAAAAGTTCTCAGAGCATTATCATGACGCCTGGGCAAATCGCAAGCTGGAAAATGGATGGGTGTATGGGGAGCAGTACTCAGATTCACAGAAAGTTCATCCAAGGCTTAAACCCTATGCAATGCTGAATGATTATGTAAGTATATTATTCATCTTCCTTTTGCTGGAATGAATTAGAGGAATATCATTTCTGATATGATGAGAAAGGTCATAACCAGTGGTTCTCACGAGAGGTCATGCAATAAGTGGTCCAATTTGTTGGCATTGAGAATTTGGGGGAAAAAGAGAATTTAGGTGGTCTTTCATAGTTATTTTTTGAAGCACAAAATCTAACGTCTCCAATGTAAGAACTCATCATTCAATGTATAGATGATTTTAAAATTGAGAGCCATTTCTATGCAAATCTATCTTGTTCTATTTTTTAATTAATAACACAGCTGTTTTTTCATTTAAGGTGGAAATTGTTTTATGTGCTCAAACGTAGTTCAGTTCAATATCACTTATAATCAATGCTGCAAAATTTCCCAATGGACTACTAGACAAGGCACGATTTCAAGCATTCTGATACACATTTCTTAAGCAGAATTTCATGTAGAACACGATTCGCGCAACAAAAATTACTGAAACCAACTCCTAATGAAGATAGTAACTTTTTTATTTTACATTGGTTACGCGGATTTTGAACTGCCCGCTCACAAGAAACTCAAAGCTCTACATGAGTCAAATCGTGCACTACAACGGTTTCAGCAAGCCTCTCAATCGAGCAATGTTCATTTCCCACCGTGTGTTGTTCAAACTATATGCTACTCGCTATAGCGGAGCCAAAGTGTCAAGATTGAGGTTGCCAGATTTTCTTATCGCAAGAGACTGTCATGATAACATTTAGCGCAATGTGAATCACGCAGAACATTGAGTTTTCATGAGCGGGTGATTTGAACTCACACATCAAGAATCATTAAGTATCTTTGTAAGAAGTTGATTTCGATCATTTTCGTTGTGCGTATTGTGTTCTACGTGAAATTTTGGTTAAGGAACATGTATCAGAATGCTGAAATTTGTACCTTGTCTAGTGGTCCATTGTCCCCTTTAGCTCTTATAAAAGTCTACACCTCTTATGAAATCATTGACACTGGCTATGATCTATCTCATTTTGTAGATAATTGCTACATTAATGCTCTACAGCTTTGTGAAAAAAGCATCCTCAAATATAGAACGATGAAAATTCAAGTCAATTTTTGTCATACCACCTTTGGTGTGAATAATTATTACTGTGAGAATTTACATGAGCATCTGTTGTTTTCTCACATCATCAGTAAGCTTGGGTTTCTTTAAATTTTTCTTCTCTCTTGCTATTTGACTCTGATGTCTGACTATTTAATCCTACAAATAAGCCGCTAGTTTTATCACAGTCAAAGAATTTGACAAACTAACCACTTTTTGTCTCTTATGACTGTCTTTGGGGATATTTTCATCTTGCCAATCTCTTGCAGAATCAAGGATAAGAAATGGCTTCAATAAAGACTCTTTATCTTTGAAGAGAATTCATCATAAAAAAAATTGTTAAACAAGACTAAAAACAAGGAAAGCATCAAATTAAATAAAATGGGAAGTGCTAAATTTGAAGAACTCCAACTTTCCTCACTTCTTTCTTTATCTATCCGCCATTTCAGAGGTTTTGTCTCCTTCCATTTTCAGCAGTAATACCGGGCTATTCCCATTTTATTCAGTTAATAATATATTTCTGATGATCATGCAATTATGAATCCTTGGAATGATGAAATCTCTATATTTTCAAAATCTTCACTCTATTCATGAATGGAAAATCTTTTGGAGCCACCTTTGATGTATGTGAGGCAGCTTCGCCCGGTCTTGCTCACAAATGGCCTGTCATGTAAACATTGAAGTTTTTAATGTAGTTGAAAGGACAATGTATTGAGGTCCTGGCACACAAAAACTGTCCTTTAATTAAAGCCCTGTTCAACCCCTCCTTTTCTTCCTTTTTCTAGATGAAAGATCTTCCTCTCTCATCAGTTTTAAACAGTTGAGCTTTTCACTCTGCCGTATTAACTTTTTTGTGAAAAGTATTATCAAGTGAATTTACTTTGGATACTGAATCGTCATCAATTGATTTTTTACACTTTAAAGAACAACAATAGAACTTCTTTACTTATTGAATTAAAAGATTTATAATTATATGCTAATTTAAAATACGGTAGAGTCAACATATAATCGATCCGTCTTTGCGCATACTTATTTATTCTTTTTTGATGTAGTTTGTTCCTCTTCCAAAGTAGACGCATTTGAGACAGTCTGTACTTTTCAATCTAGCTTATTGAAAGTTGCGCCTGTAGAGTTCCTGTTTTGACCAGAAAGGTTGTGACTGAAGATAAAAATGAAGTATTCAGGCAGTGCCATTTTTTTTTAGCTGGCTTATGATCTAAACCTTTTGTACACAGGAACTGTACTCTTTTGCATCTATCATTTGAATTTCTCCCTATTCCTCCTTCCCTGCAGGAGTTTTGATGTAACTGCATGTAAGAAATGTCTTCACCTTCTTCCTGAACTTTCTTCAAATTCTTTTTTTTCAAGTTTTGTACTATATTTTTACCAATACATTTTCTCCCATTTTTGTGTAGGAGGTAATTGGAACTTAAATCGTAAGTCATTCTGCCTCCAATAATTATTCGGAATTTTGCTTTTTGTTTCGTCAACACTTTATACAATTTTTCCTTTAATTCTTTCTTCTCACTGTCTTACAAGTCTTGACACATGTGTTTGAAATTTTGCATCAAAATTACTGCTTCTCTACTACCACCAATATTTTGGTATGGAAAGTAATGCACTTCTCTAAAAGTCTAGAAAATCTGCCCTGTTAACTTATCCTTTTTATTTCAATAGTAGTTCTAGCCATTAATTTTCTTTTCTTCTTCTTTTATTGAGCTGCCCAAAAAATCTAAGTTTGAACTGTCACCATAACATATCTGCAATCTGAAGCACTTGGAAAAACGCTCGGTGCACACTTATGCATGTAATGATATGGCATCTTCAAACAACCCTCTTTATTTTACCAGCAATGAAAGTGAGAGCTTTGAAACTGTCTCAAAGAAAAATTCTTTGACCCAACCTAAAAATGTGTCCGAGAATGAAGTTTAAAGTCAACCAAAAAATAACAAGAGTTGAAATCAGTTTGATGGCTGAGGAATTACGTCTTTACTAATTGTATTGAGTAATTTATGAGCTTTTAGATATACTTGCTTGACGAGAATTGATTTTTGACAAGTTTGTTTTTTAAATCATCATCATTTTGTCAGATGAAGTTGAGTTTATCTGAAAAAAAGTACATAATCTATTTTCTCAGAAAGGAAAACCAACTTATCTGAAAAGCAGTCCACCAACATTTCAAAATGGTGGAGTTTATGAAATGTAATAAGATATTATGATCAGCCTTATGACTGCCTTATTATACCTTCAAAAGTTGCTAAGATTAACCAATCTTTTTCTACCTTTTCATCGGAACTTGTGGCCCTACGTAATTAATTTTTTCTATCAAAGTACAATTTGTGCAATAAAAATTTAAACTTTTTGATTAATTTTGTCCCAGAATTTGCCAATGTATTATTTCAGGGCAAGGATCATTAGCACTAATGTTTTTATTATGTTTCTTTATATAAACTGCTCTAAATTTTTGTGTATAGGTACAAGTACTCTCCTAGGTGTAATATAAAAATCTTTACTTCTGAAACAAGGTGTCACAATAAATAAACTGTCTCAAGTTTTTTTTAGCTACTGAATGTTTTGGCATATTTATAATACAAGAAATCAAAGTATTAGTCATGTTTGTATGATTATGATAATTCGAAACTGGTTTTTTGATATGATGATGTAGTTTTTTGAACAATGGTGCATTATTTTGCAAAGCTTGCTTTGTATAGTGCACATGCATTGAAATTAGTTTTTTCTTCACATTTAAACTCATCTGCTATTGGAAAATGCTTTTTACTTTTACAAAGAGTTTTATGCTCATTTTTATCCTTTCATTTTTTATCCATCGATTTTCAAAATTTCATTTTCTCTCTCATTTTTTGACATGATTTGATGATGTAGGCATTCAAAAGTAGACGAGTTACACTACGAGAATTTTAAACCAGCTTGATTATAACTGCTTAATCCATTTTTCGTGCAATTTTATCTTTTCAGCCTATTGCTAAGTTTTTATTTTGCTGATTTCCTAGTTATCTCTATAAGGCTTGCGTTGCTTGTAAATTTTTTGCAATGCTTTTCGCATAACCATGCACTTAGAGCTGCTGATATATACAGAGTGTACAGTTTGCTTGGAGAACCAAGGTGTCAAAGCCTCTTGATTTCTGTAATTGCAACAAAATAAGCCTTCTCTTTTACAATATTTCCTAGCATTATTTCAGATTAACCACTGGTAAAATTTCTGTAGGGCTAATGTTTTCAATTCTTGAATGAAAACAACAAATATAGTTATTTTGCATAACTAATCACCTAGATATCCTAATCACTTAGGTATAATTAAACGCTTCAATATTTGTTTGATAGCTTTTCTCCCTCATGCAAAATTGTATGAAAATTAATATTTTATACTGCTCAATTCATTATTTTCTCTCGTCCAGATGAAGTAATTTTTTTTTTCTAGTTTTCTAAATTAGTTTTTGTATTATCCCCTCGGTAAAAAACACAACTGAAACAAAAATAACAAAACAAAACAAAAAAAAAACCAAAAAAAACACTTCAGTAAAACCTGTCGGCACAAATACCTTATTTCAATTATTTGGTAGTTTTCAGAAAAAAGTAAGTATTACATAAAGCATCATTTTTATCCAGAATAAGAATAAGAAGGCTCTGAAGGGTACCTATCAGAGCTTTTTTTAATGTCAGTACGAAAATAGGTAAGTATTAGTCTCAAAGTGAATAAGGTTAGAGATGTTGCACAAAACTTCTTAAAATTGTTTATGTAAATATGTCTAACTCAATTTGACTTTATTGTTTAAAGTGGACACATTTTGCCAGCTCTACCTTTCACATATTTAGTGCGACAGTTTCCATATGCCAGCAAAGCGTGAGTGCTTTGAACAAAGCTGTGCAAGTCAGATGAAAATGTTTGCAATTTTTTAAGGTCCTACTCTCTATTACTTATTGTTCAGTAGGTACTTTTATACTAATGAAGAGGCTTTAATTTTTACAGCAAATCTTTCAGATAGGCTGAGATCAGAAAGTTGGAAGCCCTTCTTGGGTTTTTTCGTTTTTGTTTGATATTTTTTTATTATATTAATCCATATTTTCGCCAATACATTTTTCAGGAAAAAGAACGTTACAAAGAACCAGTGCGAGAGTCTCTAAAAGCACTACTTGCCATCGGCTGGACTGTGGAACACACAGAAGTTGATGTCCCAATTTCTAACCGCAACTCTGTCCGAAGGCAATCAAAAGCTACTTTAGATACAGCAACACCATTCAATTACCATCCGAATCCTATCGACATGACAAATCTGACACTAAGTCGAGAAATGCAGAATATGGCAGAGAGATTAGCTGAAAATGCACATGATATTTGGGCAAAAAAGAAAAAGGAAGAGCTTGTCACATGTGGTGGAGGTATACACCCTCAACTCGTCCCATACGATTTACTCACAGATAAAGAAAAACGCAAGGACAGAGAAAGATCACAAGAGTTTTTGAAATATTTGCAGTATCAGGGATACAAATTACACAGGTGAGTATTCATAAAATCGAAGTCGTATTCCGTTATAAAATTTTGAAGCCAAAGTATCTCATGCCAGAGTAACCATTCCGTAAGAAACTTCATAACATTTATGAATTTTCTGAATTGAAGGGTGCAGGGTGTGAACAACGTTTTTGTAATTTCAAGAAAAAAGGTTGACAGTTCAAATATTGCATTGGTTTGTGTGCATTTAGTCCAGATAATAGTCAAAAGGGATGTGAGATTACAAATTGAGCGCAGAAATTACACCTTTTACTCTATGACAATGGTAATCCCTATAGATTAGTTCAACTTAATCTTGTTGATCCAGTTTTCGTGAGTTGTTTTCTCAATTAAATGTATGAGTTGCTTAATCGTCCTTAATAGTCATTGTTAAATTGCTAGTCATTGCCTGAGTTTTAAACCCTTCAGAAAAATAATTGTTTGATCAAAGGTGCTCATCGTATCTGAAACCAAATCTAAAAATGTGATACATTCATATTTGTTTTCTTTTGCTGTATTATCCATTCTCCTCAAAAAGCAAACTGATGAGTTTTTCAATGATTTTTTAAAATTCTCTTGAAAATCTGGCTGTATTACCCACTCTCTGCATCTGTTTCTTTTCTTTCTGTAGGCCAAACCGAGGGACAGCAACATCAGAGGCTGAACAGCTGGCTGCCGTACAAACTGGCGAGTTGCGATTCGCATATAGTCTTCTTGAAAAATTAATACAATACATGGATAAAGCCTCAATTAATATGAAACTTCTGAAGCCATCTGCAACATTTAGTAGGAGAAGCAGTTTTAAAACTTGCTCCAGAGATATAAAATTTTTCTCAAAGGTATGTAACTATTTGTTAAAATAATGGAGAGGCTAGGTGCAGGAATGAAACATCTTGGTTTCATTGTTTCAGAATCTCTCCTAACATTTCATCCACTGCAAGGGAAGCAAATGCATGTATTTCCTTTAAACTTTGATCAAATATTCTTTTGTTCCAAACAAAAAATTCCAAAAAATAATCACTAATGAGATTTTTCTCTAAAGTATAAATTACCAGGAGAAATTCTAAAAATTCCCAACCCAGAAGTAATCCGCTTGCATCCATTGCCTCAATTTAACATGATGAGTTGAATTCATTTTAATTTCATGTACGTAGCGATGCATTAAATGTCATCATTTTTAAGTTTCTAATGCTGCAATCGTGCAAGCGATGAATGGAAAATGGGAAATAAAAAGAGAATCTTTCACTAAATTGGTGTGCATTACCTCAGTTGAGGAATGTCCTCGTTTAATGAGTCTTGACTCGCTTCCCTCACACTTAGGTGATTTTGCAAACACAATTTAGTAATTTCATTGTAAAGTAGGCTACAATAGCTTGAATAGTAGTCAACTATCCACCCGCTCATCATTTTTTGTCTCTCTTTTTTTGTTTACAGGTTGTTTTACCTCTGGTGGAAAAATACTTTAACTCTCATCGTAACTATTTTATTGTCGTGGCAACAGCTTCAAATAATGTTGGTGCTGCCTCATTGAAAGAGAAAGAAATGGTTGCAAGGTATTGTTCAAAAATTCTCCTTTGTTGATACGTATATATTATGTCCTGTTGGTGAAACGGCCTGTCCACATAAGAGCAGGGCTTTTTGTCCTGTCCGCAGACTGGCCAAGTTTCTGGTCGCATACACAGTGAATATTCACAAACAGATCGAGGCAGACAAACGAGTTGTATAGACAGTAAGTTGGAAATGCAGCCAACATGCGTTAAAATTCAGAAAGCTGGAAATCTCTATACAGAGGGAAAAAGCTCATCCGAACACCATTTTCCCTCAAAGAGATACACTGTTCGATGCAACACTAGTTACAACCATTCAGGAAGGCAACTGCAGGAGGCAGAAGTCAGGAGGCTGCGTTGCACTGATGAAGGGTCCAATTAAACCCAAAACCCACCTGCAGCTGCCTTCCTGAATGGTTGTTACTAGTGTTGTACCAAATAGCGTATTTCTTTGAGAGAAAATTGTGTTCAGATGAGCTTCTTACCTCTGTATTGAGATTTCCAGTTTTCTGCATTTCAATGCAAGTTGGCTACATTTTCCAACTTACGGTGAATATTGTTTGTAATGTCTTCATGGTTATATCAATAAAAGAACTGTAGCCCTGTTCAAATCCTTATTTAAGTAATACATCTGGTTTTTTGATGTGATGACGTCACCATCAGTCACATATTGATGGCTGAATCCAAAAAATGCTTTTTTTAAAGTGCAACTTTTAAGAATCAACATAAGAAAAATTGGAATTATGTATTATTTTTTTCAATAGAAAGAGAGAAGAAAATTTACAGGAAGATTAAATCAGAACTGTCGTTAAGTTTTCCCTTATAAAGATAAAACATAAGTGGAAACTTACAACTTTGCAATCTGAGGTACATATTTTTCAACTTTAGCTATTGATATCCCACATAGTAACGGGATTTTTCAGGGCAGGGTCTTCCTTTCGGTTTTCTGTAAGTGGATTTGTGCAAGTTGTCACACAGAGAAGCTTTGTCATGATGTTTGTTTATGTCCAGTAGTTCAATGTAAGGCTGCTGATAATATATTTCAGAACTGATAGTATAAAATCTGTCTAGTCTCAATGTTTTACCATCGTTTTGGTAATAAAAAAGAAGAAAAATGTGACTAAAATCCATTTGATCTGCTTGTTTAAATTTTTTTGGAACCGTACGAGTAAACTTTATCAAGACCCTTTTTTTTTCAATAGTACTCGACGGCAAAATTAAAACTCTCCTTTTAAAATGATTGTCTTACATAAGTTTCTAATTCAGATTCTCTCTCATTGCTTTCAATTTAGTTTATTTTGCAAATTGGCCAGTTTACTACGATCTCGTTTAGCAGCATTTGGAGCTGATGTTCGGATCACTGTTCGTTGTCTACAAACCCTAGTCAAAAGCATTGATGCCAGGTAAGACTTTTCCGTGGTGATTGCTGATTGAAGTGTTTTGAAGATAGTTTTGGATACTTTTTAAGTTTTTAAGACAGAGGATCATAAAAAATCTAAAGAGAGACTCGAGAATCTGAAATGCTGAAAAAATGTCTCCAAGTATCTTGCATCATCCATGGGGGCTCACTAATTTGCATCATAGTGATTGTAATAATTTTTCTGTCACAATTTTTTATGAGACGAAGTGTCATGTCATACTTGATGTAAATAGCTCCTAAACCATATAGTATTATTGCAGGATGTAGCAGCAAGTCATCTGTTACTGTCCATCTTACAAAGCTTGAGCTATTAAAATTGGTAAGTGACCACGCATCAAGCCTGGCTGCAATGACCTGGGCTTTCAATTCACTCTCTCCATTGTGCAGCCAAGAGAGGTTGGCAACCCGTGCATTGTGAAGAGAAGAACGATTACCTCTCATCTTCCCAAACTCTTGGCACCCGGACTGAACTTTTTAGCCATTGAATAATTACTATTATGGCAAATAGATTTATTTTCAGTGAAAAATTTTCATGATAATCCAATAAAATTCAGTCTATGATCATAATTTAAAGGTAATTTCTAGTATTTGCTTAAGATCGTAAATCAGTTTCAAATCATGCCAATAGATTAGAATTTCAATGTAATGTCACAAGAACTCTTTGTTGAACATTAATTTTCAACGGCTAAAAAATTCAGTTTAGGTTCTTGAAGTTTCCAAGGAGCGATGGAAGGTAACCACTGTTCTTCTTTGCACAATACATAGGTTGTGTCTGTCTTAGCTGCCTGATAGAGTCTTAAGTGAATGGCCAGGTCATCGCAGAAGTGACTGATGCGTTGTCCCTCGTAAATTTGAATCCTAATTTTACGAGCTCAGGTTCTGTGAAATGGACTATAATCATCTAATTTTCTGAAAATATTTCTAATATTAAAGTTTTGGTGTCCTTTTTAACAACGAGATGTTTAATTTTAGATCTCTTGTCAAGAATTGCCCAGAATTCATCCGAACATCAATGCTCACATTTTTCAATAATACAGCAGACGACTTGGGACACACAATCATCAATCTTCAAGAAGTGAGTTTTTTATGGAAAATACCGTTTCCATTCTTCATTCAATTGTCTATGCTTGTTCATTTTATGAACAGCCTAACAATTTCCCTCCTTAATGTAAGGCTTTGAGTTTAGTTGATCCTAACAAATCTACAAAGGCTGTGCTATTCATGAAAGTTATGTCACTGTCACAGTTGTAAGATTGAAGAAAGATTTAAAGAAACTGTTTTTACAAGGTTCTAGACAACGTAATTATGGTTCTAACATATTCTTTTGAGCTCATTTGATCAGAAGTTTGTCAAGATCACCATTTTACGACTGCTGGTAAGATTTTTAAAATTCTTAAGTGCAAATAAAGAATCTCAAGGACATTTTTATGAAAAAAGCCTCGGAAGCCTATAAATCTAATGTCATTGTTTAAGTCACAAGTAGAGCAGTAGTATCAGTCATACCAGTCAGACCTGATTTTAAGGCATATTTTACAATGAATCTGTGAGTATAAAAAAAAACCCAGCGTTTTGTTATCTGCCAAAAGAAATAGAGACTGCATGTTGAGCAGCTTGATGGGGTAAAAATTTTCTTCCTCGGAAATTTCTTCTGCAGTGGAAAATTTTCCAATACTCAGCTGCTCTTCCTTTTTCATTCAGATGTGAAATTTTTTTTCAGTTTTAAGGCAGTAATCTACTATTTTGATTTAATTTTTCAAAAACTTGATGAAATATTTGTATATTAATGATTTTTTACATTGTTTTAGGGGAAATATAGTCATCTGCGAGGAACTCATTTGAAAACTTCAACTTCACTTTTCTATGTCAATGATGTGATTCTTCCTGTTCTAACAGCCATGTTTGATCATCTAGCTGCTTGTGAATACGGCAGTGATCTACTTTGTGAGTAGTTCTCTCTCTCAGTTTTTCCTCAGATACGTTTTTCTCTTTTTTTTCTTCTTTTTTTTCTAAAGAGGACGGCAACCCTAAAATCGAAAATGAGATAGTATTAAAAATTGAAGCGGGAAGGTATCAGAAGCAAAATGGCTTTGTCCCAAATGAAAAATTGGCAGAATTGGTAGAGATATGAAAGATTCTAAGTGTGACTGGTGACATCATTCGCTTCCGGTGCGACTGTGGTTCACTTACACACAACTCAAAGTCTGGCACGTTCGCTGTCTGGTGCCGTGAAGTCGCCTTAATAGTCACACCCAAGCAAAGAAAATAGAGTCGGCTAGGAACGAGCGAGATTGGGGCGAACGAATAACATGTCGCGGACACGCATCGGCCACTTGCAGAGTGCAGACTGCGAAATGCGAGACGGAGCTCAAGACGTCACGCGCTCAGCTGTTTTTTCGCGATAGCGGCTCAACGAATGCAGATATTCGCAACCGGATTTTGGCATCACTCATTGCACACTTTTCTTTGTTGATTTTGCCAAACTTGTTTTTAAGGTTGCCGTCCTCTTTAAAGGAAGACATCAAGCTCTGATTAATTATTCTTTCATAGTATGAATCAGTAAATCAATTATTAGTCCCTTACTTTTTAGTGCAGTTTGTTTTTCTGCATTATTAGGTAGTTAGCATGACCCTTTCCTATCTACAACCTCAACTTAATCATCAACATTGCTACAAGGTGACATACCTATGGACTGGGTAATTTAGAGGAACTGTAGAGTTGGCTTGTCAATTAGTTTAGCTTTGCTAGTTAGTTAGTTAGTTAGTTAGTTGGCTTGTCCGCCTTTGGCTGACATAGGCTCTGACAAGTGTAATCCACTGATAAGGTCTGAAGAGACACAAATCGATGTAGGTCCCTCAGCAAGACCTTAGCTTAATATTGCAATGCATTTGCCTGAGCTGAACACTCCCCCTCCCCCTCTCCAAATTCTTGCACTGATACTCATTAGAGTTCAACTTTTCTAATCTAATGAAAATTTTTGAAATTTGTAGCCTTATTTTCCTTATATTATTTGATTAGGTATAAATTTAATTTTTAAATTATGCAATAAAAATTGAAAAAAATCTTTAAATTTTAAGCTCCCAAAGCAATGTCTGGAACAGTTATTAATTGTTTTATTCTTCTTTTGTCAATAGTGGATGAAATTCAAGTTGCCTCCTACAAAATTCTCTCCAGTTTGTTCACTCTTGGAATTGATAGTTCACTCACCCATGACAGGTAAATTCTAGAAATATCCGTTAAAAGATGCTGTCCACATATTCTTACTTTTTGAAATTTTAACAAATTAAAATGCAGACTGCAAGAATGTGCCCTCGTGTCCTCCTTTGTTATCAGATTTCTGTCAAAATCATTTTTCAAGTTGAAGGAGCTTTAAAATGCTCTACTAACATCAATTTTTGACATTTTGTAGTGGTTTTTTTTTTTTGCATTATTTGATCCAAAATTATTCCCTGAATATAAAAATAAAGCTATCTCAATTTTTTATTTTTTATTTTTACCTCAAGTCCTCTTGCCGTCAAGTGCATCACAATTAGAAGCACAGATCACTTTAAGTATAAAACCATTAAGTTCCTGTAATTTCTACGTATTTTTGCCAATCACTGGAGAGATATGAGGTTCATTTTCAGGGCTTGAGATCCACAGATTTTTGTGGGTGTTATGTCCTTTTGCCACACTAGCATGGCTTTTTACTTGATCATCTAGTCTAGACTAAATAACTGCCATGAATGTCCCAATGCTGTTAACATAAAGCGATTCAAGTCATATTAACAGCCAAAAATTATGTGAAACGAAATGAGGTGTTCATGATTTAGGTTGGTAATGGAAAGTACAGTCAAAAGATGTTCCTAAAAACAAAGTTAAGGTAGTTCTTCATCAGCACTAAAATTTTTCATTAGGTCTCATAGATGACAAGTTCTTAATGGCACCTAAATAATTCGAAATGGTCTTCTTTCAATTTGGTATGTAAAAAATGTTATACAATTGTACAGAAACTTATCAACATATTTCTTATATTCATGTTTCATTTGTGCAGGAAATATTTAAAAACAGAAATAGAGCGTCATCGTCCAGCATTAGGAACTTGTCTCGGAGCATTCTCTTCGACTTTCCCCGTTGCTTTCTTGGAGCCTCATTTGAATAAACATAATCAATTTTCTTTGCTGAATAGAATTGCAGATCATTCCCTTGAAGCTCAAGGTAAGTTTAAACTATTTGCAATACCTATTACGTTTTTACTGAAAGCTTAAAACTGTATATTAAGAGACAGGTTATTATTCTCTTATCATGAAACTCGGAGTAAAGACTTTTTTTAACAAACTTTTTTTAATTCTTTTTAATTAATATATTTAAATGAACGAATTTAGGAATAGTTGACTTTTCTTCAAAATTGAGAGAATTTTTTATTTTTATTGTTTCAATCAATACTGTGATCGAATACCTTTTTATCTTCTTTTGGGTTCATTTTAATAAGCTAGCAGGTCAGGTTTAAATTAAAAAACCTTATTACATGTGAGCAGCATTTAGCAAATGGGAATCATATGATATGGACTTGGATCTTATAAACATAGGTTTAACGTTTCAACCCTCCATAAGTTTCAGCGTAAAAGTTAATTCAAATTTTTGCAACATTTAAAGTCTTGGTTTGCAAAATCATGCTTCTAAGCAAGCCTGAAGTTATCAGCTGCACAAATTTTTGAAGAAAAAAAGTTTGATCCTTTTTGCTAAAAGCTGTTCATTTTCTCTTTTCAAAATTTCATGTCGGAAATGAATCATGCAAAAGTGAATTCATAAATAAAGTTGAAAAGGTACAAATATTTTCAATTGTTCACTTTAGTTAAGTGGCAATGAGATAATAACATCATCCATCTTCTTTTTGATCATTACTAAGCAGACTTGTTAATATCTTGCTTAGGAGTTAATATCCGAACTTGCGGCTGTGCAAATCATTTCCCACTCGAAATTTTAAAGAAGCAACATTTCGAAAGTGTTTTAAATCATTTGTTTGCCGACCCATTTTTTTTTTCATTATATTCTTATGAGAATTTTCCTTGCCTAAGCTCCACTCTTCAGTAATATCAATAGGAATCATGACATTAGAAATAAGAATGAAGAATTCGTTTCAATAAGGCTTTTACGGTCTTGTTCTATTGAGGGTTTGTTTCTGACAACTACAAATATCGAGCTAAAGTTTGTCATCTCAACCTTGGGGCAGAAGCACTTTCCAGGTTCCAGGTGTTCGGAACACCTTCGTAGGATACACGCTTCAATCTTGATGAAAGTGGTTTTGGCTCATTTTGGAATTTTGAAAATGAGTCTCTATTCCTGTCACGTACCATCTTCAGACTTCTTCTTCTTGCTTCAAGAATGCTACTGGTATCATGAAATTTCCCATAACTAGACTGATATTCTGTTGTTGGAACATCATCTAATGATTCTGATCTCTGAGCAAGCTTGTACTTTGATTTTGTATTTTTGTCATCGTAAGTCTTTGGAGCATTGTTGTTCATTCCATCAAGTTTGTATTTTTCAGTCTTCTTTAGTATCTGTTCAATGTAGGATAGCTCAATTTGGTGTGAGGGAGCTAACTGTCCTCTATCAAACGAATTTTCAGTACTCAATCCATGTAAATGATGACAAGATTTCTTTGCATGATGGTTGTCGCAATGGTGAAGTTTATGATACTGAATATTGTTAGCTAAAGAATCATCCATTGAGTGATGTCGTGAATTATGAGAGCAAAAATTATGCATCATATTATGGCTAAATGCGTAATTTCCATGATTTTGACAGTGAGTAACTCCATGGCAGTGGTCCACATGGTTTGCGTCATGGTTATAGTTTATCTCATGATCATGGTTTCTCACATGATTGTGGTTTGCCACATGATTATGAATGCAGACTTTATTCATTGTATTGATTTCTCCTAAGTTTTCCCTAAATTGTACATCAACACAATTGGGGTGAAAATTTTGTTTCCTGGTATTATAAGCAACATCATTTTTAATACTGCTTGCACACTGAGTTGTAGTACTTTCAAAGATAGCACTTTTTTCTTGTGCCCTGGACCCTTCCAATGGTCTCTTGTACTGATCTCTGTTTGTGCGTTGTATTAAAGTTTCCCGCCTGTTTGCATAGAGGTCAGAATTTACCATCGAATGGTATCTTTCTCTTTGAAGTTTTTGATTATTGCTTTGCTGTGCTGTAGATAAAACTTTTTTAAGAATTGGGTGGGGATACCCATCATAAAATTTTTTTTCGTCACATTCAACGTTACTTTTTTCTTGTATGTTGGTGTTTTCTTGTTGAGGTTCGGCCGAAGTCTCATTTGGACATCCACACTCCCGAGAAGATTTCACATGGCTTCTTATGTTGAAAATACATCTACTTTTCGGCTTGCTCATTCTTTCCAAATTTCCTCTTCAAGCGTTCGTTTGCTCATTTTATTTAAATCATTTTCCTGTTCCTCGTTTGGAATCAATTTTTATTTATTTTTCAAATTTGAATTCTTTCTCTTACAGCACTAGAAAAAACGGAAGAAAAAATAATTATTTTTCACAGTATACCTTAAATTGAACAACTTACCCTATGAATTTTCTATGCCTAACGCATACCAGAAAAGTTATGAAAAAAAGTGAAGTGTAACCTATTTGATCTATAATTTGATTCAATACTAACTAACTCATTCTCGCTTTATGATACCATTCATACAACAGAACTGACCTCATCTTTTTTTTGTTGTTGTGGTTCTTTGTATAGTAGCTGAAAACAATTTTTTTCTTATCGTCTTGAATAAATGGTAATTATTATGAAATTTAAAAGTAGCTGAAAAATGGTTGTAAGCACTCTTATTTTCCTAAGCTAAATGTTATTGGATGATAATATTGTAAAACATGCAATTGAAAACTAATTGCTACATCTGAACGAGCAAACCCAACGTAATAATGGGAGATGTTAATATTTCCGCACCTTCTTACTACTTTCTTATCCTCTTAAGTTTTTTATCCTCTTGCCAAAAGGGCCATCTTTGGTTCGGTCTAACAGCAAATGTGGCAAAAAACTTATCAGTCAAAGTTTTCCCCAGAGGTATAGATTAATTCCAACAATCTCAAGCTAACAACGTAGCTTTGTGATCACGGGATACTTATAACTCCTACTGACCTTAAGCTGTGAATATAAATTCATAATTTGCGCCATAATGAATTGCATCATACCGGCTGAACCTTGATCTTTTGAAATCATACCCATCTGAGTGTGAAATTCCTATCTATTTTTTAAAGTAAACAATGAATGAAGGTGATAATATTAAATGAATTATTGTTTTTCTCTGATTTACTCGTACACAAACTTGAAATTGGGTCTCTCTTTGTGGATAGTGCTAAGACAATGCTTACCTTTTTTGGATCATATGATTTATGATGTCTCGCTTTTTTAGGTTAATTCATGCACTTCCATTTACTAACATTGCCTTCCTTGGTCCCCTTCAACACTTTATTGAATGCAGCTCATTAAATGTTTGGAGTCTGCTCAAGTAATTTTTAGTTTTCTGCATTAAACAGCTAGGTTTGCAAACAACTCAAAATATACTATGAATTTGGTGTATTGAAAACATTCTGAATTTTAAAAGAACTTATTCATTTGATATGGTTACCATGGATGTTATCCTGCTTTTCTATTATGACCATCAATTCGACCACATCTTGCAATTAAGAACTAAAATTTTTGGCTCATAGATAAAAACACTTATCTGCATGGGGAAACTAATGGCACAAATGTTGTTTCTAAAATAAGCCAGAGATTTTAGTTCCTGATTGCTAAATGTAGTACAATTTCTCTCGAAAAGACAAAACAATCCAGTCTGAAGCCTTGGTGGATTTTTTTTCTCCATTTCTGCAAATGAGGAGAAATATTTTGTTTTTAGGTAAACCTATAGCAAAGCAGTACCAAATTCACGGGATTTCCTCTGCACCTGTCTTGCTTAATTTTTTAAATGTTCATAATTTTTTTTAAAATTAGATATGTATATTCACACGATGCAAAAAAGTTTGCTTTGTCAATTTTCAGATTAAAAATTTCTTACAACAAACCATGAAGATTTAAGTATCAAAATGTGTAGGTCTCTTTTCACCTCCTCCATGCGTTTAAGAATTGAATGGCTTTTACCGTAAGAGTTGTGAAGTACTCATTAAATACAACTCTTTGAGTGATTTATGCAACCCTCTTCTAGTATTGAGGATAATTTATAAAACCCCTCTGAGCTGAGGCACCATTTTCAGTCCATGGAGTTTTAGTTTTCCTGTAGCTGTACTGCAAGAACAGAGTCGTGGAAAGCTTGAACTGCTGAGCAAGTCATCTCTAATTCATAGAATGCTGGTCCTTCGCTAATGAAACAAAGTGGGCAAGTTCTAATTAAATGGATCAGCTGTGCTAGTCACAGAATCGTATTCTAATTATTTCAGATTATATATATTAGTAAAAAAATAATTACAACTGTCTAAGCGTACAATTTCTATTTTGAATATTAATGGAGGCAACGCCCTTTAAAGAACACAGTATTTGACTTCATCCACTGCGGTGGTGTATACTATGCCTAATGCTTCTGTTCCCTAATTCGCTGTATTTGCTGTTTCTTCTTCCAATATGTTTGAACTTTTTAAATCTTACCAGCCATAGAAATGCTTTTGATTTTCTTTCTTGTGTAATTATTTCTGACTATTACAATAGCCCCTTTTGATGGCTTTATGTATGCTTTGTAAAGTAAAATAAAATAAAAAAAAAAAAAGCGCGATTCTGTGAATAGCGCAACTAACCCATCGTGCAATTTCCTATTAAAGAATTTTTATAACCACCTATTACTGTTCAGTGAATTGCAGAATCATTTATCTAATTTTTTTTTCAGATATTATGGCACGTATGGAAAGCAGCATGCCTACTCTTGAAGCAGTCCTAGGTGAGGTTGATCAATTTGTGGAATCTGGAAAATCCCACAGTGATGCCCCTCATGTGATCGATGTCATTCTTCCCCTCCTTTGCTCATACTTGCCAGTGTGGTGGGCCCAAGGACCAGATAATGTTAATCTCACAGCAGGGTGAGTGGTTTCATTATTTTTTTCCTTTTTTTGTTCATTCTATTTTTCCTAAAGAACATGTTTAAGTCCTTGTATAAAACTCCAATTCAGACTATCAGAAGAAATTAATCATTCTCCTAGTATTAATTTTTGAAGATTTTGCTCAGATATTGTTAATACTAAAATTATAAAAAAGAAGAAAATGTGTAGTGCAGTTCCAACATACTTGATCCAACACCGGTATTGTTTTATTTTCATAAACCCAGCAACCATGTTGTTAAAATCCCCTGAATAATATTTTTTTAGGGATTTTGCTTCAAGATTGTAAAGACTAAAGTAAATCAGCAATTGACAGTGAAATTACAAAAATACATATCTTGGTTTGACTTCCCGTTTTAATTTATTTTCCAAAGTGTAAAACACTCAACATAATTTTTTTTTTAAAAAGAAAAACCTCCGTGATTTTGTTCCTCCGTAAGACTATGAGACAATATCAAGCAATACTGCTGTGCTGAGGAAAAATGCTGTATGAACTTTCAAGGGTCGCAAAATTTTCTCCATGGGAACGTTCATTTTCAAAGAGTGAATGGAATTTTTTTCTCGTAATTTTCAGATAATGTAGATCTAATTGTGGATTACATTCTCTAAAAAATTGGAGGAAAAACACCCTCAGATTTCCATAAAAATGTGTATTTAATCAAAGGAAATTCGGCAGTGTCTGAAAGCTTATACAGCTACCTTCTTTATATCAGTAAAATACTGTTGGTTTGGTCTCTTTTGCTAAAATGTAATTGGAGCAGAAATTTTGAAACACTTGAAGGAAAATGTATGTTTTCGCAGTCTCTTTATTGATATACAACTTAGTTCTAACAAATTAGATTAGCATTAATATTTTTTCATTTTCATTCTTGTAGTAACCACGTTACAATGGTAACAAGTGACCATATGAACCAACTATTGAAAAACGTTCTAAATATGATCAAAAAGAATATTGGCAATGACAATGCTCCATGGATGACTCGTATCGCTGGTAAGCTCCTTCTTCATCTCTTTCTGTCCTTAATTAAAGCCATCGTCAAGAATTTTAAACCATTCAATCAAATTAACTGATTCAACTTGCTTCTAAATGGTAGGAGAGGGACAGCAAGTCTCCACAGAGAAATTTCAAGCATATTTTATGGGCTGTACATGTCCCGCCCGGCAAAATTACGTTGTGGCAACGTTGCCAAAACGTTGCAATTTCGCCATTTACGTATTCGGGCAACGTTGTGGTAACGTTGCCACAACGTGTAATTTTGTCAGCTTGCATGAACGTAATTGGCAATGTGTCTGCAATGTGTTTTAGCAACATAATGGGAATGTTGCAAAAATACGTTTTAGCAACATAATGGGAATGTTGCAAAAATACGGTGAAAAAATTTCGGTGATTTATTTTAGGAGTACTCTGCATTTTTACTCCTAGAATTCAATGTGGACCGCAGAGAAGCGTTTCTTAGGCACCCGAAATTCACTCGCAAGTCCGATAGTAGCCGCGCTCCGCCTGGGTTCCCAAGCGGGCTCCCATCGAAGTACTAACTAGGCCCGACGTTGCTGAACTTCAGTGATCGCCCGTGTGTCGCTGCCACTCAGCTACGGACGCTCGCGGGATAGAGTTCGGTTATTTAGCATTAATAAACATCCCTAGATCTGGTTCAATGATAGAAAGCAATGATATTCTTGCATTTCTGTGCATAATTCTACAACGAAGGATACTGAACATAATATTAGGAAGATCAAGTTTTTAAAAAAAAGGAGTATGAAAAAAAAATTAAAAAAGAATTGAATAAATATATTCATTTTATATAAATAAAATTATTATTATTTTAATTATTTATTTAATTATATTAGAATTATTTTTTATTATTATAATTATTTGGTATTTTTATTTTGTATTAAATTATTTTCTAATTATTTATATTTGTTTTTTTTATTTTATTTTTTATTTTTAAATTATTTTTTTATTTTTTTTTAATTTTATCTTCATTTGTATATTTTTATTGTTAATTTTTTTATTTTTTGAATTATCTATCAATTAATTTTTGTTATTTTTGTATATACATATACATATTTTTGCGACATTGTATGAGGGCGCATTCCCTTATATTGATTGGAGAAAATCATCTGTTGAGAAACAACAGAAAGGAGAACACCTGAAACAGTGGAAAAGTGTCCCCTCCGATTTGCAGCACAGCATCTGCTTGACCTCATATCTGAGTTCTACGACCAAAATTACACAGGGATTGATACCTCACATGACACTATATGCGCATTTTAAAAAACCGAAATCCCAGAGGCCTTATTATGGCCGCCATTTTGAAATTTAGGCATTTTGGGGGGTGTTCCGGGGTCGGACCGTGGTAAACTTTTGGTATGTTGTTCAGGAGGACCTACTGATGACGTTTACATAGGAAAAGTTTGTTCAGCAATTTGTTCCGGGTCAAATCGTGTTTCTCCCTGACTAATAATGTTTAACAACGTTGTCACAATATATCTAAGAAATATTTATTGAAACGTTTTTTAATAATGTTCCAGAAACATTTCTAAAAACGTTTTGAAAATATTGTCTAAAATATAATGTCAGGCAACATTGCTAAAACATTGCTTAAACGTTGCTGCTTTACCTTTACAAAGCAATATCATCAAAAATGTTGCCTTGCAACGTTGCGGCAACGTACACATTGCTCCCTTGCCGGGCGGGTGTGTACTTTGTGTACATGCTCAAGGATTACCACTTGTGTGGAATTTGAAGTAGTAAAAAAAAAAAAAAAAACTTTGATAAAATTAAGCATGGAGTGTTACAATTGTAGGTGTTCTTGCCAACCCTACTTATCCCACCCATTTATCTGAAATTTTTTTATTTGTCCATAAGACAGAGAAACTTTCTCAGAAACAGTGTACAAAGACACTTCTTACACAAACGTGCCCTGTCTTGGAGCAGTAATTTGTTAAAAAAATCTGCAGGAAATCAGGGAAAAAATTTTTAAAAATTACTCTAAAAGGGAATAAACTTCTCTTCTGTACAAATTTTCATTTAACAGGTTCATAGCTGGAAGCTTCTTTATAGATACTTCACTTGCTGAGCTGTAAAAATCATGCATTAATCACCAATTCATTTGCTTTTATCCACAGCTTACACACAACAAATTATTATCAACTCCTCAGAAGAGCTACTGAAGGATCCATTCTTACCTTTAGCAGAACGGGTTAAACGAAGAACAGAAAATCTTTTCCATAAAGAAGAATCATTGCGAGGATTTATCAAATCTGCCACTGATGACACATCTCAGGTATTGGTCAAACATCGGAAGCTAATTAGCATAGGGCAAATTCAGCAGTGAAATCAACCTGTACGCCAGGCAAATAACTAGAGCTTGATTTCACACAATTGCCTTCCTTCTCCTTCTTCAAGATACCTTCAATCTTGCCCAAAAAATGTCATGCATAGGAAAATTCTTCTACTGCAAATTATACTGAAATCAGTTTAGTGCTTGATTTGACTAGGGTAGACCATGTTTCTGAGAACAGAAAATGCAAAATAGACATGCATACAAAAACCTCATTTCCCAACTTAAGAGTTGAATTTGGAAAGTTTCAATGCATACATCAAGTTCTTGGTAAAATTTTGATAAAGAAACATATTCTGTGGTGCTTAACTTTGTAGGTATTACGTCTTACGTCCATTGACTGAACTTACTTAGCTTGTACATTTCATTCTTTCTCCTTTTCCCCTAAAGGTAGAAACCCAAATTCAAGAAGATTGGAGTCTTGTCGTGAGAGACATTTATGCATTCTACCCCCTTCTCATCAAATATGTGGATTTACAACGTAACCATTGGTTGCGAAATAATATCCCAGAGGCAGAAGATCTGTACAATCACATCTCAGAAATTTTCAACATCTGGTCAAAATCTCAGTACTTCCTTCGTGAGGAGCAGAACTTCATCTCTGCCAATGAAATTGATAACATGATTTTGATCATGCCAACAGCAACAAGACGTTCAGCATCGGCAGTCTCTGAAGGAACTGGCAGTGGAGGTCGAGGAAAGGTACCATCCCCTTTTTTGTTCACCATCCCTTTTGAATCGAAGTAATTCCTTCTTATTTGTAACAGTTGATCAATAGGCGGTAGACTCCCAGAGCTTCTGATGGTGGTCCCTTGCAGTTGTCTTAACCACCCTGATATTGGAGGTAATGTCTATCAGTGGCTGCCCTGCAAAGGCTCCTATAATTAAGTAAAACTGAAAGCAAAATCACTAGGAAAGTCATTTCTGTAACAAGTAATGAAACAATCGCATTGTTAGCCGTAGCATTCTTCCATCCTACAAATGAAGAGACAATTCTCTTTTTTTTATAGTAGGCATCTCGTTGCATTAATTTATCTAAGTATTTTAATATTAGTAATTGATTTTGGTCTAGGAAATGATGGTTAGATAACTTTAATGCTGCAAAACAGCCAAATGATATTTACTCAAGAGAACAAAGCATTACTCTTACATGGTGCAATACATTAACTTGCAATTGGAAGGTTTTATCAGTATTTTATTCTGAATTTCCCAAAATGTCAGCCCAAGATGTGTAAAACCAACTTTTGACTTCTAAAACCAACTTTTCATTGTCTGTATGTGAACTTTATGATGTAATGAAAAAAACTGGAAGAAAATTAGAACTAGCAGATTAGCAAAATTAGAACGCATCAGCAATTTAAATCTTGAGCACTAATTTTACCTCTGTTTTCCTCCTCCAGAAAAAGAAAAAACATCGAGACAAGAAAAGGGACAAAGACAAGGAACTGCAGGCGAGTCTGATGGTCGCATGTCTGAAGCGACTCTTACCTGTCGGACTGAACTTGTTCGCAGGAAGAGAACAAGAACTAGTTCAACATTGCAAGGATAGATTTTTGAAGGTAATTCCGGATTTTTCACTCCTGTATGATTCTGCGTATTTTCTTTCAGTTGCCTTAGTATGACTTTAAAGCGATCAAAATAGTAAGTTTTCTAATCAATAGAAACCTCAATTTAACTTCAACTACGTAGAAATCACAATCCCCGCAAAGCCTTTGTGAGTGACCAGAGATTAATTTAGACATTAATTGACTACTGAAAGACGAAGACAGAATGGAGAATTTACACACAAAAATTTTATTGCTTCATCTGAGAGTGCGTAATGAGCTAAGTTTGCAATATTTTTCATAATTTTTTTCTGACATGGAAAATGGGAGAAAAATAAATTTAAGAGTCAGAAAATGTGTTGCCTTAAGACGTCATATGGCAGCATTTACCATTTAAACACATGTATTTTAGCAGATTAAGTTATTTTGTCATATTTTCTCCAATTATTGTTCAATCTAGAGACCAAGGATATCCTCGTACTCAGTTTTCCTAGTAGTATCATTTTAAAGATGAAATTCACAAAATTTAAGACACCTGCAAATTCTCTATTAATCTTTACCAGTTAAATAAAATATACTCTTCTTCAGTGCCATTTAGTGTTGTAGAGCCTAAATTGATTCTGTTAACTTTACAAATTATCTCGTGAATATTGATTGTTTGTTTTTTCTTTTTTTCCTGAACAGAAAATGCAGGAGTATGAAATAATGGACTTTGTGAAAACACAGCTCACTTTACCTGACAAAATTGACCCAGCAGATGAGATGTCATGGCAGCATTACCTATATTCCAAATTAGGGAGCAAGAAGGATGGAGGTGAAGTCGCGAAACCCCAGCAAATTGATGAAGTTGTGGATCGTATTGTTGCTATGGCTAAAGTTCTATACGGACTTCATATGGTTTGGAATTTTTTATTTCTTCAAAAAAATAATCTTGCCTCCGTATCTCTTTTCCCTTCCTAGTCTCATTAGTTCTGTTGTTGGAACAAAACTATGTCTTGCATCTTTTGACTCAACAAAGTCTGAAATCTAAGATCTAAAACCTCATCCACCAAACTTTCAGCAAAGATTAGTTAATATCAGGGATGTCCTAAAATAATTACAACTTATATCAGCTAAACACATTTCCATGAATGCTTTCCAACTTTCCTCACCCTCTTCCTTAAAAGTCGGAAGTCTTAAAATATTTTGTTGAATCAAAATAATGGCGTTACTTTTCACAGCTTTTAACCCTTTGCAGTCTTATACTTTAAGGTTGCTTATGCACCGGACTTGAACCCTGCACCTTCTTTTCAGTATGCTCTGCTTTTTTGTCTTTTCTGTTATTGGTATGAATATCACAAAAAATAACTTCTGGAGTCAACATTTTTTAAGTTCCTTGTGTTTAAAATTTATCATTTTTTTAATCCTCGTTTTTCAAAGCTATGAAAGAATCCTTGACTTGAACCAAACAAAAAGTTTCTGGGGCTGTGCAAATAAGGCAAAATATAAGTGTCTTATTCATGGGGGATTTGGCACCTACAACCAAACTGATTATTAGGGCACCCTGCGGAAGAATTCTGAATACACCAATTGTGATGAATTTTGTTGATTTTTCATTCGTGCCTTTAGTGTGTCCTTAAAAAATGATCATGGGTGGCATCTCAGACAGTGCGCAACCTCTTTTGAATCATTTTCCCATCAAATTAGCATTTGTCATTCTAAACCCTGCGTGTGTTTCTACTGAAAAATGTGAGTGAATTTTGAGTTCTGGAAAGTTTATCCTGCATCATAAGAGGTTACTTTGTGCAAAATTCCTCGACACTTATGTAAAGGTAATCAAGGCAATTTCCCTTGGCGAAACCTAAAGTACCAAAATAAATTATAATTAGCCCAAACTGTTTCCATTCGTTAATTTTTTGCAAATATTATAACGGTTTAAAATTACTTGTAATCAATCTTTGCTTCTTGAAAAAAATGCAAATTAGGAAGTATGTCTGAAAATTTTTTATCTTAACTCACTCAAAATTGCTGCTTTGATAGAACCCTATGAAAAGTCTCATTGAAAACTTTTTACTTTCCATAATAATTACTGCTCCCTTCAGTCCCAATTAGAACTGCTTGTCATGCCTCATTTGTCAGATACATATTCCTCTTCAATTTTGTTTTTTGAATTTTAGTTCTTCAGTACTCTAAGCTTCTTTTTGACTATTTTAGCAACGTTCGCATTTGTGATTGTTTTTTAGATTGATCATCCACAACTTCAGAGTAAGGCTGTTTATCGTTCTGTTGTTTCCACCCAACGTAAAAGAGCTGTCATCGCCTGTTTCCGACAACTCTCGCTCCATGCTTTGCCAAGGTCTGCATAATTATTTTCTGGCTTGTTCTCATTTTTCCTGTTCAACACATTTTTTATTTTGAATTTGTTTTTTTTAAATGTCCCCTAATTAATCATAAAAAATTCATCTTATCATTCCGTAGTTAGTCAAAAACATATGATGATGCTCCATCTCATCTCTTGCATGAACTTTGTTCTCATAGTTGCGATTGATTTAACATTTTTTGCTCTGCACTTTTATTCAATTTTGAACAACTAACATACGTGTGATTTTGTGCGTTTTTTATAATAGCATGCGCATAAGTATAAAACCCAGCCTAAAGGATGGAAGAGGCTGCTTACTGCTGCTAGGATTCGAGCTGCTGTTGCCTGTTTGAGAGCTGTTCCCCTTTACAACTTGCCAAGGTATGGAACAACTATGCCTCGTGAGTTTTGAGCATTCAAAGCAATCAGATTTGGTCCCAAACTTTTCATGAAAAATGTTTAAAATTTTGATCTTCCATGTTTAAATATTCATCTTCTTACATGTTTTCCTTTGTGCTGTTGAGTGATTATTTTCAAAATTAACATTTTCTTGCTCTAAAAACCTTGAAAGAACTAACTGAATGAAGTAGGTCTTAAACAATTTAAACTCATTGAAGAATACGTCAGTAGGAAATTTGGCGTGTGGAAGAATAATTAAGAGAAAGCCTCAAAAATATAACATAAGATAGTATTGATATCATAAGATCCTCTGCAAAATTTATGAGATCTCCATTGTTGATTAGCAGTATCGTTTCTGCCCCAATACTCTCAAGTTTTGCATTTTTTCAATTTCAAGGGTCCCAGCATGGACAGTTCTCTTGTCCAAAGAATTTTCATGCCCTTGAAAAATCAGGAAAAAATTTTAAAACCACAGGAATCTGTCGCTCTAATAGGAGACTAAATCAGCAGACTATTTAATATTATCCGAAGTCAAATTCAAATCAGAAAAATCCAAAATGTATCATAAAATGACTATTTAATTGACAGATATTATCTTCTCAATTAAAAATTGTGTCCATTTTGTACATTTAAAACACTATTTATAATTTATAAAAGAAATAATTTGCGTCTCACTATTTGTAGATTTAGGGAAAAATTTTATTGAATCTAAAACGCACCTGAAGAATGTCTGTGTTCCAGTCTGTATTTCACTCTCCGCAGCCTCCGAGAAATTTTGTTTGTGTAAAATTTTAAAACCTATCACCAATATTTGTAAAATATGTACAATTATTCAATTTAAAAAAAACTGAGTCATCAGCTGTAAGCAGTACTTATCTTGGCTACCAATTATCTTGGTTTGAAAACTGCCCCTATAATATCACAATCTTATCTTTCCAGGCATCGAGCTGTAAATATTTTTGGGAGAACATACAGAGAATTGTGGCTTCAAGATGAAAATGTTGGTCAAGAAGTCATGATAGAAGATCTCACAGTAAGTTATTTACATCTTCGTATAGTTGACTAATAAGGGACGAACGTAGCTCAATTTGTCCAACATAAACGTAAATGCCATTTTCTGTCTTACAAATACGCTTGTTTCTACCTTTGAAGTGAAAATGTTTTTTATATATTTAAAGAGGTTATACCGCACACAAATAATAAAATCCCTCCTAAAGTGACCGCTAGAGGTTTTTATTATGACTTTAATGGTCTTTCTAGCAATAATTGTCTATAGACCATAGACCATTTTTTTAAATAAAAGTTTAGACCAAACCCCAACTCAATCTCCATCGAAGGCTGTGATAATAAAAATGAACTACACCTACCGCGTAGACCTTCTATAATTGAACTAAATTCTTACATTTGTTTTTTATAGATAGTAAATAAAGTAACAGGTTGTCACTTTTTTTAAAATTCTACTGCTTTCCGATTGGATTCGTTGATTCTGTTGGTGGTCCAAGGTTACTCCAAGGCTTTAAATTGTATTCCCCACAATTCTTCCTTTTTTCAGCAATCATTTGAAGAGGCGGAGTTGAAAAAACAAGACAAAGAAGAAAATGAGGGAAAACCAGACCCTTTAACTCAACTGGTAACCACATTCTGCAGAGGAGCTATGACAGAGCGAAGTGGCGCTCTTCAAGAAGACCCTCTCTACATGTCCTATGCCGAAATTATTGCCAAGTGAGTTTTTCCTACATTGTGTAGCTGAACTAGGGGTGAAAGAAGCATCAAAATGGAATCAAAAGCCCTAGCAAAAAAGCCCTTAACAGACATTTTATTCTGAGTGGTGTTATTTTTAACATTTTGGAAATATTTTCTCTGAAAATTGGCAACAATGGAAAAATAACTCTAATCTAATTTGTTGAAAAAGTCAATTTCTTTCTTTACCTGGTACTTTCGCTCTCCCTCTGAAGCTGGCAATCACTTGTTGCTTCCGGATTACGTTTGGCTGTTTTTGGCAGCTTCTGGCCAATGACATCTTCGGGACGTTCTTTGATGACTTCATCAAGCGTTGTTACACCCACTGATGATGTCATTGGGACAATTGTTACATGAACTTGTTGTTAATTGAATCGACGTATGCAAAAACGTCCGATGTCCAAGACAGTGTTTCAGAATTTGAGTGGACAATTTTGTTGTAACTTAACGACACAAGATGGTTCAAGACGTTAGGAATGTAGAACAATTTTATAAGTAATCCCCCAAGTGTAATTAAACGTTTAGAAAAGAGATTGATCCCATTCATCAGTGTCATGGGACAAAAGAAACTCACCGCAATTATGAAATCCTGTATTGGACAACTGACGTTTTCGCATACGTCGATTCAATTGTCCTTAAGACACCTGTTGATAGCGTCATCATGAAATTTTTCGATGCTTCTTCGTTTGTTAATACCAAAATCTTCATAATTTAGACCAAAATTTTCCATGACTCGGAAGTTTATGTATATTTACTTTGGAAGATAAAGTGTCAACTTCAGTACTTTTCCTTTTCCATCTCTAGAAGAGATAATTTTGTGTCAATTTATGTTTCACATTAAAACAAAGAGGGTTATTCATATCGGCGAAAAATGTACCCAGCCCGGAATGTACGAAACTTTGTAGGATGATAGTACTAGTTGAGAGACACTTATCCCTAGCTCCGTTTTTGCAGGAACCCCAGGGAAACAGCGTTGCCATTTTTTAAAGTCGCAACCTTTAAACATCCATAACTTTCGCAAAAATGCAATTACAGAGCTCGTATTTATACCAAAAAACGCAAAAAATTACGTTCTATCGACCGATGCCAAAGAAATTTTAATTTCACTCCACTGTTGCCACGTTTTGGCCATTTTTTTAATTTTCGTAATCATTTAAAATCACGTTACCGCCTATAAAAGTGTTTGCAGTTGGTGGAGATTGAATAAAAACCTGTCGAAATTATTGTTCGTTCGATTCCGCATCCATTGATATATTATACTTTTCTGAGAGACTTAGGGAACACGAGTTATAGCGATTTGAAAATTTGGCAACACGCCCGACCCCCGATATTGACGCTCGTTTCGGTACGTTTCGCGACTCTGTGTTAAAGCAAAACGCCTAGACCAAGCAAAATTCGAAAAGTCAGCTCATGTTTTGCACTTTTTTGAAACTTTTACACGATTTTTAAGAATTCAAGTAGCGGCAAGTATTCAAGTGTTGCCGGTTTTCAATGAAAACTACCGCTGCGATCTCAATTTAAAGTAGTACTCATTTAATCACGTCCAGCTACATTTGTTAACCTAAACTGACCATTTGCGACATGGTGTTCACAACATTGCCTGATTTCCGTCGGAATTCGCGTAGAGGCGGGGTTGCCAGTTTTCATGGAAACTGCGACCGCAATCACAAAAAAAAATGTATTACTTATTTAATCACGTTCAGCCTTATTCTGTAGTTAGAATTGTTTATTTATCGAATCGATGGTTTCTGATATCTCTCTGCAACGGCAGTGGTGCCCGACAGTAACGATATATCGAAATTTAAAGCCCGCTAATCACTCAAGCGGTCCGATGAGTAGTTTTGGCAAGGGACCTAGATCCATTGCTCTTGATCTCTATACAATATCGATATCTCGTTACTGTCAGGCACCACCTCTGTTGCAGAGAGATAGCAGAAACCATCGATTCGACAAATAAACAATTCCAATTACAGAATAAGGCTGAACGTGATTAAATAAGTAATACATTTTTTTTTGTGATTGCGGTCGCAGTTTCCATGAAAACTGGCAACCCCGCCTCTACGCGAATTCCGACGGAAATCAGGCAATGTTGTGAACACCATGTCGCAAATGGTCAGTTTAGGTTAACAAATGTAGCTGGACGTGATTAAATGAGTACTACTTTAAATTGAGATCGCAGCGGTAGTTTTCATTGAAAACCGGCAACACTTGAATACTTGCCGCTACTTGAATTCTTAAAAATCGTGTAAAAGTTTCAAAAAAGTGCAAAACATGAGCTGACTTTTCGAATTTTGCTTGGTCTAGGCGTTTTGCTTTAACACAGAGTCGCGAAACGTACCGAAACGAGCGTCAATATCGGGGGTCGGGCGTGTTGCCAAATTTTCAAATCGCTATAACTCGTGTTCCCTAAGTCTCTCAGAAAAGTATAATATATCAATGGATGCGGAATCGAACGAACAATAATTTCGACAGGTTTTTATTCAATCTCCACCAACTGCAAACACTTTTATAGGCGGTAACGTGATTTTAAATGATTACGAAAATTAAAAAAATGGCCAAAACGTGGCAACAGTGGAGTGAAATTAAAATTTCTTTGGCATCGGTCGATAGAACGTAATTTTTTGCGTTTTTTGGTATAAATACGAGCTCTGTAATTGCATTTTTGCGAAAGTTATGGATGTTTAAAGGTTGCGACTTTAAAAAATGGCAACGCTGTTTCCCTGGGGTTCCTGCAAAAACGGAGCTAGGGATAAGTGTCTCTCAACTAGTACTATCATCCTACAAAGTTTCGTACATTCCGGGCTGGGTACATTTTTCGCCGATATGAATAACCCTCTTTATTAAGCGCTCTATGAGCGCTAAAAAAGATAAGAACAAGGTTCATAGGCCTCTGTATCTTATTGGAATCTAGTTTTAAGCTTGGAAATTTAACATAAAGTGAATAATTACCTTATTACTCAGAAAAAAGTTAGATGTTCTACTGGAAAAAATTTCCAGCAGTGTACGTTTTTCAGTTTATTATTTTGGTTTATGCTCTTTAAGTATCCGGCGAGAACAAGGTAGTTAAAAGAATAAAAAAATAAAATGTTAAATATTGTTTAAAAAAATAAAAGTAAATTAGGTTTGACCAACTTTTAAGTAACAATATAAATGGGAAAATTTCCTTTTGCAAATCAATTGAGAAACTCTTCCTCTCTTGAAGAAATCAAATAATTGCAATGTCTTTAATTTTTTTCCAGATCGTGCGGTGAGGAGGAAGAAGAAGGAGGTGAAGAAGAGGGCGAAGAAGCAGCTGAAGGTGAAGAAGGCGGCACCTCTATCCATGTATGTTTTCAGCCTTTAATTAATTGATTTTAGTCTATATATTGTCGCATCAATCTTCTTTGAAATTAAATATGTACGTTAATGAAAGGGAAGTGCTCCTTGTTGCTCAGTTAGCATTTACAAAAATATCCTAACATTGGCACAGCATTAGTAATGAATGAAACATTTCCTCTCCCAGCAGGGAGGAGAGCTCATTAAAAAACAAGGGTTTCGGGAAATGAAAGTCTGAACACTGGAAATTCGGTTGGCGAAGAGGCGAACAAGACAAGGCTAGCAAGTGACACAATAAATGCAATAAACACACAAAGGGGACAAAAGACTGAAGTTTGATGGGTTTAGCCACCCGTCAGGGCAATACTAGGTTTTCACTCACATTTTAAAGAAAATGGTAACCGGCTGTTAGTACGAGGACGACAAGAGAACAACTGACCCAAACACAAACTCAAGGATAGAATAAGAAAAGAGGTGGGGGGCTGAGTAGTGCTAATAGCCGCCACATGACCTCTAGCGCTACTCGGTGAGCTAAATTTTTGAAAAGTGAAGGGGTAGGGGGACACCCCGTTACATGAACAACCAGGAATTGAACCATAGGTGCGTTTTGGATTAGAACCCACCAGCAACACTGCACAGTCTACCTTTACTCTGTCTTTACTTTAAGGAAGGTCATGAGAATCTTCCAAAAATGGGCAAAAAGCCGTTCCAGCAAGCATACTTAGGCATGATCTGATGAGAAAATTATTTCAAAGTTCTGGAAAGTCCATGTTACACCAAATGATGTTTTGGAAATGGTACTAGGGACCTGAAAAAATTGAAAACCACTGGGATTCATAGAGGAATGTAAAGTATCAGAAAAATGAGAAAATTTGTTTGGAATTTTGGTGCCAACAACCAGAAATTTCCCCTATCTCCGCTAGGATCGTTATATCATTTTTTCTTTACATAGTTTTGCACAAAAACATTTTTTTGCCGTTTTCTTTGCAGTTTACAAAATTCATAATCTAAATTTATTGAGGTAAACTGCACCCAAATGTATTACTTGAAGTTTTCACATAATGTGTCTGATTTTTGCGGACACAGGAACAAGAGATGGAAAAACAGAAACTGCTGTTTAACCAGTCTAGACTTGCAGATCGCGGAGTAGCAGAAATGGTACTATTGCATATCTCGGCCTGCAAAGGTGTGCCCAGTGAAATGGTGATGAAAACCTTACAATTAGGAATTGCTGTTCTAAGAGGTGGTAATTCTGATATTCAAATGGTAAGTAAATTTTTTATTGGTGGCTGAAATTTCATGATGACATCACAAATATTTTGCAATGTACGTTAGGCACATTGGTTTTGGTCAATATACTCATCAAAATCAACAAAATTTGATGAAATGACCAGCTCTAAATTTTCAGTAGCTGACTAAATGTTGACAAAAATGGCCCAGTCATGATGTCATTTATATTGACAGATTGATTGATCAAGTGCCCAGGACTTTTCACCTAGGTAATTTAACAAGTTTGAAGAAAGCTATCAATCAATGAGCAATTTGTATCGAGATCGGTTTAACAAATTAACATTTCTCATGGAAAATTCAGTTCATGTTTCATTCTATTTGAGCAATCAGCTTGCGGAAGATAGCTGTCCGCCAAAACTGTTAAAATTGCAGCAGCATTTCAAAAAGGCTCCTCATTGTATTTCTTTTGTACTAACCATTAAAAATTTGCATTTTTGCCTTATGTTATTCTTATATTTTTTCTTCTTTACTTTTTGTTCTTAGGGAATGTTGAATCATCTAAAAGAAAAGAAGGATGTAGGATTCTTCACATCTATAGCTGGGCTAATGAACTCGTGCAGGTAACTGAAAACTTCCTCCTTTATGCTTACCAATGACGTTAAATTTTCTACTTCTAGGGATTTTAAAAGTTTCTGTTGCTCAAAAATTGATTTTCCAAACTATATTCATGATTCTAAGCTGCCACATAATAGTTATTTATGAACTATTATACTGACCATAGAAAGTTCAATTCTTTGATCTATGTTTTTGTGAGACCAACATTTAGGTCATTCCAAATTAGTTAAAAAAAAACTGTTGTAAAAGATTTTGAATCAGATTTATCCATGATTGTTCTGTCCCTTATGAGACTGCTCTATTTTTACAGTGTTCTTGATCTTGATGCTTTTGAACGAAACACTAAAGCAGAGGGTCTAGGAGTTGGGCTGGAAGGAGCAGCCGGTGAAAAAAATATGCACGATGCTGAATTTACATGCACACTTTTCAGATTTATCCAGCTGACTTGTGAAGGACATAATTTAGGTATGTATATTTTACATGCAAAACCCCTTAGAATATTACTTTTTCCACAAGTGACTTTTTTCATTGAGATGGTCCAACCTTTCTTCACAAAAACAAGTGCCTGAATCAATGCTTTTCTGGATAAATGGTCCTGAGCTGTATCTCTCCTTATAAAATTTCAAGGAATATTTGCCAAAGATGAAAACTGTTAAAATAAAATATCTGCAATAAAGCCTTTTGTCCAGAGCCTCTCCTATGAGTTATGACCTTAAAGCAGTTGTCAAATTTAGTTCTACTTATAATAAATCATTATGATTATGTATTTGTAGAAATAAAAAGTTTCCTCACTGCCTGTCTTAGCTTTTATTGATTTTTATGTTTGTCCGCATATCGTAGATACTATAACTTCCGTATGGTTTTAGCCAAAATGAAAAGCTGATTGAGCATTGAAAATGCGCAGGAGAAACGCAGAGGAAACGCACAGGAGAGGATGCATCACAGGTGCCCTAGGATGAGGGAGGAGGGAAGGGTTTAAGAACAAAAAAAAGGATCTTACTAAGTCAATGAAGGGCCCATCAACACTTGATTTTACAACAGAAAAATTCTGTCTCAGTCCGAAGTACATATGACAACAACTTTCCTATTAAGAAAACAAATGAAAAATTGGCTCTGTGTTTGCTTTTAAGTCTTTCAGTTGCTTAAAAGTATTTTTCATGTCAACTGTGTTTTTTCTTTTACAGAATGGCAGAATTATCTTAGGACTCAAGCTGGTAATACAACAACTGTGAATGTTGTCATTTGCACAGTTGATTACCTGCTTAGGCTACAGGTAATTTCATTGTTTTCAACGTGTTTCCTTTTTTTGTGAAAAAATATCTGAAATGCAGACCTAACTTCATATTGAAAGAGGATTTTAGCAAAAAAAAAAAAAATCTAAGACAGATTTGTCAACAAGAAGCTATTGAGGAATTTCACTCTCAATGCACCGGTGCTAATCCATTAAGGTCTTCAAAATTATAGCTGAATCGTAAAATTTGGATTACCATTCGTTCCATTTGACCTTTTAAACTTAATCTGATTTTTAAAAATTGGATTTTTTGGAGCACTCATGTTGAAGATTATCAGAAAAATCACAGTAATATTTGGATTCCATTTAGGAGGACGGAGTCAACGCAATAATAGTGTTGTACAATTGTCCGTCCTAATCTTCATCTAAAAAAATGTCATAAATAGCAAAACTGGTTGTAAAGATCGAAATAATGTTATTTTTTCACCTTGATAAAGTTTCATTATTCCTGCTTTAATTGTGCGATTATCTGCAGTTAAAAATAAAGTTTTCATACCTAGTGGAAAGAAATTATTGCTTGTTATTTACAATGATGAAAGTGTTTTTTATGTCTATCTGTGTATCTCAAATTTTTACATTCGTTTTATTGTCTTTCTCTTAGGAATCTATCATGGACTTCTACTGGCATTATTCTAGCAAAGAGTTAATTGATCCTGCGGGTAAAGCCAATTTTTTCAAAGCCATTGGTGTTGCTAGTCAAGTTTTTAACACCCTCTCTGAAGTCATTCAGGGTCCATGTACACAGAATCAACAGGCCCTTGCTCACTCAAGGTTTGTTCCTAGTAGAAAATCGTTACCTCTTGTAAGCAAAGATCTATACCGGGTAAATTTCCCCCTGGAAATTTTTATTTTTCGAAGCCTCTCTCAAGTAACTTTTCATATTTTATTTCCAGGTTCAGTTACCTATAGTTTGGTAAAGATACCTCTTGAACAGGATAATTTTTTCATTATCAGGAGCTTGTTTAGTATTGTGCACATTTAATCATTAAAAATGTTAGCGTTGGATAGGTCTGACACTTTGAAAGACGTGCATGAGTCAAACCCTGAGTGGGGTGACTTAGCGACCTAGATAAATGTTAGTAGGTATATGTTCTTAACTCTGCTTCCTAATTTAACTCTGAACCTGTAATATTAAATGTTTCCTTGTCATTTTTCAGACTGTGGGATGCTGTGGGTGGATTCTTATTCTTATTCTCTCATATGCAAGACAAACTATCAAAACATTCCAGTCAAGTGGATCTCCTTAAAGAACTTCTTAATTTACAAAAAGACATGATTACCATGATGCTTTCCATGTTAGAAGGTACGTTCTTTGTTCATAAAAAAGTGTACCTTGGCCTAAAATAAAATGAGACAGAATACATGTCACCCAAAAATGAAATGTCAAAATCAGCACTGTTATTTTGAACATTTCTTTTTTCTTACCAAGCTTCAAGCCATCCCGTTCTTCTCATTTTACATTTTTATAAGTTTGGAGTTTCTTACTTGCCAAAGACTTTTGTTTATTGGTAGAAAAAAATCTGAATTCTACTCATAATTAAGGTAGGCTTCTCGCCTTTTCAAGTTTGGCTTTGGTATAATTATTTTCATACCTGTTTATTTTTTTATCCTTTGACCTCTCTTTTCTCCCTTTAGATGTGGTTAAAGAAACCTAAGAGCTCTTAAGTTGAGATTTCTAATTGAACTCAATGCAACGGTTTAGAAAAAATTGCTTACCTCTTCGGCAAAATTTTATTCAGACTGTGTTTTAAGTTTCCAAGGCATGTTTTGATAATATTCCTACGCTATCTTCTGTTTTACCCAATATCAATGCGTACTATGTCTGATTCGTTCATATATTTTGACCTTATTCATTTTTCTAATAATACTTATCCCTTGCCTAAGTTTACTTGGTTTCCCAAGTTGTCCGTAAAAGCAACAAATAAAAAAAATATCATAGATTTTGATCATAAAAAATTATTTACCATCTTTCTAAAAAGATTGGGTAAACCATTGTTACAAATCCATTCAGATTATCTGAAAATTTAATTTCAATCATTCTCCCAGGAATTGTTTTCTTAAAAAGTAAAGTCATTAAAATAATCCTTTTTAACATTTTAATTTTTGACTGGTTTTATCATGTCCTGTAGGTAATGTAGTGAATGGCACAATTGGTAAGCAAATGGTGGACACTCTCGTAGAATCTGCATCCAATGTTGAGGTAATAAGTTATTATTATAAATTATTTTCCTATTTTCCCCCCTTTTATTAATGTTTATCAAGTGAATCAGTTCTACTACTGCAGGATTTGTTAATTAGTATTGATTTTGTTGGAATTTTTGTCAATTTCTCAGCTTAACTATCTACAAATTTTAATATATTCTCCAATTTGGTTTGATGACCTCCCACCAAACCAAATAGTCTGTAAAAGCAGTTTTGGTGGAAATGACAGCCTGATATCGATGCCTAAATTCGAAAACTGCATGTCTCATTCTTTCAAGAGAAAACAATCTGAAAAATATTTCTAAAATTTTTTCGTGAAAGTTTCTGAATGAAGAAAGAAAATTTTAAGGTAAACAGTTTGTCAGTTTGCCTTTTAAAAATTACAAGTGTAGAGTTGTAATGTGGCAATCAAAGTCGCGCATTTTTACTCTAGCTATGAATATGCTACCTGGCTCAAAGATGTTGGAACCTGCAGTATGAACTACCCTCTTTTCGAGTCTCTGAATTTTATTTTAAACTCAAAACTTTCAGATATTGCTTTCATACTAACTCTCAATTATTTTTTATTGTTTTTTAAACTCTTTTTGCATTAATTCTCTCCCAATTGTGTTTCAGCTAATTTTGAAATACTTTGATATGTTCTTGAAGTTAAAGGACTTGACCAGCTCAGCGAGTTTCTTAGTAAGTTTTCTTTCACTCTTCAAAGACCTATTAAAGTGGCAGTTTTAGTTTATTTTCTTCCCTCTTTTTCGGCGTAAGACTACGTCTCTCTCTACAAAAAGAAATAGAATTTTGTCCAACACCATCAGACTTTGAAATTCAACGAGTGATTAATACAATTTTAATATTAATGATGGCGAATTTCACGACTTTCTTTATCTAAGTCTTGGGTGCATTGGGTGCTGGATTCCAAACTGATTACAAGAGTCATAGCTAAAAGACACCTTGATAGTGAGTCCTCAGGCAAAAAGTCAAACCACTCGTATTGATTGCTCCGCCCTTTTAAGTGGCGTCGCAAAAGAAGACCCCTATTCATTGGTGAAATGGACCTTAATGGCAGTCAAGAAATTCATTGTATCTTTCAAAGGTTTTTCAGGAAGTTTTTTCAAGGTTATCTTATTAAAATATTTTTGACTTTATTCGGTTTTCTCTTGTATCTGTATCAAAAACTGTACTCCTAATAAATGTTACTTTTTGTTCTGCACCTTTTTCTAGGAAATTGACCCTAACAATGAAGGCTGGGTGTTACCGAAAGATTTCAAGGAAAAAATGGAACAACAAAAAAGTTACACTCCGTAAGTTCTTTAAGTTTTATTCGCAAAACTTTGATCACAATACGAGTATTCAATTTCCAAGCCTTCTACAGAATATCTGTTACTGTAAGGAATAGTCATAGCAAACTTAGTGCAAAGGTTTCATCCTTCTTCCTCCTTTCCATTAGGCTTCAGCTTCACCCTTTTGTTAATCCCCTTCTCCTGAGGTCTTGCTCATCCCTTTTGCTTAGCTCTCTGTCTTACCGGGCAATTTTTCCCCCCTTAGTCTCATACAATTGTTCAATCAATCATACCCAAGTAGCATTTCTCAATGGAAAAATCGCTATTTATTGCGATTTTATCGGCGATAAAATCGCCAGGATCATCAACATCTCATATCCTCGATCTTATTGCAATAAAATTGCGCTTTTATCGCCCAACAATTCATCGCGATATTTTCGAAATAAAAATCACGATAAATGGCGATTTAATATCGATTTTATCAACAAAAACTGATCACGATTTTATCAAACCTAACCCCCATACAACATCTTAAAATCCATTAATTGAGGGTGGCTTAAAACTGTAGTGATAAGTCTAGTGGTATATTCTTTTAAGTGTCTTCTATTTCTGTCTGCACAAAGTGTATAATATCTAATCTCACTGATAAAGGTTAGGTTTGCGCTCATCACTTCATGGTGGGTATAACACTGTTCCGGTTGCCCGGGGTCGGACACCGCAGAGACCGGGAACTGTACCGTTCCCTATAGGCTCGGCGATGCTCGTCCCAGGGCATCCAATTTAGAAAAAAGACTGTACAATTGTAAATAATTTTAGTCGATAAAAGCTAATTACTAATTAATGCTATAACAATGTATCATATTTCTGTATAAAGAAGTCGATATATAATAAAATAATAAAAAAAAAAAAAAAATTTATCAAACCAAAAATTGCAATATGTCGCGATTTAATCACCATATATCTCAATTGTTAATGCAATAATATCTCGATATATTGCCATCCAAATAAGCGCGATAATTAACCGATCAAATCGCTCTTTATTGCAATTACTACAATTTGGGTAGGAACTGGTATGATAAGCGTAGCTGTGCAGAGTTTCTTCCATCCTGTGCGTCAGCATTGAAGCAGAGCTCATCTTATTTGATGGAAGTGGGTTTGTGAAGTGACTGAACAGGGGCCTTAGGGTGAAGATTTCGACTGTGAGAAAAATATGAAAAAGTGAATAGCACTTTAAATGCATGATTCTCTTTTATCAGTGCTATGATTGCTATGTATAGCTTATGTTTGTAAAGCTGAAAATGAATGCTTTATCTTATGACTGTTTTATTTTTCGAATTTCCAGGGAGGAGATCGAGTTTATGCTGGCCTGCTGTGAAACAAATCATGATGGTAAAATTGACTATGTTGGATTTACTGATAGGTTCCATGAGCCTGCCAAGGAAATTGGCTTTAACCTTGCAGTTCTTCTAACAAACTTATCAGAGCATATGCCCAATGAACCTAGGTAATTTCCATAACTGATTTAAATCTCTGATGCCATAACTATTTTACATCCCCTCGCTCGTTTATCTATCAACAACAATTGGATGCTTGAAAAAACTGTGAGGGGTCAGCCTTAATCAAAGACACTTTTGTAAATGATAGAGACATCTTCAAATACAGGGGCGTTCGACAATGAGATCTCATAACACTACATATTACTAGTATCATATCATGATTTGAATTTTTTGCTTAAAATGATTTTACCATCAGGTTTGAAATTTTCTCATATCAAATGCAGGGATAGAAGTTGAAAAAAGGTTGAAAGTTGTCAGAGTCTTAATATCTTTTATTATTTTGTGGCTGGCCTTTTCTTACTTGTTGTAAGCAGGAAAACAAAAATATAGACAATAAAAACTTGAAATGATATAAAAAGTCTAGGAATTTATTTTAGTCAGACCTATCATACACTATTTGATGTTCAGTATCTTTTACGTTATCATTTAGTTTCACTCCCTTTATTTTGCGTGTTTTCAGATTAGCTCGATTTTTAGAAACTGCTGGTAGTGTTTTAAATTACTTTGAGCCTTTCCTGGGTCGAATAGAAATATTAGGTGGAAGTAAAAAGATTGAAAGAGTATACTTTGAAATCAAAGAATCTAATATAGAGCAATGGGAAAAACCACAAATTAAGGTAAGTAATTTTACGAAAAAAAAAAAAAAAAAAACTCTTTATTAGCTCGTCCTCATGTCTATAGTATTTCGAAAAGATCAAAAAAAATTATGGTTGAAGATGTTATGAGCACCATTCATGTGTTGTCCTCAGTTCTTGCCCTCTTTGTATGAAGATCGAGGCTCCTCTAAAAGTTAAGTGCGCTCACCCTCACACGAGTTGGTTGTGATCATGACAGTAGTCATAACAAACTGTTTCTGCACAGGGAAGAAAACACTTTTCTTAGAAAATTTTATTTATCTACAAGAGAGCATAATTAAGACCAATCCACACAGGTCAGTCATTCCCGAGGACGAGTTTTGGTACTCTACTGCGCAGTGACCTAGTATTGAGTGCCTGCAATGTATTTCTTATGGGAGCGCCCATTGTGACGTAGCATTGAGTGCTGCGAGTTAGAGCCGGGCGGTGGAGTGGATTTCAAAATAGCTGCGCAATGACTGACCTGTGTGGATTGGTCTTGAGCATAATTAAAATGTATAGGATATTCTATTAGGACTAAGTAGCTTACATGACTGTAGTACAAGTTTTCTGATGCATTGCATTTGTTGGTAATAAAATCTGTTTTACAGCAAAATTAGTTTTGCTCAGGCCGATATGTATACCTTGCCATGACCCTAAGCTGGGTGCTAGTGCTATGCAGACATACCAATATACTAGATGAAGATCAGTTTGATATATTTATACTAAAAGTAACTACTTTGCCTAATCATAGGTCGTTAGAACTTGTTACATTTCAATGATCCGAAAACCATAAAACTCCTTCTTTTTGCAGGAATCAAAACGTGCATTTTTCTACTCCATAGTAACAGAAGGTGGTGATAAAGAGAAACTGGAGGCATTTGTTAATTTTTGTGAAGATGCCATTTTTGAGATGCAGCATGCTAGTGGACTAATGGCTGTTGATGATGGCAGCGGAGTGGGTGGTGGAAAAACAAGGAAAGCCGCTTACAGTTATTTATCCGATGAAGATGAAGAAAAGTAAGTATTCTTTGAAAGAAATACAAGAAAAAATTTAAAGTTGTAATGCAGCAATAACACCTAATTTCTATCAGATGTATGCTTTTCTCATTATGCCCAGAAAAATATGGAATAACATGGCCAATTTTTAAGCTGCATTGTGGAGAATCACTAAGATTCATTCACCTTTCAAAAAAGTTAAACGAATTAAAGAAATTCAGTTATAAAACAATTCATTAAAAAAATGCAAGAGTAACAACTTCGGTCAGGTAGGTAATACCTTTTTACATTCACTTCATTGCTATTAGATACCCCCATAATGTTCGATCTTATTTTTCTGTTTCTCTATCGCTCTAAATTGAGCAAATAGACACACTTTGGGTAAAAAAAAATTGCATTAAAGAGGATTGTGTGAAAGAGGAGCTCTCGTAATATTAGCTGTATGCTGTAAAGAACAGGAGTTGCGATAAGAAAACTATGAAAATACCTTTTTGGTTGCAGTGTTTCAAACTGTCTATTTTTGTATGAAATTATTGCCACTTACTTTTTTACAAAATTATCAGCGAAAACTTATGAAATGGTAAACAAAAAAAAAAAAAAAAATAGATGAACTTTTGTGTGATAATGATGATTTCTCATCCTATAAAAAAATACAATAGGACAGGATCCTAGTAATGGCTCAAACCGAGGCACATGGTTTTGCTGCTTTACCATGAAAAATGTCCTCTGCATGAACTCTCCTAAGAACCTCTGCAATATGCTATAATATTGCTACAGCTGTGCAATAACAAGTGGATGTTGTGATGTAAAGTGATTTATTTTTAAGTAATACTAAATGATTGTTAGCTGAAAAGTACTGACATGTCATGGAAAAATCACAAAAAGAAAAATCAGAAGAAAGAGAAAATACCATTTTATCTTTACCTTTATCCTTCCAGAATTAATATTCCCTAACTCATAGTGCTCTAAAAAATGAATGAGGTGTATTTTTTCATCTTTTGAACTGTGAAATTTTAAAACCTGCTAACAGTCATAATTCTCAAAAATGTATTTATTTAATTATTAGTTAAAAACTACATTCATGCTTTCTCATGCTTAATTTTCAGGAATGTACATCCAATAAAAAGAGGTTTACAAGCCGTGAAAGATACAGTCTTCTTCCTTTTTGCAATGCTCTCTCCATCAAACATAAAACAAAAATTGGGAGAACTACAACAAATGAGTGTGCCGGAAATGGTCATTGGTTTCTTCAAGCTTATTTTCTATTTGTTCTATTATTCTGGCTTCAGTGTCATGGTTGTATTCAGGTAAGCTTTATTTTATGCGTTTTATGATATCTTGAAAATTCATCCATTGAAATAATTTTGGAGTTACTCACAGTCCAAAGTATGAGAATGTCAGTTTGTATCTTTTTGCACAGCTATAGCTTCATATAATCTTACAGGAGCTTTTCAAGTCTGTTGTAGTCAATGATAGAATCAGCCAACATTACTTTTGGCTTGTCAAAGTCAACTCTGGCCAAAATGGCCCCTGCCCTGGGGTAAATTGAATGGGGTCATTGATGTACTAAATATTCCATTGTCGTAAAATCTTCAATTTTTTCCCAAATATCTTACTTACGAAGCTTGCTGACCACTTCAGCGCAGCATGAAAACCCTGATTGCAGTTTCTACCACTCTGATTCTTCTTTAAGAAAAACTTTCCCCTTTCCTTTCCTGATGCAAAGTGACATTTTTCTTTTCCTAAAATCTCTAAAGATAATAATTATACAAGAATAGGAGACAACATAGGATAACTTTTCTCACCAATGACGTGATTTTGGTACAAAGCTTATCTTCTCCCCCTTTCTAATTTAAAACTAAATAATTTCGCAGCAAAATTCGAAGTCTTTGCATGACTTCTATGAACGCACCGATTTGGCTGAAATTTTCCGCTGATCATTTTTTCTCGAAAAAATTCTGAGAGGGAGATGAGGCTGTCAAAGTTACCAAAATTTTTTCAAATCCTTGCAAACCGAAATACATAGTTAAGACTATGTATACGACTATACATAGTCTCACCGTTTGTGCCATCATTTCAGTTTTCTTAGCATAGGGATTAAATTTTACTATCATGACGCAATTACACTATCATGACACAATTACTTGTACAGTCTCCTCCCTCTAAATTCCCTTCTGTGAAAATCATTGACAGTTATGTATGTTATTGATTTTTTGTCCAAAATATTTCAAGGTATTTCGGGCGAATATTAATGAGTTTAATGAGAGGACCTCAAGTTGAGGAACCAGTCGTGGAAATTAAAGAAGAAGAAAAGTGGGGCTCTATGAGAAAACTTCCTGCATTACCTCCGCCTGAAGATGGCAAAGACTCTCAACTCATCATGCATGGATCAGAAGGATCTAAAGAAGATGGGGCTCAGTAAGTTTTTTGTTTAATACTATAATTAATAAACTCATGGTTTGATTTTTCATCTACCCAGTATCCTAAAACTTAATCATTTCAGTATTAAATTGAGCACAGTGACAGAATGATTCAATAAATGCAAGCAAGTTAAGTTTCTAGTCAGTTTCATGAAGCTGAAACCTTATAAAAACGATCCTTGGAATTTTATTTAAATTTTGCTCTGACGCTCTCAGTCAGACACCAGATTTAGCCTGGCTATACCCATTAGACTTCCCTCTTTCCCCCTAGGACCCTGATATTATTTGTGGACATTTTTTTTAAGAATATTTGACTGTATTTTTTTTTTCTACACTTTTTTTCTATTTTAGCATAAAACCTAGTGGTCATGAAGGCACTCCAATGAGCGCACAGTTAGGCACTGAGGAAGGTGGTGACTCACCTACCGGTGAAAGCGGTGATTCCCATTCCAAGTCTGATTCCGATGAAGGACTTAGGGCAGAGGGTGCCTTAACGCTTACAGAATTCTTAGGGTAAGATTCTTTTTTCAACTCTTATATCAAATAATTTATTGAATTATATTATTTAGAATTTAATTTAACATATCTAAGTTTCACCCCAAAATTCAATTTCCAGTTTTATGTAATAATAAATTGAAGTTAAAGAATTTTCCATGAATTAAAGTAAAGTTAAGCTAAGAGCTAAACATTTATTGAAGGTTTTATATCAGTCTTTACCTAGTCTTAAGAGCAATATGCGTTTCACTAATCCAAGCGTATATTTTCTAAATATGTGCCAAAAAATTGGATTAGTGTAAATTAAAAGAACTCCATCCATGTCCAGAAAATACTTTTTTACATGAAAATTTATTTAACAACGTACACAACGTTAACCTCAATGACAACAATTGTCCTTATACATAGTACATTCGACAACAATACAGCGTTTGCCTCTATGTTTGACAATGTTTGCTTCTTTTAGTATCAAAGTCTAATGAACAGTATGATATTTAAGTTGATTCACTCAAACCGCACCTCTTCCGATCTGTCAATATAATCACAATCTTTAATTTATCAGAGTGAATATTGGACATTCTCCAATCATTAATTTGCTGATCCAGTGTCAGCATTTGTGATCGTTCTCTCATTGCTTTTGGAAACACCTAAGAGGTCTGGGATAATCCTCTCATTGAAATAATGTTGACATTATTTAAAGATTGAACTTTCCGTCAAACTTATCTTTTCTTTTATTTTTTTAATGTTTTCTGTTCATTATCCTCTTGGAGATAGTTATTTAAAATGCAAGGATAAAGCCCATAAATTTATATTTTCCTATGCTTCAATTTTATTTTACAGATGGGACCATTCTACAGAAGATAGGTACCTTATTATGTAGAACTCTGAATGAATTTGTCTTTGCATCGTTTCTGTTGTCGATGAATATTGCTCGAAAAGAGAAATGCAAGTGCATTGTCAGTTCATCCTTTTTTATTGCATTAAGATATGAAACAATTGAATTTATCTCGACTTGCCAACTTGTGTAGATTACAGCAAAAATTTCAATATCTTGGTTCTCTTTTCGGAAGAAAAAGTTCCTCACTTTCCCTCGGTTCATATTAATGTCATTTAAAGTTGTAAATTTTTTGACAGAATTTTTTCAAATCTTGAAGCCACCAAGTATATTTTCTGAGTATGCTGACTGTCTTAACCAGGTGTATTTCATGGAGATCATGTCTTAAGGTTCATTACCATCATATTCATACTCTCATGCAAACAATCATAAATTCATGTAAATATTTTGTCATGTAACTCGCTCATAAGTACAGATTAACCTCTGATTCTGACAACTGCAATTTTCTTTGTAAATATGTAAATGTTCAGTGCATTTTGATGAAATTTCTCTCGTAATGGTTTTGAAAAGTAATCTTAAGACAGTGTTTTTGTAACTGAATGAATACAGCACATCTCTCATCCATAGTTGAACTCTGTTAAAATGGAATCTAAATTGCCAGAGACAAAAATATTGGTTGAAAACTAATTCTTGGCCTGCAATGCATAAGAATTAAGAAACTGTGACTTTGTCTTGCTCTCATGATTTATTAGCAATGAAATAGAAATTCTCACTGTACTCCTACTGTTGGGTGAAAAATGAACTACTCACTAAACAATGGACAATGGACTTGGGTTTGTTTCTAATGATTGTAATTATTACTGGGATTCTTCAGCCTGTGAGATTAAAACTCATTCTTTAGATGACCCTCATACTACAATATATTTTGTATCCTTACGCAAACTCAGAAGATTGTCATAAATTTGAAAGCAGTTTGGGAATATCAAATTCAAGGGCAATGTCGAAAAATGCTTAGTGAAAATTGCTTTTCTACGGGGTTCACTCTGTCCAATTTTGGAAAATGAGGGCTCAAATTTAAACTGATAGTATAGAAAATCCAGATATATGATTGATTCTCTCCAGCATTCACGATTTACCAGAAAAAGTTAGGAGACCTTTCTGTCTGGATTTTGAAGGAGAAGAAATTAATGAGAATTGTTGTGGGCTTTGCGCAGTCTCATTTTACGAGGTGTGACGTATCTGTTGAAAGTTACAATTCCTTGAGTTACAATTACAATTTCTTGAGAATGTTTCTTTTAAATTCTTTTTTTTTCCATTTAGTGGTGGAGCAGCCAAAAAAGAAGCAGCTCTTGTTGCAGAAGTTGCAGCTCAGCATCAAGCAGTAATGGCGGCAGTTGAAGCTGAAGGGAAACAAGAAACTGTTTCAGAGCCTTCAGCAGTCTCACAGGTGAGTTCAAACTTATTAATTGATAAAAAATATGATAAAGTCAATTAAAATTTAAAATAGGTATCCTGAAAGTCAAATTTTACAGGAGAAAATAAAAAATGTGCATCGTTTAATATTTTATCTTTTTAATGCAATTTTTGAGAATTTTGAAAAAAATATCATAAACTTCAGTAAAAACCTGTAAATTAAGTTGTCAATCAAACCCTGCATTGAAGTTCGTGAAATTACTTCAGTATCTTAATTAAAGATGCGGCAGAAATGTATTCTATTTTAAATTCTCTCAGTTTTTTTAGATATACTCTAATAATTTTTTATGGTAGGCTAATTTTCTGAAATGTTCATTTACATTCCATCTCATCTTTTTCTAAAAATTTGTCTAGCTATTTGTTTGGCCCAAAAGGATACCCTTGCTAACAACCATTTCATTTTATAATATAATTCTCTAATGCAAGATTTTAATAACCTCAAAACAGTTTAATTGCCATAAAAACAAGTCAAATCGCAAAATGGTGCCTCTTATAATATTCATCCCCTTGGAATTAATTTTTGTTCATTTTCGTAGATTGATTTTAATGGATACACCCACCGTGCCTTGAGTTTCTTAGCCAGAAATTTCTACAATCTGAAATATGCTGCTCTTGTTCTTGCATTTTGCATCAACTTCATTCTTCTCTTTTACAAGGTATTATTTTCCTCTCAACTTTTCTGATACAATCAATGTGTTGAATATAGTGATACATTATAAAATACATATATTAATTTAGTGTTGCATTGATACATTAGAAATTACATATGTTAATTTAGTGTTGCATTAGAAATGCAATTATAAGAGTAATAAATACAAAATGGCCAATGGATATAATGATTTACAAGTGATTCTTATCGCAGAAATATTAAATGATATGAAGGAAACAATTCTGACTTGGACCTGCTTGGTAAAATAAACTCACAGCCTTCATAACCCCTGTCTTCATATTTTACAAAATCACTTTTTGCTAGGGAACTGTCAAATCCAAGCCACCTCAGATTTAGCTCATTGTTTTTCATAGACTCCGAACAAAGTGTGCCGTAAGACCACATGTATTAAAAGTTCCAAAAATTTGCATAATGCTAAATTTTACACGATCTGCCAAGGATATCTCCCTATGGCCGCAACACCCTCTTTGACCCAGAAAATAAAAGTAAGATATAACCCAAATGAAAAACCAGACCATCAAGGTCTATGATTTTTGTGAACATTTTATTTTATTTTCATTTTTCTGGTTGGTGAAGAAGTTGAAACTATCCAGAAACGTTCCAGGCAATTTATGCAGTATATTAGCCTTAGTTACTCATTTTGTTTTGTTTTCCTTTATATTCCTGTTTTTTAATTTATTTTTTGAACTGTAGGTAACAGTAATTGGTGGAGAAGAGGAAGATGGAGGAAGTGGTGATGATTTTGGCGGTCTATCTGGTGAGGACCTTTTAGGCTCGGTTGGTCTGGATGCAGGCTCTGGTGAGGATGGGGGCGGTAGTGGAGGGAGTGGAGAGGATGAAGAAGAGCCGTTGGAGATTGTCCATGTTGACGAGGATTTCTTTTACATGTACCATATTCTACGTTTTGCTGCTTTCCTCCATTCCTTAGTCTCTTTAGCCATGCTCATTGCATACTACCATCTCAAGGTATCAGACTGACAGCGTCTACTTCATGCATTAATAAATACCATGAATTTTCTAGTTGATTTTTCCTCCCTCAATTATGATATTTTGCTCCAGGGCTGCAGAATGTGCCCGTTTGCGGGAGAAATGTAAAGGCGCCTGAAAAGGGGGAAAATGTGAAGGCAAGAGGCATTTTTGAGAAGAAAACCATTACACGTGTTATTTATTTTTAGGAAAACTACTGAACTCATTTCTTTTGGCAAAGGAAACTGTATAATGTACCAAGGGGATGCTAAGAAAATGGTGAAGTGTGCAGTCTTATGTGGACAGCAATGTGAAGACTGCCTCCAAAAATTTGAAGGAAAGTAATCTTATGTACACAGCAAATTGTGAAAGTGCCCTAAAAATTGTGGAGGCTGAGAGGGTTTTTTTTTCTGTTTGAAGGTTTTCAGATTTTCAACTCTTGTGAAATAATGTGATTTTAACACACATCCAAAAACTCAACAAAAGATCAGCGCATTGTACTGACCTTTTTTTGAAAACCCAGCATATTGCAGAAAATTGCGTCCTAAATCAATTTGCATCCCTGCTGTATGGGTAGCCATAGATCAAATTCAGCTCCGTTCATGCTTGCACTTGCCATATTTATCAAGGAATAGCCATGATTCCTGTTTTAGAGTTAACTAATTTCTTCAGGTAGATGAAACTATTTTTTTTTTGCCAGTCAGTTGTTGGAATTAAAGTATCTCTAAAACTTTTTTTTTTCATTCAGTATATAATTATTGTTTTTTAATTTTGTAGGTGCCTCTCGCCATCTTCAAAAGAGAGAAAGAAATTGCTCGAAGACTTGAGTTTGACGGTTTATTTATTGCTGAACAACCAAGTGATGATGACATCAAGTCGCATTGGGACAAGCTAGTTATCTCTGCAAAGTATGATTCAATCATTTTTAATCATCGAGATTTGTTATAACCTCTACAATTAAACTCAATCATCAGCACTACAATTAAACTACAATTATCAGCAGATAATTTTTTCAGACATTGTCTAGTTCTGCAACCATATATCATTTCAGTATCGTTGAAGGAGCATGTTTCTTGGCTAAAGAGTCGTAAATATTTTGCATTTTTCTTGTGAACTCTTTATTCTAGAATAATAACGATTCTAAACTAATCAAATAAAGTGAAGATGTTAGAATTTTGCTGGTTGATAAAAAAAGTTGTCTGGTTTACATAATCTCTATGAATAAGTTGTACAATGAATGGGCTTGCTGCTAACCAGACCAAGACTGATTGACATTCTCCCTCGTTTCAAAATGTCGTTTCAAATGGGTATTCAGTGGGTTGCATCTTTTTGGCATTTTTAAAACAAAGTTTCTTTACCATTTAAGGTTTAAAAAAATCTGAAAAAGTTCCTTGGAGTTTATTTCAATCCGCTCCGTGCTTGCAGAAAATGAATTTTAAAAAAAATTGGTGCCATTGATTCATTATTTTATAAGAATGTGTAGCACCTATGTTCGTAAAATTGTTTATAAATCACAAAAAATTGCTCAAATGTTTGTACTACAAGTCTTTAAACTTAAGATGTATCCTTTAATAAGAATTTAATTTAGTTCATAAATCAAACCAATCTTATTACAGCAGTATCCATGGGAAAAAAGTATGATCGAAAAGTCTAAACGCACTGAATACGGAGCTTAATTCTTTTTTTACTGTTGATATTTTACATGTCTTTTATTTGAGAATAACAGAGCCTCAGTGTTAAGTACTTGTTTCAGTGTATCAGTTACTCTTTTTGAGATTTACAGTGTCTCTTTTCAAATGTCAGTATCTAAACATTTCATTTCGCTTTCCAGGTCATTTCCTGTAAATTATTGGGACAAATTTGCTAAGAAAAAAGTCAGACAAAAGTATAGTGAAACGTACGACTTTGATTCAATCAGTAACCTGCTTGGCATGGAGAAGACTTCTTTCAGTTCACAAGAAAACGAAGAGGGCTCCGGCATCGTTTACTTGTAGGTTTTATTTCTAAATCTCAAGTTCTCTCCAAGTCCTCGGTTGCATAATACTTTACGCCGAATCCACAATTATAATTGACGACTGATGCGTTCAAAGTTTGATTGTGGAAATGTCGAGTCCTTAACCATTTCAATTTTGCAAACGGTTTCCATGAGAATTTCATACCCTCAAAAGACTTATCAGTAATTTTTTGCAGAATTTAAGAATGTGGTCATCAACAGTTCAATAAAGGCAACAAAGTCTCATCAAGGATTCTTCGGTGATTATCTCCCCAACTCGTTTTTTGGGGTAGGGCAACAGAGAAAAGTGTTTGAAGAGAGAGTGGATGATAATAAACACCAGCAGGGTTCCTCTTGTTTGTCCTCAAGCGTGCCAACAGAATCAGCAATTGGTTGGCAATTTGTGATGTAAGTGGAGGGACCCCAGTCTATTCACTGGTATGGAGTGTAGAAAACTGGATGACCAAAATGGAGCCCTATTGTCACCTTTCGGGTTGGAGCTCTCTGAGGTTTAAGCGGCAGGGAAGATAAAAAATATCCATTCCTGAGCAGTCAGCAAAGGATAAAAAGCTCAAAAGTAAAAGCTGCCTTTTGAGGGCAGTGATGGTGTCGGCATTAGATCAAATAGTGGTGGCCAAATTGCACTCACCATGCACTTTTTATATGTGCGTTCAGGGATAAAGTGCTGTGAAAAGAAGATATAAAAACATTTGTCTCAAAACTCACTCTTTGCTTTTCCTCTCCTATCCTAACAACGTATTCAATATCTATGTTAAATATTTGCCATTGAAAAAACTTCTGAAGCCTTATTACATTTTAATGTTTGTTTTTCAGTATTTTGAATATTGATTGGAGGTACCAAATTTGGAAAGCTGGCGTCACAATAACTGATAATGTATGTATTATCCTTATAATGCACCGTTAACTAATTTGAAAGATCCTCCTAGTCCTGCATCTATCTAAACCTTGATAATCTGCAATGAGGCCCCAGGAATAGATTTTTTCACCTGCCACTTTAAGGCAAAAATTCCTCAAGGCAGATAAAATACCATATTGAATGGGGTCATTTAATTAATAGTTACATTACTGCTTCTGCCCTTGGTGGAAATAGATGGTTTTGGCAAGACCTCTCATCAACTCCATGCAAATCTAATGGAGGTCGAGTAACTGTTTGGTCAGTTTAATTGAGTCATTAAAAATTTCACTCATTGCAAGATTGTAGAATTCATGAATGCATGATAAGCACCACGAGACAAACGGATGTGATATGCAGAAAAAACTCTGTTAGGATCGCTCAGAGCAGTGACTGAGAGTCGCAACGCACACTAGTTAATGAAAAGGGACTGTTTTAGCATCCTATGCATATCAATGGTGAAACTGCAAAAATGCGTATCTCGATTGCAGTGTTTCAAAATCTTTGCCCTTATTTTATTTTTTGCAGACTGAATCAACATCATGGCTTGAAAGTTTCACAGAATACTCTTTACCTAGAGTGGAAAAATCACCAAAGTTTTCAAAAAAAGACATCAGGAAGTTTTCAACGTAGAAAATAAAGTATGACAGGAACCACGCAATGTCACTAACCGAGTTACGCATTTCTACAGTCTTAGCATCGATTTGAATAGAAATTTCATTTTTAAAAGTACCTTTATTTGTCTGAAAGTATTGTTTACTCCTAATTAATACAATACTGTAATCGTACGTTCACATGTAATGTCCATTTTACATCTTATTGATTTTTCCTTTTTTTCACTGTCCGTTCACTCTCATTTAATTACTGTTGTAAATCACTAAAATGTCATTATTCCTCTGTTTCTATTTTTCAGGCTTTCTTGTACAGTTTATGGTACTTCACTTTTTCAATTCTAGGCAATTTTAACAATTTTTTCTTCGCTGCTCATTTATTGGACGTTGCTGTTGGTTTCAAAACCTTGAGAACCATTTTACAGTCTGTCACCCATAATGGCAAACAGGTACATTAATTTTCCCTAAGGCTCTAAAGATTTCTGTGTTACATCTCATCTCATCCTTTTTCTGCCCTTCATTACATGTTGAGGCCTGTTGTTTGCTCTGAAACACCAGGCATACGAGCTATACTGGCAGCTGGGGCCTCATGTCCTCTAATTCTAATTCATAGGGCTTTAAACATGTCTGTGCTGATCTGTTTTGAAGTTTCCACTCATGAATCTAAGTTTTAAAAGAAAATCACGCAGAAACTAAGGGAAAATATCAGAGCAAAGATCAATAACGAAAAAATATCTGTCATGAGGAGGATGTAGAAAGAAGTACAAAAATTAGGCAGCAATCCTGTCAACAATTGGGGAGTTAAAATGTATCAAAATTATGTATTAAGATGGCAAAAGTTAAGGAAAACTGTTCGCATCATTTTTATAGCCTCAGTAATTCTTAAGAACAAAAAGTAAGTAAATTTACCTCCTGTGATATGAAAATTTGAGTAATGTGAAACAAGTAATTTAACAAATTTTACTACAAATATGTGTAAATATACCTGCATACTCAGAGTATCATATCCTGAAACTTATACTCGAAGAAAGAAACATATCGATGGTAAAATTACCAAACCATGCATCTCATTTGTGGTGTTTAACAATGTTCGTTCTTATTATGCTCTTACACTCTACTTTTTTAAGGAGAAAAAATCAACATCATCTCTTAAAGCTTTCACAGAATATATTTTGCACGGAAAAGAAAAATCACTGAAGTCTTTAAGAATTGACAATTTCCTATTTTAAAAATGAAGTATATCAGGAAGTCTAACAACATCTTAAACTGAAATACATGATTTAGGACTTTCAGTGTGGACATGTGGTAAAAGAAAAACGACATTGGTCAACAACATAGCCCTTTCAATTTTAAATTGTAAATAGAATGCAGGTAATAAAGGTCAATTAATTCAATCTGATTTTTTTTTTTTTTTGCAGCTTGTCTTGACTGTCATGCTGTTGACAATCATTGTATATATTTATACTGTAATAGCATTTAACTTCTTCCGAAAATTCTATGTTCAAGAAGAGGATGATAATGTTGACATGAAGTGTCATAATATGTTAACGGTGAGGAATTTTTCCTGATATTTTGCTCTATATATTTTTTCAAATTTTGCTTACTATGCTTCATGAAAGGCGCCAAGTAACAATTTCCTTCTTTAATCCCATTAAAGTCACTACTTACTTGTTTTAAGATGTGAACTTCATCAGAACACATTATGGACTTACAATAGGAGCCTCCTTTGTAGAACTAATGTTCAGGTTGCAACATTAATTCTTTTTGCATGGAAATAGTGTTGATGATCCTGGGGAACATGCATTTTTAAATTTTTTAACGAGCCCCAGAAAGTCAGTAAAGTAGGGGAATTCAGACAAGCAAAATTCAAACGCAGCACCTCCGTGTTATTGCCATAAACCAACTCGTTACCTATTTAATGTTTCATATTCTTGTACTTTTTATCCAGTACAATTCCAAAGAAAAGAAACCTTTTCAACAAAAAGAAAAGACCTCTCAAAGAACTTCTTCAAAGAAAAGATTCCTCAATCAACAACATGCCAATCTCAAATTAAGTGCACAGTCCTGTTACGTATTCAGTTGTACCCAAAAACGAACAAAAAATCTGGGAATTTTTTAAATAATTTAGTTCTAACATTTTCAACTCTCTCTTCCTCAAAATTTTAAAATAATTACCAACCTGATTGTGTCTTATTTATTCTGTATTTTTTTCAGTGTTTTGTGTTCCATTTATATAAGGGTGTGCGTGCTGGTGGTGGTATTGGTGATGAAATCGAGCCACCAGATGGTGATGACTATGAAGTCTATCGGATAATGTTCGATATTACTTTCTTCTTCTTTGTTATTGTCATCCTTTTGGCCATCATCCAGGGTTAGTAATTTAAAACTGGATTTTATTTCTTTCCTGTTGTTAACCTTTCATTTTATGTTAGATTTTATCATCAAAAGCAGAGCTCCCGGGTGCTCTACATGCAAGATCCGTCCGCTTTGCTGCTTTCCGTGCTGCTACTGTCATTCTGTGACATCATGCATATGGACGAGTTAAAATAGGGAAGTGTTTTCCCATAAGGTTTTAGTCTGTATACGGTTCGTGCTGGAATAGGGAAGGTCTGCGCGGCACGGATTTATCCGCACGCTTGGAATCGCTGAATCAAGATATAGTTCTTCTATAATCTTACTAACAGTCACTAAATCTAGAATCAGATACACTTAAATTTCATAATGCGGCCTTCAACTTTCAATATTTCTTTTTCGATCAGTGGGAGTGAAGAAAATGCTAGCGGAGACAAAGTTGCTATGTAGCATATTGATGATCAAAGTGCAAAACCAAGTATCTCCATTTGCAACGTTTAGACTTTCTGTCATGCTTTATTTTTTTATTTTTGAAAACCAGTCAACGTAATTTCTTGAAAACTTTGATATTTCTTTTCTATTAGCAGAGTATTCAGTGTAAATTTCAAGCTGCAAAGTTGGCTTGTTTCTCCCCAAATAAATCAAACAGGAACGGAAATTTTGAAACATTGCAACGGAAATAAATGGTTTTGCATTTTGGCCATTGATATTATCATTAAAAAAAATTGAATTCAGAAGGATAGAAAGGTGTTTAATTCTTTCTTCTTAAACAAATTATATAGAATCTACTCAATAAGTAAATGACACAGTATGGGAAACCAAGGGATTCCAGTGGATTTTAAGGGCTGAATTTTGTTATTTTTGGTATGATGTTATTTAATGTCTCTTGTCTTGAGTGTAGCGAGTTTTTAAGTGATCTAATTTTTAATATGCTAATTTTGAAAAAAGAGGGGCCACCATTCACCATTATCTTTTGGAGGCATGGCACTGCCGCTGTATTGGGTGTGCAGAGCCTTTTGTTTTCTGGAGATCAGGAAAACGTTTGTTTTTTTTTTTTTTTTCTGAAATATTCCTCTTTTCCGCCCATATTTCTTCTAAATTATAGCCCGTACAAGGTTTGATTTTAAAACTCCATCATGCTCAGAGGGTTGTAAAGAGCATTATACAGGTTGTTTTAAAAGGAAGTAAATATCCACCTCCAGTAACTTTTGAACAAATTCAAGTATCAAAAGACGACAAAACATGTGTGTAATATTTTTGAGGGGACATCTTTTCCGCATATTTTCACTTTTGGGCCCTACAGAGAGCGTTTTGGCGCTTTTCGATTTTCGAATTCGTTCAGAAGATATTCCAAGTCGATACTTGATTATGAAATGCTCTGCATAGTAATGACAAAATATATCGAGCGCCGAATCTCATGGTTTTCCATGAGGGGTCCTTTTCATACATATTTTATCCTTCGATTTTGATTGTCAATTTTTTTGATTCTTTTTTAGTCTGACAAGCAGTTTGACTTTTCTGCCGATTGTTTCAGGTTTGATCATCGATGCTTTTGGAGAGTTGAGAGATCAACTTGAGAGTGTAAAAGATGACATGGAATCCAACTGTTTTATTTGCGGCATAGGAAAAGATTTCTTTGATACCGTTCCTCATGGGTTTGATACTCATGTTCAACAGGAACACAACTTAGCCAATTACATGTAAGTTTTAAAACAGAGAAAAAATTCTTATATAAGAGTTCAATAAATGAAAAGCTGTGCAAACCTTAATTTTTTTAGCTGACTGGAACTTTCTAAAAGATTTCTGTACCCAAACTTTGAACCCAACCTTTTGCAATTAATTTGATGTGAAAGCTTGGAACAAATTAAGAATATTAACCGAGGAGTGCTTTCCCGGAACAACCACTATGTTTTCTTGTAAATTTTGGGTAGTCGATACCAGCTCAGTCATGAGTCATCCAGTGTGAGAGAAAAAAATGCAGACTAGACCACTTTTCATGAGGAATTTGTTTCAAATCCTCTGCTCAAACGAGGTCACTTTAACTGAAATCTAAACCCTCAGCAGTTACAGTAAATGTAACTGTCTCAATTTGTTGTCTGCTGGTGAATCATCGAAAACGGTCAAAAAGTGACGTTTCTCATCCAAGGAAGTTCCTAATACTCTCTGGACTAAGCAGAATCAATTCTACACCTCAAACTAAGTAGGAATCGACAGTAATCTCGAAATTTTTTTTCCTTTCAAAATTGAGAAAAATCGACAGGGGTTAGATAAATGCACGGAGAAAAAAAAATTGCTGATTCAACAATTCAATTGCTAAACACAGTGAGTGCAATGTTTCAATGCAGATTTTACAACAAAAAAATGCTACTTTAAACACATTGTAAACTAATTTAACCACGGGGGTGGTTAAAGTAGCATTTTTTTGTTGTAAAATCTGCGTTGAAACATTTCACTCACTGTTTTTAGCAATTGAATTGTTGAATCAGCATTTTTTTTTTCCATGTGGACTAAAATTTCGGAGTCAAAATCGAAAGTTCTCCGATTGGACTGAAACCAAGGCAGTTCGTAAGAAATCACCTGCTGAGTCGAATGTTTTGGTCTAAAAGAAGCTCCACGAGCTGGCTGGTTTGCGTGATTGGCAAATAACCGCGAATCAAAAACGGTCAAAAACACTTGTTTCTCGGCTTTGGAAGGCTCTGTTCATTGGTGTAGATTAAGGGGTGAAACTTAAGATTTATTTTCGTACTATGGTTGAATGATGCGTTTCCCTCAAGTTTTCTTTTCTTCTTCCAAAACACTAGAGGAGGATTCTGTCTCTAATTTGGTCTTGATCGATTTCAGGTTCTTCCTCATGCATTTGATCAACAAACCCGACACAGAATACACTGGTCAAGAAACATATGTTTGGAACATGTACCAACAACGATGCTGGGACTTCTTCCCGGTTGGAGACTGCTTCCGCAAACAGTATGAAGAAGAGTTGGGTGGTGGAGGAGGTTGAGCTCTCTTTTGTCCATTTCCTTCCCTTAACCTAATGTCGATAACTGTTACTGTAACCTCATAATCACTGCAACATCAGTTTTGAATCACAATTTTGTTAATTACTTAAATTAATTGAATAAAAAATTACTTGAAAATTATTTTGCTTCCATGAACTTGCGTTGGGAAATGCTCTGGTCCGCAATTTTTGAAAGCTATGGCTAAGACTGTAAGTATCATCTATTTTTCATCAGATGCATTTTGATTACTCAACAAAGACCAAATAAACCCCTTAATATCAGTAGAATTATCTTTTTGGTCGTTTCGCTGCAGCCATTCAACGCACCGTATGGACAGTAAAATCGCAAAGAAGCGTACCTTAGTTATGGAGTTGTAAAATCTATGCTCTTGGTTTTATGTTTAATAAATGATTTTCAATAGAACCAACATCATGGCTTAAAATTCTATAGAATAATCTTGGCATAGAGAAGGAAAATCACCGAAATTTTCAAGAAATAATGTTCAATGATTTTCCAAGTAAGAAATGAAGTATTGCAGGAAGTCAGCAATGCCACAAACCGAGATAAGCACTTCTGCAGTTTCACCATAGATAAGTTTGCACGTGATAGAATGCGTTATCACTTAGGCAGCTTTAGCAGTATACGTGATGGACTAATAAAATGCAATGGTTGCTTATAATCAGCGTCTCCAAAACTGGTGGTGTTGATGAAGAGCACAATCTTGACCAGCTTGATCCATTGTTTGAAAATTGAAATGCGGCCACACTAGCTCGCGACCCAAGCTTGCCACAGTCAATCAACCCTTACACAATAGACCAAACTGCTCATCAGACTCTGCCCCTCACCCATCAATTTTTGTGAAATACAGCATAACAAAAAGGTAGTTCAGACTGGAATAACTGGATCGATATGTTTGCTTTAGTTATTTCATTTATTTTTTTTTTCTTTTCTCTCATGTGCCTTCCTGTGGACAGATACTACTAAATGATAGAAAGTATGATTACATTCAATGAAAAGAAGGAAACTCGATGAATGTAGAAACATTAAAACATCACTCAGAAATTAAACTTTCAAAACTTTTAACAAATTATGAAACAAAATAGCTCATGTTGTGTATTTGACAAAGGAGGTTAAAACGTACACAAAGGCTGTAGATCTTAGGCTATTTTGAGCAAATTTTATAAATATGACTTGATAAGGTCAAATTGGCATACTTCTCCTTTTTTTCTTTTTTTTTTCTCACGATGAGTACACATACTTCCGTAAGTGAAGAGTTCACAAGATCAGCATACAGCATTTTTTGTTAGAGAATCTTCGGCGATGTGAGGTTAAATGCATAAGTATGTTTTCAATGTCCAGGGCCTGAATGTCACTGGTCCAATACAGATGGCTGCAAATCTAGTGACCATAGCCTAATATCATCCAACTAAGACAATCATAAAGCTTACGCTTGACTTATGAGCAACTCCAGCGGCCTTAATGTATGCTTAACCAGTCAAAAAAATTCCGGCTCATACAATAAGACTGTGTTTTAATGATGGAATTTTAATCATTAGGAAACATTGATGGAATCTAAACAAATATTTTTTAAAAAAAAACTGACACGTGTTATGAACGGAAATTCAAAACTGAGAAAAAAATCAGACATAAAAAACATAAGTATTATACTGTCTAGCAGATAACTGTGATGACCAACTTCAATAATATTTATGTAAGACATATGTTTCCAACAATGATTCACAGCATACAATATGAGAAACAACTCATTTAGAAGAAGAAAAACCCACTGACAGAGTTCCAGCATTAGGATCAATCTCACTCACCCAAAGCAACAATGACAGTTATTGAGAGGAGTATCTTTCTACAGAAAGCACTCAGGAGACATACTTCCATGTTGCCAAAAGTGAGTTTTTGAGATAAATACTTCTCCAAATACATCACTTGGATCAACCATCTGAATAATAGGTAAACTATCCTGAAGAAAGATCATGGTTATCAACATGAAAAAATTCATTGGAAATTAGGTATAAGTATTCAAAGAGAGTGAAACCACATACTTAGGTGTCATCACCACGAATATTCGATGATTTCTACACAGAAAACATGGTTGAGATTCATAATTAAATTGGTAATGACAAAAATGAGTTCTAGTTAATTTATGGCAGTAAGATGATGAAAGTTGTGAGAAGTCATGGTAAATGATAAAGTAATAATAAAAAGACTTTAACAAATGAGTGAAAAACTTAATTCTTCCACGTAGTTTTAAGCACTTATGTTTTCAATTCGGGTGTTAATTTGAGCCATCTTAATAATTTCAAGAAATTGAGAGGCAGGAGAGGGTTAGATATTACATACAGTATTTTACGGAGATTACAAGATACAGCACACGCAGATCTCCCTTAAGGTTTTCTTCATGATCGAGACAGGAATTATTTTAGTAGAATGATTGTGTTGCAAAACAAATTAAATTAATACCAGATTAACACACTGAAAAGTGAGAATGCAAAATTTCAAGCTATGCAGATTTTACATTCTTAGTGATAAGTTTGGTTAACAACCAAAGTTTGGTTACAAGTGTAATTGCAAGAAAAGTAAATGTCTTTTCAAAGTTAGAAGCGAGGATTGAGAACATGGATACAGACTAAGAATGCTGAGAGTATACACAACACTTGGCACCTTGCAGGGAGCCTCTAAAGGTTACTGAAATGGTACTTAACAATGCTCAACAGGAATACACTTGGTGTATTTTGATTGGTTCATAGGGTCCATCTAAAAAGAAATTAAAGTAGTTTCAGAGAAGATTAGCTTCGAGCGATTAGTATTTTATGTTCATTCAAGATTTTAAATTTTTTTCTTAATTATGTATCTACTTTGAATAGTAAAGATTTGATCGAACACAATTCTCAGCAATTGTTGAACTAATTCAATTACAAATTGACTGCCCTAAGGCATCTAGAACTTTTAGGAAAGCGCATTGAAACTGAAATACAGTACTCTTTCTCCCCCCCCCCCCCCCCCCCCCCCCNCGGAATGGCAATGGACCAGACAATTTTTTGTTACAACGAGCAGCGATAATGAACATAATAAGTTCAAGAGACTAGACAATTTTTTCATTACAGAGAAACTTGGCTTGGGACAAGTCATCGTGAAGAGTAAATGCTGTGTATCTCAACTAACTGTACAATTTTTATCCATCAAACATTTTGAGATGCAAATTTTGAGATGACTACCTGAGTCAACGACAGTAAAGATAACACTGTTTGACTTCCTTTGTGACGAATAAGAAGGAAGATTAAAAAAAAAAACTTAAATTTTAAGTTCCAGACCTCTGATTAAATATCAGATACAGACAGAATACTGGTTTATCCCAGGCCATTGATTCCTTAAGTTCAATGATTCTGTGAAGGGGGAGGGGGGGGGAAGTTAGGAGAAGAAATTTCCCGGTAAAAGGAATTCTTCTGAGTGCATGGAAGAATAAGTGAAGATGTAAAAATATGTTTGAGTTACAATGATCAATGCAAATGAGAATAAAATTACAAGCACCAGTGATTATTATTGTTGTTCCAAGAATAGTTTTCTGTGTGAGGTGACCGCATGACTCCAACACCACCTCCCAATCGACGGTAATTCATTGCACCACACATGCGCCATTGATTCTGCTCTGGGTCGTACACCTCGATTGTTTTCAGGTAGGCCGTGCCATCAAAGCCACCAACAGCGTATAATTGGTTATTTACTACAGCTAGTCCTACCTAAAAAACGTAAAATTAAGAGAAAATTTAGGCATGGGCAATGGTAAGTGTTGCAGTATTATTTCCACTTAATCTTAAAATGCTTCTTGAGATCTGCTTTACTTGAAATCTCTAAGAAAAAGTCCTGAAAATACTAAACTCGGATTACAATTGTTTGATCAACATTAAATTCGATAGCATGAAAAGGGACAATTGAGGGGCGGAGTCAGGTGAGTGGTTCAATCTACTGTATAAGGGTTGATTAAATTTGGCAAGCTGAGATTCAATGTATGTACCTTTGAAATGTACCAATGTAGATGCGTTTCAACCCTTAAACAATACCTTAAGCCATTCACTGACTGTGCACTTTGGCCGCCACTTTTCATGTTGTAGACTGTAGGCATCTCACAAAACTTATCAAGCAGCAGCCCAACTATTAAAACTATGCTGGCACAAAAAGACTAGACATAGCCCCATCTTAACCATGCAAACATCGCATTTTGATGTCTTATTGTGCTGCTTCAAACTTTCTATAACTAGCCTGCTGCTAGGAATATTCTTCAAAATGTTTTATTAAACGTAATTGCTTCAATCGACCTTTAAACCATTTTGACACAGAATATGACACAGAAATACATTTTTACTTGAGTCTTTATTTCTTTAATATGTTATTGTTTTCTCTTATTTGTGGTTTGTAATTTAGATGCGCAATACATACTACATTAGCTTAAAACTTCTTTCAAGTATGAAAATACAATGTAGATTTTTAAACTTAAATTCGATGCTGTAAGGTGAATCATACACCATTTTTTTAGAAATATAAAATTGGTCTTAGCAATTCAGGGCAATTTTACAACTTATGTCAATTTTGAAACAGCCTAAAACATTATGCAGATTCCAGTAAGAAACCTTTCACTTCGACCATTCTCAGATTTTCCTGATTAACTTTTCTCAGTTCACTACAAAACTAAATAGGGGAAAATATACTCACGCCACTGCGTCTAGAAGTCATGGCTACAATGGGCGACCATGCATTAGAGTGGGGATTATATCTTTCAGCGCTACTTAATTCCATACAATCATCACGCCCACCAACAGCATAAATCATGTTGTTGAATACTGCACAGCCTAGATGTTTTCTTCGTGTTGACATTGCAGCCACTGCTGTCCACTTATTTTGCTTTGGATCATAACGCTCCACTAAGGGGAAAAATATTAATCATTTACTTTTGATATAATGCAAACAACACCACTAATGCTCATTGCTGCCTTATTAAATTAATTTGACTAAAAAAATTCAACTTATTTTATAATGCTACTTGATGAGAAATGCAACAAAAATGGATAGAATCTAAATAATGGCAGACTTACAAGAGAAATAGGAAGTAAAAGTACTAACTTGGATCAGACACACTGAGACGGTCATTCAGTAAGATACCTCAATCCACTAAACTCATAATTGAGGTGTTGATATAGCATGAAAGAGCACTCTACCGACACTTTAGGATAAAAACGTCAAACCTAACTGGAGTTATGGCTGTTTGAAAGTTTGCAGTTCAAGAAGACGTAATTGAAAAAAAAATAAATTTAAAATTTTAGTCTGCGATGTTCAGGACACGAAATTCCTGGAATATGAAGAGACTTTATTTTCTATATTGAAATAAAAATAAAGGAAACTACTCGCAACTTATTCATTGGGACACCGATGAAAGTTACCATCAAAATCTCCAAATTCAATTTTTTTTAAAATTAAACTTGACATGTATTGGTCAACTAAAAATTTAAGCTCTGTCAAACTAGGTCCCCTTTCTCACTAACAGTAATAATTCTTTAATTTTTTTGTCACTGCAAAACAATCAAATATAAAAACAATCTAGGTCACAGTGGAAAAATACATGCAAATTTGCCCAATCCAAGCAGTGTCATGTTGAAAAAGTATTTGATTAAAATTAAACACCTCAGTTCATGAGGAAGACCAAGATATTTGGACAAAAAAAAGTATTAATACATTGATAAGTTTAGAGGCCCAACAGCAACAAACTGACAGCAAATGTGGACCCTGATTTTGGAGTTTTTCAATGGATGACGAAAGTTCCCTGGAGGATGCAGAAACTTCTCGATCATACAATCTTGATCGCATGACCACTTGCTTGGAAAAATGAGTAGGCTTTGAAATGTGGAAACCCAGCTCCCAATAGCTTTAAAATCGCGTATTCTCATAAAAATCATAGAGAAATGTACAGTTTTTTTTGTAGAATTGGACGTATTTTTATCAAACAGAACTAAGCGCCAATTTGAGTTCCTTTTGAGGAATTTAGAATCCTGAATAGCACGTTCTGTCAAACGGACCTAAGCGCCATGGAAAAGCATTGCGAGTATAGGACGGAAGAAGCCGAACGCCTGATTCCGCCGCCAATCCAAGCCCCCCTTTACCTTCCTCACCCTATGGCGCTTAGGTCCGTTTGATAGAAATACGTCCAATTACAGCGTGTTTTTGAGAAAGAAAAAAAAAGTCATAATTTGGAAAATTTTGGGACCAAGGGGTTTATGAAATGAGAAGGGCAGTCTGGAAAATGGGAAGGCTGAGAGATTTCCGAAAACTTGTTTCCCTCGATTTTCTACCTTTTTTAGTAAGACAGGAACAATACACCACTGTAATGCAAAGAGAGAAAGACAAGTATACCTGAATTGAGAGGACATTGACCATCAGATCCACCTATCGCGTACAGATAACCTCCTAAAACAGCAACTGCCACACCTAGCCTTCGAGTGGTCATTGGTGAAACTTTTCCCCACTTATTTTCCTTTGGATCATATCTAAGCAAACAAGATGAAAAACAAAATGGTATAAAAATTATTTTCTTTTTGGAAATTTCAAATACAGTTTTTTTGTTTATAATGAAAGATAAAAGAATATTATTTTAGATTTTATCTTCAGCATTTGGCAATTCAAGGTACAAGCTTTAATGGTAAGAGACCAAATTGTCCATTTTACATAGAGCTTGCAACATTAAAAAGCATTAAAAAAGTGAAAAAAATTCTATACACTGTATAACAACATACTTGCATACAGTTATAAATGTATAGCTTTGAAAACTCTAAAAAATTGCAAATCAAAAGAGGATCTTGGCAGTCTCACAAAAATTCAAAATCTGAATTACTGGCGAAGTCAAGAGGATAACTGAAAAAAAGAGCAAGAGGTGGTGGCCAGTTGAGAAAGAAAAGAATCTAAAGAAACTTTGTTTAAAAATTATTTTTGGCTATAATGGCTAAAATGGTTTTAGGCCAGTTTCCAGCATACTGCCTTTTCTGCAGTGGGAAAAATCATTTAGTGAAGAGCTGACCAAGGTTTGAGTGTAAATTTTTATAGATTATACTGACCGTTCAACATGATTAAGACATTGCACGCCATCTTGCCCACCAACTGCATACAAGAGGCCATCCAGAACAGCAACGCCGACACTTGTCCGACAAGATGTTGTAGGTGCCACATCACATGACCACTGATTCGTTTGCGGATCATACCTGACATTACCAAACATTTTGTAAAAATTAATCGGTTTGAAATGTTAAATTTTACTTGGATGAAATCTTTGGAGATTTTCAACAATTGCATTCTTTCTGGAATTCATTGCTAATAAAAATTATGTTGTATCAAGCCTTCGCAAGATATTTCCCGAACCATAGTGCATTCAATTAAAAAATACTTCATGTTTGTATACAATAAGTATTAGGTTCATGATTGAGGATCTAGAAACTCGAGCATTTTAGATCAAGTGCTCCTTAGACTGGAGGTATGAATTATTCTTCCTTCATGAAGTGATTTAGGTTTTGTAGAAGGGATCCAAAACCTAAAGACTAACCTTAGATTTTGATTTCTTTCATGGATAAAACTTTTAGAATGTGTGGAAAAATAACTTCTGTGGGACAAAACCTCATACTTCAAAACTACGAATTTCAAAACTTAAAGACAATAACCCGTAACAATCTTCATCCTCCATTCCCCACTTTATACTTTTTCGGCGTTTCTTTTATCCAGTTGGTATTAGTGCCTTATTTTTTTTCGCTATTGAGAACATTCTAAGCCATGTCTAAAGCAAATTCATTTGCAGAGGCAAGGTTTTTCTTTTTTCAAGCGATAACAAAAACAAGCAAATAGGTAGAAATTGTTCTGTGTAGAAAAGAGAAAAACTGATGGATGCTTCTCATACCTTTCAATACTATTCAGGTAAGACTGTCCATCATGCCCTCCAACTGCGTACAACAAATCATTGAGAACAGCAACCCCGACGCCGCATCGTCGTTTGCTCATGGGGGCGACCATTTTCCAATCAGAGGTTTGTGGATCAAAACGCTCAACAGAGGCGATTGCATCACCGCTGCACCAGCCACCAACTATAAGATACAAATTAACCATCAGTCAAAGATATTTTAGTTCTGCATCAGCTATTTAATCAACTACAGTGCTAGGTCTGAAGCCTCTTTATAACTTTGCCTGATTCATTCAGACTGCTTTTCATCAGTCAAAATAAACCCACAGATCAAAAAATATTAATCAAAAGTATTGACGATGTCATAGAGATTACTCTGACACACTGCCGTACTCATGGGCAGTTAAAACATGTTTAAGATTTAGAGAGAAACACATTTAAAGTTGAAAAAAATGTAATTTTGACTCTAATTATAATTTTTGGAACTTCTTAGCTTTGTTTTCCCCCTTGAAATGGTGTGGACCCAGCACCATTTCTCAACCTTGTTATTATGAAGTATACATGGAACATTTAATGCTTACCTGCAAATAGAACTTCTCCACGGCGGGAAGGTTTCCGCAGTCTGGTGCGAGGTCCTTGCATTAGTGGTCTTTCTTGCGGCAATAGGAGGTAATTTTTGGCCTCATCTACCAAGTCTCGGCAATTCTCATCACTCCTAATTAGCAGATCAGATCCAACTGTGCCCACTAAAAATTTAGGACTGAGTAGGGGCAGTCTCACATGTTGCAAAACCTGAACATTTTGAGCCAAATTGAATGAATTAGTAAAGTGTGAGAAATCCATTTGGTTGATGGCCCTAATGGAAATGGCTCTAGAATGGAGCTGATTGCAAATTACTAGATGTGAAGCAGTGATTGGCGTTACATCGCCTTTTGCACCTCTCACTTCAGGGACCATTTTTGAAAAATCCAGTTTTTCTATCTAACACTATGTACCTTTTGAAGAATTCAATACATAGATTGATTTTGTTCCAATCCCCGTATGATTCCTACAATGGATATTATAGTATTGCTGGAGACACTGTTTTGGCCTCCTTTTAGCATTCATGGAATCTTTGAACCTGCGCTCTCATTCAACCAATTTATATGTTTTAAAAACAAAATTAATTGAAAGGATTTGCTCTACAACTTTCAATTTAAATTTCACCACTAATTTTGAGCTTCTTAAACCATCCCTAGTAAAGTTAAAATTAAGAGTTGAATTAATAACAGATGATTGATCAAGTACATTACAGAACTAAAAGTATAAAAGAAGAAAAGAAACTTTCATCTTACTTGCGAAAGATGTTGCCGCCTTTCGGATACATTGTACTTGACCCATGACATGACAGCATTGAAAACCTGCTCTTCTGATCTAACATTCAACTCATCGCTAGAAACAATGTCGATCAATTGAGACATTGGGAGCAACAGAAACTCCTCACTCTCCATCACCTGAAAAGGAGGAACAAAAAAGATGCTTCACTACCATTTTTCAATTAATTTTAAATGATGATTTTATCAACATAGATTCCATTTTATGGCACATTTGCTCAGAACAGACAACTGGAATGTATGCATAGAGCCAAATATCGTATTTTCGAACATAATTGCAGATATCTGTTTTTTTGGTTGAAGGGTTAGAGCTTTCCACAATTTTATCAAAATTATTTCATTGTAAAATCAGGTTAGGCTTCACTACACATTTACTTAGAACTAGCAATTCAGGTATTGGTTACATATCTTAGGTACAGAAAAAAATAAAGGCGATGAAAAAAAAGCTTGAGATAAAACTGCTTGATGCAGGATCTTACAGAAAAAAAACAGTGATTGATAAAGACAATACCTCTTGGAAGTTATGCTGCGTAAATTTATCTGCAACTCTCAGTAAATCTCTGCAAGAATGAGTGTCAGCAAAGGCTCGTATACCAAGGCAATTTGAAGGGTCAAGTTGCCGTTTTAAAAATTCACAACACATGTCTTGAATTTCTGCTAATTGGAGGAGACAAGCTAAAAAATAAAACATAAATAAATGTGCTTAATGCAGTGTTTGAAACCAATAGTACTTGCAAAAAATAAAATTCAAGTATCAAAAATGTAAAAAAAAAATATTATGATATTATGAAATATAAACTGAAGAATATCAATGTACATTTGGAAACAAGATAGATACATAGAAATTTAAAATTGTAGAACTTATTTTGATTGATGAATAAAAGTCCGTGCGTCCACCGCAATCGGTTGGTATAAAACCGCCTTCCAAAGCATATGTGGAGCTGTTTGGATAATCTCTCACTAGATGGCGCAAGTTTACTTGCCTCCAGCAACCGCTTGCCCAAGTCTCGGGCTGGTTTTCTCGACCCCTCCGAGCTTGGTAGCAAACAATTCAGGAGGCCGCGCTGCACTGAGGATTGGCCCATCAAGGCCGAAACGCGTCTGCAGTTGCCTACCTGAATGGTTGTTACTAGTGTTGCACCAAACAGCGTATCTCTTTGAGGGAAAATTGTGCTTGTGTGTGAGATATTTCCCTCTGTAGTGAGATATCAGCTTTATGTTGAATTTAACGCTTGTTGGTTAAAAAAAACTCCAACATACCGTCTTACAACCGTGCGTCCATCACAATCGGTTGGAATAAAAGTCATTTCACTAACAGAGTTACTCCAATTCTATATTATTGCCTTGTAGTCATATACTCGATTTCTTCTTGAAGCAATTCAAGGAAAACTGGTGATCAAATGTAACATTATCAATCCCATTTCGATAACAATACTGTTGGAGACAAAGATATTTTCCGCTATCTCTATGTTCAAAAAGTACTTGAGGTCATATACTCTGGAATTCTAATAAAAGAACAACTTAATTTGGGGAAAAGGCTGCAAAAAAACAACAAAGGATAAACAAAACCCATAAATTTTTTTTCTTTTCCGGTTGAAAATGAAATTGTAATGTTCCAGGTTTTGTTTATCCTTCGTTATTTTTATGCAGCCTTTTCCCCAAATAAAGTTGTTGTTTTATTATGTGTATTTTGGCTGATTAAGTTGTTTTTCATTCTGGAATTTTAATTTGCTTAATCTTTCTATAGCTGCTAATGTTGCTTTCATGAGTTCTAACATTCTTTCTCGCTGGATTTAGATGCAGTTATGTCAACTTATTCTATGTTAAGTGATTACAAGGTGGTAACATAGTTCTGGGTCCACACTTTTTGGCAGGGAAAACAAGACCAAAAACTTCAAAAATGTTCAATTAGAGCAAACAATTTTGAAATTGAATGAGTGCCAGTACAAGACTGAGGGGGGAGAGTGTCCAGCTCAGGCAGTTTACATTGGAATACTAAGTTGAGATCATGCCGAGAGATTAGGCACTCATTAGAGCTCAAAATGTTTTACTATAATTGAACATTATTGAAATTTTTTGGCCTTGTTTTCCCCGCAAAATTGTGTGGACCCAGCACTACTTAACCATTCTGTTACATACAGTTAGGGCCATGTTTCTTTGTGTTTTTTCTCCCTTCTCATTGGGTGATTATTATATCTGTTTTTGCTTGCCAATTGCCGAAATTAGTACTTATTTCTCTATTTTTTGTAAATTGTTGTAAATGTTTGCCTGTAAATTGTTAAAAAAAAATAAATAAACAAATATATCTTCCTGAGGTATTGCATTGCTGAGGGCTCAGGTGATCTCTTTCATACAGCATGAAGGAAAGTGACTTTTAAAACTTACCAGCTGGTAATAGCATTTGTACATTAGATTCTTCTATTAAAATATTCGAAGTATAGCAAAAGTCAATGAGGAGTTCCATCGCAGCTTCATCAATGTCCCTAATGGTGACCTCTGTCTGCCTAGATTCTACTAGCTCCCCCGTAAACATAGCACGAAAATATGGACTACAGGCAGATAATATGACACTGAAAATAAAGATATGTAAGTTAGTAAAATAGGTGATAGAGGTATTACGATTTGGTTTTCTGGCAAATTAGTAGGAACAAAATTCTCAATATGTGGACGAACGGTAGTTGCTTATTCTGACTAAAAACTCTCCACAGTGTGCAGATTTACAGGATGTCTAATTTACTATAAAGCAGTTACTATTTTTTGCAAAGCCTAACTTTCTCTCGACTCTATGCCACATTTATCAATGCCACCCTCATTATTTGCCTATGCTCTCGTGTGACTTTTTTCTGACTGTTGTGTGCCTGTGTACCCTGTGGAGGGTGTGAGGGGAGATGCTCTTCTTATCAGGTCCTTGTGGCTTACCTTCTCACACAAAAAATCCTTCTATTCTAGACTCTCCATTAAATTTCATACCATGATATTGTAGTCAAGAATGTAATTTTAGGCATGTTAAGTTGAAAGCATTTTAAACACAATTTTGTTGGTAGGCTTCATTTCTAGTGAGTGCATCCAGATACTGTACATCGAGAGAAACTGATCATATGAGAATCTCATGGATGGAAAAATGTTTCTGCTGGAGCAGACGCATCGTATGTTGAGACAAATGTCAATCTCTGATTACCTAAGAATCAGCACCTCTCAACGGGTTAATACATGCAATTAGATGGCACCACTGATGAGTGGTGACCTAAATAATATTTGACTTTAGTCTCAACATACAATGCGTCTGCTCTAACAGCAGGTATCATTCAAAGCCAGGTCTATTCACATGCATTTGACATGGCAAATTCACAGAAAAAATTTCCTTTCAGAGCAGTTTCTGTTACGACCAGATTTTCGGTGCTCTGTAGACAGGAAGAATAAAGTGCTTTGCAAAAACTATGTCCTCTTCATGTAAGATTCTGAATGAAACACTTCCAGGACACTTTCATTGTTTTTTAAAATTTGACATTCTGTAGATTGCAAACTAAAAAAACGAATATATTAGGCAGAAATAGTCATCTTACCGATGGGCAAAGATTTTGCGTGAGCCAACATTGAGAACGACATCGCAGAGTTCTCTATGTCTCCGCAAGACGTTGAGTTCATTGAGGATCCCACGAGGGTGTTTTTCGGAGATGTGAGGCAGATGGACAGGCGAATGAGGTCTTTCTCCAACCATGACGATCTCTCCCATTCTGCCGCGAACTGCCACTGTCTGTCGAGACAGCTGCAGCTTGAGCGGCGTACACCCCCAGGCCCACACTGTCTTACACTGAAAAACAAAGTTTCTCATATACAACTGGTAATAAGTGGTATGAAAACACAGAAATGATAAAAAGTTACTGGAATCAGTTTATTACACAGAAAAAACAAGTATTCAGGTACAGAGGAGAGATCAACAAAGATGCTTTTAGTGAACACATGCACCAATTTTTCCCAGATCTTTGTGCCCAAAGCACATCCTCAATTTAGCAATTGAGGATAAGCTTTGGATGTGCATTTAGCGATTGAGGATGTGCAAAATGATAGAGACTCTTGGTACTGTCCAGAACCCAACACCCATGGAAGTGCGATGGATGCATACTGTTCGGAAATGGAATTGATCAAAACCCAATGTTACAATATCTGCTCCTGCAACTTTGGTTACTTCAGACTAAAAATGCTGAAGACAAGAATTGCATGAGCCTAAAATTAGAATCTAGCTCTCATACTGGGAGGAGGGTAGATCACTGAATGGTTTCAGGGAGGTTTATTATGGCAACGCACCCACAGAAAGTGGGTACTTCAGATATGAGCTAAGGTAATTAAATAAGAAAAAATTTCACCATAAGCTGAGAAATAACTTCACAGAGAACGGCCCAAGTATGAGAGAACAATTAATTGGGTGTACGATAGAGAGGAAGTAAAGATAAGTTACTGGATTTTAAGAAACTTGAATTTTCATATCCATTACATGTCCTTAAACTAAGGGCTAAATGAAGAATAAAGATTCAATTTCACCTCATTACAGTGAATTTACTTGGCTGATAAAATCTTGAAACAAAAACATAAAGCATAATTTTTCATCATTTGATGAGGGATAAGTAAATAGAAAGAAACCACCGAGAGGATACATGTAACGATATGAATACGGCCCACGTGACGGTGTAAGTCGGCAATCACATAACTCGGTTTGCGACGTCGCAGACTTCCTGTCATACTTTATTTTTTCAACGGTAAACTACTCAACAGCAATTCTTTAAAGCTGCCGTGATTTTTCTTCTCTGTGCCAAGAAAATTCTACAAAAACTTCAAGGAATGATGCCAATTTGTTCTCCTTTAAAAAAATAACATGGAGGCGGAGATTTTCAGACACCGCAAACGAGTTATGTGATTGCCGACTTACACCGTCGCACGAGTGAATAATAGACTTAAATGTACCTTCTGCTCAGATGATACTCAAGTCGTCACTGGTTTTGGCGGGAAATTTGTTAACATCCACTACTAAAATTTAGCAGATCCAGAGAAAATTTGGAGGCACAAATGCACTGTATCAAAGAGGACCCATGAAAAGATAAAATTGAGGGCACTCCTCCTCGCATAGACAAGGACACCAGTTACAGAGAGCTGTCCTTAATGGAAGACACGGAGTGAGAGATAACATGAAATGAGGTAAAATTTCGAAACAATAGTCACGGAGAAGTAATTGGTAAAGAGAAAACTCAATATTTGTGCTTAAGAAAAAAAACCATTAGAACTTACATGTCCTATCCTCTTGTATGGACTGGCAAAATTCTCTTCTCCTGAGAAATAGTTGTCGAGGTAAAAAACAGCAAACAGGGCTCCACAAAATAGAAAAGAGGATACAAGAGCTTCTGTAGAATCTAAAACACTCTAAGATAATAAAAACATTCGAAACTTATTGAAAGAAATTAAAAAGGAGATTAGTGGAAATGTCAACAACATAGCAACATACGTGCATCATAGAATAAAATAGAGTGACAGATGGAAGAGGCGGAGAAGGCAGAAAGTATCAACGACGTTGGTCATCAACCAACTTTATAGCGCGAAAATTTGAAATGAAATGGCCATCTGATCCTACAATGAAGACAATGAAGAGGCTTTTCCTATAATGTTTTCATCTGTAAAATTGGTTTTGAATTTTCAAAAAAGTATTTTGATCAGTTTGGGAAATCTATTTAACAGAGATTACAGCATAAAACTGATAACTGAAGATTTAGGTTGTAAAATTCAGTATTAAGTAGTATGATCCTGTTATGGTGGTGTGGTCGCTGTCGCTCGTGCAGGGTGTAGGCGGGAGGGGAAGACCAGGGACAACACTATCCCCCCTCCCATCCTATACCACGCGAATGCGGCAAATCACTAAAATTTGGAGGGAAATGTGAGAAGAAAACTGAAACCGTGCAAATTCCCTCCAAATCTCTCAGTAGTCAGTTAGTCTCTCATCTCTCTATTGATTTTAAAGTTTCTAGTGAATAAAGTTTAACTTTTGCCCTTAACATTACTTTCGCCGACCATCCCCAATAATCATCTGCTTTCAATAGCCAGAGCCACTTGTGAAATTATTCGTTTTACTTGCTCAGGTAAAAATTCGTCAGTCTCTCTACTTGTTAATTTTAGCAGGACTCGCTGAAACAGTTTTGGGTGTTACATTATCTATGAATATAATGAATTTATGTGAGTTTAAATGACACTGCAAATGCCAGTTTTTAATAATTGGCTGTATACTGTACCTGTCTAATGATACCATGGTGTAAACAACATGCACGTTGCAATATCGAGATATACACTGTACCCACTTTTTCGACACGGGACGGAGCAGAGTTGCTAGAGCTTCGGGGCTTGAGGAGGGATATTCCCAGTGTATTAGTTCAGACTTTGCAGTTTCCAGTGAGAAGATATCATCATGACGTTTGCTCTTCTGTAGATGATGCCGTTGAAGCAGGATGTTGAATGGCACTGATCGGCACTCACGAGCAATAGACACTATAACCTGTGACACGGAATCTAATTCCACATTTTGCACTGTATCTCAATCAATGTGCGCTTAATTCCACACCAAGCACTACTCAATGCTTGATTATATGTCCGTTTTTAGCTGAGTGCCACTGCTCTCCACTCTGAGATGCCATTGATATGCTTATGTCACCCATGTGAGTTTACATCGGATATGTATGAATCTGCGTGAACCTGTAAGTCCACGCAGATTCAAGAGTAGCTATCCCTATCTAGTAATAACCTTTTGCAATTTAACATCAGTGGCTAGTTTCAAATCTTAAGTTGATTTGTACTAAGGTGTTTCATCCGGAGTTTGAGTTGTGTTCCAACCAGCATCTGATCCTAAGCATCTTGTAAGTAAAAATCTCGAATGTTAGGATCGGGTTTGCACAAAAACTTAATATTAAAGTTACTCATTTGAAACTTACTTGCACTTTGTTATTCTTATACCGGTTGGACGCTTTTAGGCCTCCTCAAGAGACCAGAACCGTTCAGACGCCGTTGATGAATAAGATAAACAACGAGCAAGTGAAATTCAAAATTACAACTTAAATCCCATAGATCTCTCTCGTTAGAATGTCTTTTTGTGTCCCACCGATTCTCCTTGATTAGGTGCCTCTCTGCCCCCCCCCCCCCCCNCCCCCCCCCCCTTCCATACTGGAAAAAAGTTTCTCCCTCCGCTGTTGATAACGGCCAATCATTTAATTAACGGTGTTAATGCTGCTGTTCCTGAATGTTTTAATCAATTGATTCAGCATGAATGTCACAAGAATACTTCCCACTGTTTGTCAGGGGGGAATTTAGCTCCTCCAGGAAGGTCTAAAGAATCATTTCCGTAAACGAAAATCACAGACGTCCAAAACAGTTAGGTAATTTAAATTTGTCTATTAAAATAGTTGTGTATTCCATACTAGAATCATATTTACGTATTATGAAACATTATAACATCTTCAAATTGTGCATTTTTTTGTTTTCCTGCAAATTTCCTTAGGCTCGTCCTCAGGGATTTAGTATACTATTTTCGCAAAGATTGACCAGATTAGCGTAACTTGATTTATTTGATATTGTTTATGATGCTTGGATCTCTAGATGAAGCTCCTTACAGGCTCAAAACTTGCCCCTTGGTACAGGGTTTCCCACAAGTTGTAAGGTGTCCTCCTTTTAACGAATAGAGGTAGAGATCTTGATATTTTGGCGGCTCTCTATGGTCAAAAGGAACTATTTTTTGGACCCCTGCAGAAACAATTGGAGATATTCTGAAGTGACGCTTTAACTTTGTAATTTTTTTTATCAAATGAAACCCACCATTGTGACCCACACTGCTTAAAAGAAAAATTGAAAACATCTTTGGCACAAAAATCCCAAGACATTAGCTATCATGGTTTCTAAATAACAGAGAGATGAAAATTGGTAGAAAAATGTTCACAGTATTATTTTTGTTTGGTATGTGAGCAGTCTTATAGTAATAAGATTTTCACTATTTGAATTTTTAGTTAGCATTCATCTAGTCCATGTGCACAAGGTAAAATATTTTTCTTCTTTGTTTTCAGTTGCAAACTGTCATCATGGATTCTTTGATATCGAATGCAAGCACTTACGAAAGTTTTTTCAGTGACGTTTTTGGAAGTAATTCTGACAGCGATTGTGAAGATGGGTCTTTTGATTTTAGCGATCCAATGATAAACAGGAAAAGACAGTCCTCATCTCCAATACAAGAAAATGAAGGCCTGCCACCAGATGATTCCCCTCCCAAACGGAAGAAGTCAGAAGAAATAGGTATATTTTCCCCTCCAAAGCATGACTTTTCTAATAAGAAACTGTGATTGAGGTGTTCGGTAGGGAAAGGACACTTCTCAGTGCGGTCTTTGAATATCCATTGTTAAGTTATATTTTAGAGACGAAAATGTTGGCCGAATTATGTAAAATTTTTGGTTTAGATCATTTTGATATCGTCAAGAATCGGCATTCGAAGAAGCTTTGATGAATTACATACATTTGCTTTGATCATTGTGAACGAAATGTTAGCAAGCATAGATTCCATGACCTTGCAATTGAGAAGTGCCCCTTCTGAACCTTTTTCAGGAAAGTTTTTCAGAGAGCATGAGTCCCTAGGCGGACTCCGAAGATTCATCTCGGCAAGCCTAGCACAGCAGGCTATTAATACAGTCGCGAACGTTTTCAAAGAGGAATTAGAAGTACAATGTTGTTTCTGTGAAAATGATACTTCCAAATAACACTGTAACTAAAAAACATGAGCTGGACTTTGAAAAAATGAATGTTGTTTCTGGAAAAACATTATTATGAGAAACATTAAGACAAGATACAACTGCAGCCTGATTGCTGAAATTTTTTGTTTGTCGGGACGACAAAGATGACATAGGTTAAAAGGCGGAGCGTCGGCTATGTCTTATCACTGCTTTGTCGTGTCTATGTCGGGTTGACCTCTCGACAAGCTAACGGGACCTCTTAAGTCTCCGACAGTATATCGATCATCCCACCGGACAAAGGCACGACAAAGCAACGATAAGACATAGCCGACCAATCACGATCCGCCTTTTAACCTGTGTCATCTATGTCGTCCCGACAAACTAAAAATTTCAACAATCAGGCTGCTGTACTGACTATGCCCTACTAATGAATTGAACATTGTCAGTATATTGAATGCAGGAGAAATGATGATCAGGAATTTTTGGATGTTCATGAAAGTATACGGCAATTAACCAATGCAGCACTTCCTGGCTACCTACTTTATTTACTTACAAAATTCTGGATGATTTTTTTTTTTTTTTCAGACTCATCAGCTCATTTGATGCAAGCAATAAAAATAGGAAACTTCAACGAAGTTCAAAAGATCTTGCAACAAAATCCACAACTTGCCAACCTCTCAAGAAAGGAGGATCCATTGCATGTGGCGATTAGGCTATGCCATATCCCAATAGTGAGATTACTTCTTCTAAATGGATTCAATGTAGATGCCCCCGATTATAGAGGAGTAACACCTATTCAACTAGCAGTGGAAAAGGAACAAAGTGATATTGTTCAACTTCTATTAGCTCATGGGGCCAATTGTAATATCAGAAATAGTTATGGTTTAGGGATAATACATACTGTTGTAAGAAAAGCAAACCCCACCAAACCTGTGCCTTCCGGCATCCCGTACGGAGAGTTTGATGTGCTCACAAAAGAGCAGGCTAAGCTGATTAACAAAGAAATATTTGATAAAAACTATAAGATTTTAGAAGTCCTACTTAACTCTTCACTCATTGATATAAATTTAACGTCAAGAGATGGTAAAACTGCCCTTTATTATGCTGTCGTCGGTACAAATTATGAATTTGCTACCTCACTTGTTAAACTCCTCTTAAGTAAAGATGCTGATACCAATGTACAATCTACATATGGAAAAACTGCGCTCTCCAGAGCCATGACTTTATGCAGGGCTGAGATTATTGAGCAGTTGCTAATAAAAGGAGCGAGCACAGAAGAGCTGATTAATGGTGGTCAAATGTCACCCATAGCTTGGGGCATAGCTAGAGGTAGAGTTGATATTACTGAGTTATTGCTTAAGTATAGTAGTTTCAATGTTAATACACGTGATACACGTATTTGTGCCCATGAACCATCAATTATTCATTATAGTATTAGGAAAGCTAACTCTAATGTCACGAGATGTCTCATCAATGCTGGAGCATCGATAATTGTCCACTGTGAAAAAAAGGGAACCAAGGTCAGTCCTTTTCTTCATTGCTCTGATGATCCGTCGACTCAAGCAGAGCAAAGCCGCAAACTCTTAATGGAACATCTGGTTCTGCTGCAGGACCAGAAACTGTATAAATTTTCAAAGGAAGAAAAAAGTTATATTTTTTCTAATTTTCAACTTGAGTTACATTTGAGAAAGTTGCAGAATGAATTAGTAGCCTTAAAAAAAATGAAAATTCCTCAAACCGATTACACATTTTATGATTTTGCAACATCAACTGATCAAGATGCGGCGCAGTTGATAGAAATTCCTGCCATTGATAAATATTGCGCCCAGAAAGCGCTCAATATTCTCTATCCTGGATTCTGTAGGTTAATGTGCGACAGAAACAAAGCTGGTCAAGCAAGACTTGAATTGCTTCGTCGACAAAATTCAATCGAAAATGTCAAAAAATATTTCTCATCAAATTATCATGCAAAAAGTTCATTTATGGATAAAGTAATGAGCAGATTGAATAACAGAGACTTAAAACATCTGCTGGATGCTTATGATAAGTTGTGAGTCAATTATGATCAAATAACTTAAAAGCAACCTTTAGTGCCTCAGTATTTTACATTCTGAAAATGTATTAGTGCCTTTATCAGTATTGATGAGCCTGCATATTCTAAACACGTTCATTACGTAGTGTGTAAAAGCACAATATTTTTCATTTCTTAAATGTATATATGTATTGTGTACCTTTATGTATTTATGAACCTACTTACTACGAATAATTTCACTGTATTCTGAAGATTTAATAGAATTATTAGCCGTCTTTTTTCTTTTAAGAAAGTGGGAAGCTATGTTTCCGTACTCTAAAGTGTCAAACTGTCAACAACTTTTCCTCTTATAAAACAGTCCATGATGCAAGTTATAGTTTCTGCATCTCACTTTCTCATTGCAGAAGCACAAAATTTTAAAAAATAGTTAAAATTAAGTGAAGCAGAAACTCCAGCAAACAATTGAACTTCCCGGCAGAGCTGTTCCATTTGAGATGGAGTAGTTATACCTCTACAAATATTTAATACAGAAAAATTGAATGAAGAAAGCACAACTTTTTCCATCTTCCGATTGATTTTTGTTCCTGAAATGAGGAAATCCTGAAATTTAGTGGACACCTTTGTGAAACACTGCATTTTTTTCTGAAATAGCTTGTGGATTTCACTGATTTTGAATCTTCTTGCAGAATGTTGTACTGAAGTTTTAAGATTGAGACGTAAAAATATGGCCAAAATATCAGCCATAGTTCTACAACTGTTCACACAGAATGAAAATCAATGCATAAGTCTAAAGAATGTTTTTTGTCCAAAATATATCTTCTCTCATACAATTAATTGAGAAATTGGAATTTAATTAACCCTGCTCCCCTTCCACTTTCCATGAACTGTCTTCTTTTTGATCTGCCTTCCCCCCCCCCCCCCCNCATTTTTGGTTTGCATTTTGATCTTGTTGAAAACCTTTATAAATGCTGAGGATCATTATGAAGGTAGCAACCCTGTTTATCTCATGCTATGCAATGCAGGCTGAGAAAAAAATGATTGAGATATGTATGTAGTATCCATAAATGTTAACTGAAGGGTTGCCTTCTTGAAAGTTTTGTATTTTTAAGAACTGCAGAGCAGTATTAAGTTTTTGTCGAGTTTTATTAAGTTTAAGTATTTATTAACTTTGGTTATGTAAGGTAGTATTAAATACTTAAAATATTTTAATCTGGTGAAATGCCGTATTAGTGACTTTATTATCTGTTTTGATCATATATAAACCTTGAATATTCCTAATTAGTGATTCTTCCTACCATACTTGCTGTTATTACTCTTGTGAATTTTCTGATCTTTTCATTAAATTGCGGTTCCTTGATAGTCCTTTTTTAGAGTGGCTATAAACCTTGTGATTTTATGTATGGTGCTCCATTTTTTATTTCTTAAGAAAAATGGTGCGAATTGACTGATTAAGTAATGTATCCTGTGCTGAATTTTCCTTTTAGCCAACGAAAGTAGTGAGAAAAGAACCAGTGGGCTAAATTGTGTAATTGGGCAACTTTTCATGTTTATTCCTTCTTCATCACTGGAAAGGCAATCCTGAGTTTTTGCTGAAACTCCTTTGAAAAAAGTTCTTAATGAAAAAGGGTCCATCCTAAGTAATCCTTCAGGTAAATTAGAATTTTGCACTCGGACCGATTTTTTTCGAGACCTCGCAAAGTATTAGAAAATAAAATATTGTTCAATAATTATTTTGAAGTTTAGTGCACTTTCTTTAATTTTGTCTGTATCTTCATTTAAATTGCTCTAGGGCTAAATTGATGATTGGATAACAGGAAGTTTTACCTTAGACCTTGAATTTAATCAAAGCTCCTTTCCATTTGCCCTTTTTAATGCAGAGTAAGCATGGTCTCCATTTCTTTTAAGTAATTAATTGCCCAGTCTTGATACTCCTGCATATAATGCGAGAATCAAGGGGTTTTCAGTGCTATATTTCTTTGTATGTATTTGATTGTATCAAAGACTTTGTAGCATAGTTAATTATGCTTAATTTATTCTTAAGTTAAACAGTATTACCTATGAGCTGTGACTTGATTCATTGCCTTTTTCTTACCATTAAAATTATTCATTAGAATTATGTAGGCTAGTGTTGTAGTCTCATCTGAAATTTTGATTATTACCTTAAGCTAGTACTCAATGTCTTTGAACATACCAACACTACTTTTTATTTTTTCTCATTATTTAATATTGAAGATCATTTTGAAGCAAGTCTGTACTTGTGTATTACACTTTTCTTTACCATTTTGTCTCCTTGTCATCAACTTGGGGGTATTTTCTCTATTCTCCTTTTTTTCCGTATCAACTTCTAAGTTATTCGAACATATTATCTCTAAATTATTTCAACTTTTTTACTTTTCACTGACTGCTATTCACTCAGTTAGGTATTACGCTAGGTTTTTATTTACGCGTTCCTAATAGTTTTTCATATAGCATACTATTATGTGGAAGAATCTTACATGTAGATCTCTTGATGGCTCAGGCAGCCTTCAAGTGATTCTAAAACAAACGAGATCTTGAGAGGAACAACTTGGCAGTTCCCTCACGTTTTATAGTTTGCTGATTATTAAGAATGACTGATGAAGTCTCTTGCCTAGAGATAGTTTTTTAGTTAATTTTTCTTAAGGATGAATCCATTACCCTCCGTTTTATTTTATTATTTTTGACAAGTTACTTTTTTGTTCACATATATTATTAAATAAACTTTATTTCTTCTTTATTCGGCCTTTTTTTTGTGATTCTTGTACAAAAATACCTTGCTCCTTCAAATTTCAAACATCATGTATTCCATTTGGATCGCATTTAGAAAGGAACCATTGTGACTACAGTGTTTTCAAAATGGTGCAATTTCTCCTTTTCTTTTAAAAATACGTAGTATACGTACAGTCTTAAAATTTACACAATTATTTTCCTTTAAAATTAACAATTTTATAGTGGGAAGCCAAAACTTTTTACAATTCTGGGAGAATTTTTAGATACTTACGAAGAAGCAACATTTTTACATCACTGTAATCGCGCTGGTTCCTTCTTGCTAAGTGCAATCCATTTATCGTAATCACATTTTGATACTCAAAGTTTCGTTGGTTCATGCTTTGTTGACCAATTAACTGGTACTTGTAGCTTCATTTCTGGTTTATCTAGATAAAACCTTAATTTTTCTGCGAAGAAATCAAGGGTGCAAAAGGTTCCAAGCTTACCCCCAAATTTAATCAATCTACCCCTCCCCATATTTAACCAAAATTCATGCTCGCTTTTCCCTGGTATAAAAGTGAAAACCCTCTTACCCCAAAAAAACGAACTACGCGCATTTTCGCACTAATCTCATTCATTTGGGAGCTACTCCATTTTATCCCTTCTCAAGAGGGTTCCCCCATTTTGTCCTATTCTTGCAGGAATTCTCCCAGGTGATACAACCAGGCGGGTCACGTGGCTAGGAAGTTTTTGCACCCCTGAAAAAAAAGTTACAAGTGAGAATTGTTAGCACAGTTGCTTCGTCGAAAAGTGTCAGTGTCCTTCTCTTTCTTGAACCAATTACCAAAAGTTGATGAGTGATTGACAGAGGGAAGTTTCGATGAAAGAACCAAGTTCTCAAAAAGTAAGAAAAACAAGCCTTTGATCTTAAGATTTTAAACACTTTATGAACCAGTTGTAAAAGAAGAGTACAAAATTGAAGCAACTGATTGAAGTACTGTATTTGTTCAATTCACTATGGAAAAAGTGGTAGGGAGGTGACCTTAAAACATTGGGTGCAATTCATTAAATTAACAGATAACAAATTATTTACAAAATAAGAATGTACAAAGAAAACAAGTAGCAAAAGCTACCTGCTGAGGGGGCGCCGCCCCCCCAGACCCCCCCTTTCAAATTATATATGTGAGACTTTGAGTATCATAGAAGTCGTGCGGCGACATGCCGAATGAAATGCCACAATTAAAATTATTGGATCAGATGATGAGCTGATAAAAGCCTTACCTAGTAATTTGGGAACATTTCTGACACAGTTTGGTNCCGCACGACTAAAAAGTAAGATGTGTCAAAGTAGAAGACCAAAAGATTGTAAAAGGATTGAAGAAACCTGAATTTCACGAGCAAGTGACAGTCCAATGAGAGCTCCTTGGGAAACATTTTACACGCGCATTCTTCCTCTTGTTAGACTTTTTATAGACATTTTCTTTCTTTACTAAACTTTCATCCAGCTTCTGCTTCCTGCAATAATAATCTCAAATAAATGATAGAGATCAATAACAGAAAATGTATGTATTTTTTAAATGAGACAACACACCTCTTAGAAGGAGCGTTTCCTAGTAAAGGCTGATGAAACTTGCACGACTTACTTTTTTCAACCACAGTCTTGTTGACAGAGCAGTGATTCAATGTGCCCTCTTGAAGATGTCTACTTTGGAGCATGCGGAAAAATAGAGCTTCCTTCATTTTGCAATTTTGCTTCAATTTCATCTACGATGAGTTAAAAATGTTGCTGTATGTCAGAGTAAGCTGCTAGTGCCCAGAAGATAAAAACGGCAGTGAAATCTTAATAAATCTTATTATGGATCTATCGGAAATTCAGATGAGTCGGATTTTTCCTCTAGTCCTGACAATAGGTCTGTTGCAGATTTTTGCTAGCGCAAAAATTCGAGTTTTTACAGAAAATGTCTCATAAATCATGGTGAGTGCATTGCCAAAGTCTGAAATGTACTCCTAACATCACAATCTGCGCAAGAAATTTGCGTTTATTTAAGTTGGCAGCATCAAAAACGATAACGCAGCGCAGGTGAATAGTTTATTAGAATAGTCGTTCTATGTAACTCCTGCTTAATAGGACGCTACTCAATATTCCACACGGTTGATGCTTCCACGCGTAAGTCGAGGAGAGCTCAAGATCAATCAAGGCAGATATCTCTTAACAGTCTCAATGCAAGGAAAATGTGAAAGTAAACACACCGATTGTTATTAGGTGGTTAGAATCTCATCCCGTCATACATGTTTAGGTGGATTGGCATCGGCCATGTTGAATACTGAGTAGCATCCTATTGAGCAGGAGTTACATGGAAGGCTCCTCCAACACAATGTTAACTTGTGCCGTAGTATCGTTTTTAAAGCGGCAAGCTAAAAAAAAAACCAAAATTTTTTACGCAGATTGTGAAGTTAGGAAAGCATTTCAGACTTAGCCGATGCGCTCATTGTGATTTTTGAGACATTTTCTATAAGAAACAACTCTAAACAATGGGATCAGTTTCAAGATAAATTGGAACGTCAGATCTTATATAATTTTAAGTCAGAAATCAAAATATCTTAAATAGGTGCATCTTTCTGTGCCTTATTCCAATTTGTTGCCTATAGTAGGACTGAAATACAAAGTGGCCGACAAAAAGTCACCAGCATGCGAGCATGCCATACAGGCAGTCAGAAAAAGAGTTGAAAGTAGCACACTATTAGCGCTATTCACATATTAGCAACACAGGCAAGTAGATTAAAAATAGCAATCCTACTTACTTTTTCTTGCTAGAAATATGTTCGTAAATGACTAGACAGGTAATTCTTGCACCAACTGATGTTGAAGCTTCAAGTTTTGGTGCTTTGTTATATGATTTACTTTTTCCAAAATCATACAGTTTAATGCTACCATCACCAAAGGCTGCTGCCAGATATTTGGTATTTTTACAAACACAAATATGTTTCACACGAACTTCTGATGGCCTTAATTCCCACAGCATTTCTAGAGTATCCAAAGCTAAGCAAGAAAGAGTCCCATCTTCATCACCAAAACAGACCATTCCTTCCTAAAAAATATATTTTAAACAAATGAGAAAAATTGTTTTAACTGTGATGATAAATAATAAGAACTAGTGCAAATAAAACCAGAAAAAGACCAAATTGTGACAAAATAAGTTATCAAGTCAATTCGAGTTTCAGAGAAGAAGTTTCAGATATACTGTGTGCCCTGGGAATTTATCCTATGATAGATTTGAATGTTATTCTGGCACAGAATAACTATTTTCAATGGAAGGGTAAACCGGAAGTAAGGTCTTGTCCACTTGAGCACAATTTGGTGAATTAGTACCATGAGCTGGGGGTTCGGTGGAACAAGTAATAGCTAAGTTATAATAAATTCCTGAAAGGAGTTCACCTGAAATTCCACAGACTGCGCTCCTGTTAACAAGGCCAAATTCTTTAACATAAATTTATTCATTGATTTGTAACATACTGGTAGTAACACTTGATTGATTTGATAGGTGGGTATGTAACCATAGAGTACCTTTATAGACAGAGTATGGCCATTTCTGTGCCAGTTTTTCATTGGTCGCAAGAAAATAGGCTGACACGATGTTCTTATGGCCGTAAATAAACAAACACAATGACTGTTATCAGCAAGCAAATTTGATGTTATGCACATCTTACATCCTCCTGTGATAAAGGCGATTTAACAGTGTTTTCATGTGTTTTTCATGTGTTATTCATAGATATGCTAGTTTAAGTTGTTACTGCTGTACAATTGAAATTTTTGTCAGATTTTAGCTTCTTATGAATGTTATGACAGGTCACCATCTTGTTTGTATATTCACGGCCATAAAAGCATCATGAGGCCTAAAAACTCGTTGACCAATCAAAAAGCGGCACAGTTTTCCTGCAGTTAAAAGATACAAATGGCCATACTCTGTCTATAAAGGTACTCTATGCAGCCAAAGTGCTAAAAAATGTGTAAGAATTGACTTACATAAAAACTGTTTTATTCATTATAATTTTTGGTCTAAGCTTTTTGGCACATTGCATTGCCATTGTCAGGACCTTTGGAGTCAAAAAACTATAGGTTGAAAACATCTTATCTATATTTACATTCCTACCTAGTCAATAAAGTGCCTACCAAAGTTATTATTATCGATTGAAAAATTTATTTAAGTATAGTTTTCTGACTCTAACTTCAACCAAAAATTATAATGAATAAAACAGTTTTTATGTAAGTTAATTCTTGCATTTTTTTTTTTTGTATTTTTGCTACATACCCACCTATCAAATAAAATAATCAATGTCTATTTAAGAAGTTCACACATTCTTATTCTAAACGTTAAGCTCTCAGTTTGTGCCTACATTTTTTGGGAATTTTAAATTGTTTTTCTATCAGTATAGACTTAAAATAATTCCTGATGTTATTGAGTGAGTCAAAAAATTCATCCATTTTGTCTCTTGAACAATTGTAAGCTTTGACTTGAAATTCATTTGAAAAAAAGAAGGAAAGAAAAGAAAAAAATTAAAAACATTGTGGCTTACGTTCAGAAACTGACAACAAGTTATTTTTGAATCGTGTTTCTGTGAAAACATTTTTCCCCTAGAAGAAATACTATAAATTTCTAACATATGTCCAACAGGAATTGCATAAAACGATCCGTCAGGAGACCAAACAACAGCTCCTGGACGATCATAAACACTGAAACAGATCAAATAAGAATTTATTAGTGATGGTGCTAGCAGGTTCCGGTAACCATTTACATTTCCTGACACCAAAGCACTATGATTGGTCTAACTTCTGTCAAGAGGATTCCACACGGCAGTGAAAAATAAAGAATATACTCAATAAGTCGTTACTCATTAGGGATACAATATACAAAGCACAGTGTGCACAACCTGCCAAGTCATGGAATATGCAGGAACGCAAAAAAGCTTCCTAGATACACTTAGCACTCAGGAGACCAGCTGTGCTAGCAGGATGCAAGCTAAATATGAGCATGATATGTAAAGCACTATGGGAAATGTCAAGTCTTCCTGGGGATGCCAAACTGAGCATCCATCGGCTAGCTCAGCTCCCAAGGCATCTGGCCTCGACGAATGACCATGTATCTGCATTAACTTAACCTCAACTTTCATGATTCACCTTCCAGCATCAGCATTCAGCATGTGAACACATGATATTTCCAGAACATGACAAAGCAAGCGTGCAGAGGATAGCACATACTTCTGCTATACCTGTCATGAAATTAATAAAGCACCTCTAGATGGTCAAGGACAAAATCTGTCAATTTTTGATGATTTGAATGAGTTCTGAGAGTCTTTTGGATGCTTATTGATGAATTCACAAAAAACGAAAAACTTGTTTGATAGAGTTTTTCACTCGTTCGCTACTACGTTCATATTTTCAAAACTTTGGTAACACAGCAGATCTGATGTCTGGATGTAACAGATCATCCATGGAAAAAGTCTCATTATAAAAAAGAGAAAAAAAATTACAATAAAAAAACTGAAAGACAAGTATTACCTCCCTATGTTGGTTTTGTAAACTTCCTTCCCATTTACAAGATCCCAGGTTATGACATGCCCATCATGCCCAACTGAGAGCGCTAGCTTTCCAGAGGGATGTATTGAAATACTTTGGATACCTATAAGCACAAAAAATGAGATGATTAGATTGTAAACAAGACAACTTCCGAAAAAAAAAAATTTAACAAAATATCATTAAATACTCTTTGATTACTCTGCCATGTAGAGCAATGAAGATTTGTTTCTAACAAAATTTTTTCATCGTCAAATTCAAAGAAACTCATCCACTTCAGTTTTCAGGATAACATTTATCTTGAAGTCAAATTCCTGACAAACTAATTGGCACAATGAATTCAAGATCAGATGTAGAGTAATTTCGAAGACGGAGACAGTTCACGATGAAAACTTCTGACACCTGATCTGGCATTATTAGATTTAACAAATATTAGCAAGTTTAATTATCATTTGCGTAAAAAAATTTGAAGATGGGGGATTTTAAATTCTCATTTTAATTGTTTATGAGATGAATCCTATTTGATTACCTTCGAGTGATAGCTGAAGAACGATGCTGCAAAATGAAAATGTTTTAAAATGAAAATGAATTTCAAAAGGATAATTACTTATAGAGATAATAAGAACTAATAAAAAGGATTTGCAACTTTTAAAAAGACAGTTATAAGCTGAAATGAAGCTCTATTGCGCTTATAGTGGGTCACTAGACAATATATAAATTAAAGCACAACATAAAATTCTTTCTCTTCAATATTTCATGAGGAAAATGAATCACACTACAGGGAGTCTGGCAACCAACTCCTTAACAAGATGTGAGTGTTTACAATCAACATTGACTAAACTGCAAAAATACGAATTACATCATTGGTGTTATCTAACTTCCATTTTATCTATGTTAAAAGTATGTAAAAATATCTTATTTAAGAATTGATTTCCAAACTTGCTGCTGTATGAATCATTTTTTACATGAGATTTTAAGGAGAAATATGAAAAATATTTTTCTAAATCAGGCCCTGTCTGGTGGCCCATAGGGTACTTATGAAATTAACAGTTTTATCTGATGAGATGATGGAACTTGATAAGGATGTTCAAGCAAATGTTTGTCTGTGAGCTGTTGGTGTTGGTACACCTTATTCCCAATTAAAGATGTGATTCATGATCCGCGATGCTGTCCAAAACAGCCAGGTCTATTGGAATTGGGTGAGCTCTGAATAAAAGATTTGTTACCATTCACGTCTCTTTGTTGGGTTGTTTGACTTGTAATACTGATGTACACGGCAACTGCTCATTGTTCCCAGCTTTAAAAACTCCAATGGCTATTGGTGAAAATCCTTGCATAATTGCTACTAACTGCACCTATACTTACTATAACTTACTATTGCACCTAACTGTTTCAATAGCTTGCCAAAACTCAATGGTACAACTCTGCTGATAGAATAGAGAAAAGAGTGCTAAAGTTGATCTTACCCGAATTCGAGGATAAGACTTTTTCCACTTTCCAATTAGACACACGTAGTAGAGCAATGTTCCCACTTTTACTACCAGCTATTAGGTACACTCCATCCGGCGTGAAACTTAAGGAGGTAATTGTATCTGAAATTTGAAGTTAAATGAAAAAACTTATTGAAATGAGAACATTTGAGCAGTAACTTTCTTATAGTTTTCATCAAATAAACATCTCTAGGCCATCCTATGATTGAGGATAGGGTAAATAAATGGCTGTTCCAAAATCGCTGAAACTAGGGCTGTAACTATTGAAATAGGGGAGCTAGAGAGCTGAGCTTGGTGGTGTTTGAAAGAGCAACTCATTTTCTGTCGATTGACACTAAAGTATTTTGTAGGAACGTACCATTCCACTGAAACATTCTAATGTTTCCAGTCAGCATTTTATTTTGAATTGAACAGATTGAGAATTATCTTTGTGTTTTAGCAGCTGATAACTTCATTAGTTACAGTGTAACAGCTAATTTAGAGTGCAACCAGTGAATAGAGTGTTGAGCAAATCATTTTATGTTGACGCAGAACTGGTTGAGGGTTGCAATATTTTTGAGAAACTTTTAAAATGGTAAGTACTTGCTGAATACTTATGATTGGTAACCACTATTATCTAAATGTATGATAAAAGAACTGCAACGATTGAAAAAAATACTCAAGTTGGTAAGAGAGGTAACACCTCTCATATTAAATAAGCAATTTCAGTTTGTTTGCCCATTGGAATTGGGTTTAAGTCCAGCACTTGTTCATGTTGTTCATGCGAAACTTGAAAGACATATATTGATTACTTGATCAGACCCTCAGCTCAATTTTTTTTATTTCAAGAGATTTGTCCAATATTTTTGTGCGTAATTTCAAAGGAATTTTTTTAAAAAATAATAAAAATATTGTGCAAAATAGATAACTGGTCACACTTGAAAAATAAATAAAAATGATCGGGTTTTTGCAGCCTCTCAAACTAAGATATCTATTTCCTTCTATTTTTCTAGATATGCCATCAATGTCGATAGTGAGAAGCCAATAACACAAACCTCAATTCAATAATTTAAATCTCTGCTGTTGATATTCATTTGAAGCATAACGAATGAATGTTTCTGTTAAAATTAGCAGAATGAACAAATGTTACTATTCAGAAGATTACTCATCGTTTTTCACCGGATATACTGTGAACGTATGCTGGAGAAAACCAGTAAAAATTCTAAGAAATAAGGTTCATTAGCTTTCCCTTGAAAGAGTTGAAATGAGCCGAGAAATGTGTCAAATTGCAAATTAAGGAGCATGATTCTTAATTGTCACCATTGGTATGCAATAATTATGTCTAAGACTATTGAAAATGCTATGCGGAAAATTATGTCTTTTTTTAACACATTCGAAAGTCTTCAGACAAAGCAACTAACACTGGTAACTTCCCAAGCTGCCGCTTCTGATTGGGCTGCAGCTTGGAAAGTTCCCCTTATAAGTAAGAAATAAAAACAGGACAACATGCAATGTTTTCTCAAGCGTAAGTTCTCGATAAGCTATCTTTTAGGGGCCAACTGATTTTACCGTAGGCATGGGACATCTTTTAAAAGAGCACTAGTTGATTATATGACAAATCTGGTTCATTAAACCTGAGTAGTTTCCTCCACAGACACAATATTGAGAGACGATTTTGGCATTTAGGGAAAGAAATAGAAAACATGGCAAAATCCCAAAGAGAACAGTTTTCGTACCTTCATGTTGTATGGAACATTCTTTGGTTCTTGACTCCATGTCAATGAGTTCAATACGATCATCTGCGCCGCCAGATGCTATCCATTTATCTTTTGCTGCTAGTGCATTTACACTGCCTTGATGAGAGTGACTTGCAAATACTCGCGTCAAAGATAACTGTAAGTCATAAGAAAAATGGGAGGAAAATAAATAAATAAAATAAGGAGTACTAGAAACCAAACAGAATAAAAATGTAGAGCGAAAACTTTAGAATGCTTCTAAAAAACTCTGATACTTTTCCGTGTAGTTCACAACTAAAAATAAACATGGTCATTCTAGATACTTAGGTCAAAAATGTTGATCAGTTCCCCCAGTAAAAAGGAGTTGTAACCGGAAGACTACAGCTCCGCAATCTGAAATCTTAGGTTCCAAAAGGAATGGAGGTTGCCATCTGTATACTCTTCAAAAATTAAACCAAAGCAGAAGTCAGGTTGCTGTGACAGATCCTAAAATTGGCACTTGCACAGATTAAACCAGGCTCAAGACCTGGGCCAGATTTTACTTATATATCATGCAATAAATACTTCTTTCCTTGCACTTAGTAACCATGGTAAAATCAAGTAGAGCTCCCAGTAGATGATTCGATGGTTGTTCATTTTCAATTTCCAAATGGATGCACTGCTACCATCTCACGGCCATTGAAGGACGATCTAGGACTGATGACCCAGTCTTCTGCAGATCCAGAAGACTGTCTATTGCACATGACATTCAAAAGTAAACAACTACCTCCTTGTCTAACAAGAGATCTATCTAATCTTACTGAATGTACTGCACCCTTTTGCTCATATGGCTAAATCTACTTCTACCGGGGAGACCCCTACTTCCCAGTCATCTCGCATTCATGGATTTATTTCAGTCTGCCCCAGCGCTAGGTTGGAAATTTAAATAAAGTTGAGTGCACTAAGTAGGGTGCAACTTCCTAGAACCAGTTTTTTTAAGCGAGTGGGAACAGCCAAAGGAATGCTGAGCTCATGTACCCAACTAGGCAGTGAGAGGGTCGGATAACACCAAATATGATGCCTCTTGCAGTCTTCCAGTGATAAGGCTAACTCTTTCAAATCTGATGTCTGATTAATAGGTAGTGCATCTGAGCGCTTGCCAGTGATGGTACAGAAGGTTCATTCTATGAAGTGCGAAAGATAGCTGATGCGGTTCACCATCACCAGCAGATTGCATACTTGACCCTCTGACAAAAAGTCATAGGGGGCAGGGTATTATTGCTAAGGTATGCACAAAAAATTTAAGATAACAGAATGAAAAAATAGATTTATAGGTTCCACGAAGAAGAGAGAGAAAATAGCGTGTTTAAATCAGGTTTTTAGGTTACTAACCTTCCCATCACAAGTTGAGACCCTGTGACTTATCACATATTCCTCGTAAGTGCCAACAATTATTTCAAACATTTCTTTAGCATCAATCATTTTGCAGACAGCGAGATGCCGGTCGAAAGAGAAAAGAGAGGAATTTCACACAAAATTTTAAAAAAATTTCACTATTTGTTTGCATACAATCCAGAATTCAGATGAAAACACGTTAGACTACTCTAACCACAAAAGGGTCACCTCCCTCAGTGACCTCCGCTTTTGTTTTCCCAGTAATGTATCCTGCAAGATATGCAATACCACAGCACGCATGAGGACCGCGGCAACGTAGTAGTTGCGTTATTACGTTAATTGTTATTAAAGGATGAGATGAAGGACTCTACTAGTGAGTAGTGAGGACAGGCAGAAATGCAAAATTTCACGAAATGATTGATATTCGGAAATTTTGAATTTTCTAATTGAATTCTCGGATAGTTGCGGATAGGTTGCGGATTACATACGCAACCAAAATCGCTGAAAAATTTAAATTCATGAAAAATGAAATTTCACATTTCAGCAAAAAAAAACTATATGTTTTCATTTTGCATCGTTTGACAGGGGACGAGTTATTATAGGGAGGGACAGCTGCCCCCTTCCCCGCTTCTAATGATAGTGACTTGTACGAGAGATGTAATTTTGGCAGCTTGTCATCTTTATTTTTGGGGTCGAATCGAATCGAGGGTATCGAATCGGGATATTTAGAGAGCGTTTTTTGAAATTTCGCCCCCCCCCCCATCAAACAAATTTTGTCTCCTCCCATCAACTTGACACCTCCCCCTCCCTTAGAATTTGGTGAAATAATGTGTGTCCCTGAGACCCTGGGCTTGAGATTCTATTTGCTTTTAAAAATAAAAAAAAGTTTCCTTCTCTCAGACAAATGAATGCGCAAAAATATTCTAATATGAGTACATAGATATTGAAACAAGTTTTGAAAAGGATACTGTCAGTGACAGACCAGGTGATTGAGGAGTCTTGGTAAAATGCAATGAGGTCTTAGGCCAGAGATGCAAAATGAAATATCAACGATTTTTCAAAGGCTGCATTTGCAACCCGAAACTATCATCCAAGAATTCGATAGGAATCTTTGAAAAACTTATATCCCCCAGAAATTTTAAAAGTAAAATTTCACTGTTTCTATGCCCCAATTTCAAAATTGGTATTAAACTGTAACCATGCGTTCCAAGGCATTATTGCGAGTCCATTGCAGAATCTTTAAAAATTTCATGAAATTTCATTATAAAAATTTTTAAGAAACTTTGCATCTCTGGGCATCCCTCATTGCAATACTTGACCTCATGACAGCATACTTTTACGAAGTGATCTATTAAATACTTCAAACAAGGTAAAAAAAACATATTGAACTCACTTGAAAATAAATAAAAAAAACCTTTATTAAGGATCGGTAACAAAATAAATGCAATACAAAATACTGAAAATAAAATAAATAAAATAACTTATATGAAAAAAAGAAAAAAATCCAAGGGAAAAATTTGAGTGTTGTTGAAATTCAAATTAGGAAATTCGAAAAAAAGAAGAAACAAAAAGTTTGAAGTAGAATATTTGCTCAAAAATCCCTTAAAAATGTTTTATTGAAAATGATGCAAGTAAAGAAAATTTTCACAAACCAGTATCAACATTTACAGATAAGATTCATCAAATTTAATTTATTGAAAATTAGATGACATCATCTTTTCTTTTCTTCTTCTTTCTTTTTTTCTTCATTTGGAGTGTCTTAATGGCAATCGCTGCTATCCAACTAAGAGCTTAGTTTCTGATCTTTTTGATACAGGAGTCACTTTCTACACAAAACTTTGAATTTAAAGAAGCTTTGAAAAAAAGGTTTTATGGAAACCACAAATACTGCTCATCAAAAATGAAATCGCTTGATTCGTATATCTTGTATTCCAACGCCTTGAGACCATTTTTACTGTGACAGAAGCCAAAGTCCATTACTTGTAATAGAAAAGACGGAGAGAGTTTAAATAAAATAAACTTAGCAGAAAATATTATTATGTATAAAGTATAAAGAATTTTACATGTATAAAGGAAACCTATCTCATCTTTCAAATAAAATTCAGAGTCCGTCAAGAAAGTAAAACTGGTCAAATCATACAGTTTTTAATTCTCTTGTGACAAACTTCTTCTGATAACTGAGCTCAATTATAATGCAAGGATTAAAACAGCTTATAATTGTATACGTTTGAGGAAAAAAAAGGGAGAACAACTTTATGTTTTGAAATCTTATCTAGCTTTTCTCCAAAAAGGGTCTCATTATGAGAGTAAATATTGAGTATCAAAAACAAAAAAGTAGAAAGCACAGTTAATACTCTTCACCCTCTTCAGCTAAACACGATTTTTTTTAAAACTATTGGAGGGATCATTGAGTTCTCTGAAAGTTTACAAAAGTAATTATACTGCAGTTTAAGAGACTGAGTGTATACTGAACTTTGTTTATTTAACAAGGTTGAAAGGAAGCTTTGGACTCTTACAATATAAAAGGAGTGATCTGATGTGAGGTCCATGAGAGATTGGATCGAATCTTGATCTACTGACTGGCAAATACAAGTTTCTGGCGGAAACAAACTTGAGTACATGCATCTTTAAGCACTGAGCACATTTCACTAATTTGAGATGTTGATACAGCAACATTGATTGTTAGTAAGATACTTGGCCTCGGCATGAAAACCTCTTTGTCCAAATAAGTTGGCATTGACAGGATAATGTTTCTCTTGAAACACTGAAAATAAAAAAAGCCATTGTTAAATTAATAAATTTGAAAGTCAAGGTTGAGGACTGTGATAATAATTAATAAAGGACTTTTTTGGTAAGATGGCAAACCACAAAAATTAATGTTCTGTGGAAAAAATTCATTTCAAAATTAAAAAGAGGGGATTTTAAAAGAATAGAGTCCAACTGCGCCAGCTGTTGGCTATAGCTCATCATGCTTATATTTGAAAGCGAACAGTTGGACTATTACTGAAACGCACTGGGGACAAAATCTAGGATAAGGGAAATTGGATGGGAGCAGAGGACCGCTAATGCTGTTTCCTCCAGCATGAGAGATTCAATAGGGAAAGTTTATCAATCCAGATCTGTTGTAAGAAAGTAATAGAAGCTGTGTCGCTTTCAGTGTTAACCATTCCGATGATTTTTTTAAAGAAATAAGAAATTATACACATGTAATTTTAATCTTTTGAGAGTTTGTTAGAGACAAAAACATATGAGGACTTATACATATGTGAAAAATTAATTTTTCGAAACACATTCAAGAAACTGTTTTGGCATCAAGAAAATTTTGAGAAAATACTTGAGATGTGATCTTCGAGATCTGTACATTATGCCAGAGCCAAACATATTAAATTTTTGTGTGAACAAAACAGTTTTTTAAGCGTGTTTCGAAAAGGTAATTTTTCACATCCGCCATTGTTACATATCGACGGCGAAACTACCAAACCACGTATCTCGGTTTGCGACGTCGCAGACTTCCTGTCATACTTTATTTTTTAAATGAAAAACTACTTAACAACCAGTCTTGAAAATTTCTGTGATTTTTCCTCTTTGTGCGGAGAAAATTCCGTGAAAATTTCAAGGAATGATATTGATTTGGTCTACTTCAAAAAAATAAAATGTGAGCGTAGATTTTTAAACACCGCAAACGAGATACGTGGTTTGGTAGTTTCACCGTCGATATAAGGCCTCATATAAAGACTTGAGCTAAGGAGGAAAAATGTATATTTATATACCAGCCACTGTATAAGTCTATACCACTATATCGTCAACCGCTAGACAGGGTACAAGTTTAAGCATTTTGATGTATGTTTCTGCCTCAGTATTTCAAGTAGAACACGATTTTTGCGATGAAAATTTCCCGACCAGGATATTAAGAAAAACGTTAACATCGTTGTTAGGAGTCAGTAATTTGCGTTGTAAAAATTGTGTTCTATGTGAAATTTTGATGAGATAATGTTTATCACAATACTTCTATACGCACCTTGTTCAATAATTTTTTATACTGAGGGATGCTTAAATGAGGAAAGGAAACAAAAGGGGAAACAAAACTTGAACTTACATATTTAACGATGGATTTTAAAATGGTCTCTTCTTCATCTCTTGGAAGGGACACAACTAAAAATAAATGTTTGATAGGGCTTTCTTCATGTCCACTCACAGAGAAAAAATCGGATAGCAACTTTCTCAACTGCTCATCAATGTATCTACACTTGCTACTTAGTTCATCTTTTAGTTTCGCATCTTGCTCTAGAACTTCAATAGCTGCCATTCCAGCCTCCGTTAATATTGGAGCCAAAGAAGCAGAGAAACAATATCCTGGAAAAAAAGAGGGTCATAATGAGCTAGGTATTGCAATAATTCAAGATGGCAAAGGACAATGAGAGAAAACAACAGTTTACAATTAATGGTCTTCTCAACATTCTGAAACCATAATAAAAAGTCTCACATGCATCACTATGGCTCACCTCATGTCTGCATTGCCCAATGATGGATAACAAAGGACTACAGTCTACTGTGAATATTTGAATCATCAATCTTAAGATTCTGCACTTTCCAAAAGTACAGGAGTATTTGTATTACACATGTAAACTCTTTTACCGAAAGATTCAACATAACATTTCCTTTCAGTTTTGCTCTACTGGAAACAGGCTAATCCCCATAAAACTTAAGATTATTAAGTTGGCTGATATTCAGAGTTGGGCCAAGTATCCTCCAACTATCCGGAATGCCAGATTATCCAGCCGGGTACCAGTGGCGTGGCGTGAATAATCGCTTATCGATATCTCGCCATTTGAAGCTATGGTAAAGAATCGATTACTAAGGTGTTCGCTGCGAACACCCTGATAATCGATCTTTTTTCTTAGGTTTAAATGGCATAACAATCGATATATCGCAATTCACGCCATGCCACTGCCGGGCACTGGATATCCAGTTCCGACCGGTTGTGATTTTCGCGGGTAACCCAACGAACTACACCTCTAGAATGGCCGCGAGATAGCAAACCTGCGTAACGCGCATGGGCCGGTTTTTGAAGGCAGGAGGGGGGTGGGAGCCCAAGTATAGCTAACCTCAATCTCCATTTCTGCTGCGTCTTGCCCATAAGGATTACATGTGAAAATTTCAACCTTTGTAAACTTTCATTTTTTTGAGGTTTTCTTTCAAAGTTCCTATTTTTTGAGTAAAGAAAACCTTTTGAGGTGCGATTGTTCAGCAATCTTTTCATTGCTATCACTTTATTCAACAATATTCGGCAAAATGTGGGCAGCGTCTGACATGGGTTTAGATGGCAGCCTGCTGTGTGAGCCCAAGTAAACCTAACCTATATCAACTTCAAAACGTTCCAGGTCTCTAACACTGGTCAGCCATTCTAGAGGTGTAGTTCGTTGGGGTAACCATTGGCCAAATGTCGCACTATCCTGTATGTCACTCTTGATAATTTTAGAGTGAAAGAGGTATCCGTCTATTCTATGGATCACACTAAATGATCCAAGTAATATCCAAAAAACTTGTTGATAGAATTGTTTGAAAATACCATAGAAAAATCTACTTGATATTGTCTATTAATTGAAAATATTCACTACTCAATGAGGGAATAACACACCTAGGCCAGAGAGACGTTGCTGTTCTACAACATAAGATGTTCCTATGACAAAGCCTCCACCAGAACCGAGAGAAAACTCTAGGCTCCCCATTATAAGATCCACTTCAGTCGTCTGGAAAAAAATTGATTTGCATTAAATTTTGAAAACTAGTAAGAAAAAATGAGGAGGTACTTATAAAAAAAAGAGTATTGCATATTTGAGCACAAAGCATTGAATAAAGCTGATTTTTAAATTGGTTGGAAGTTAATAGATTTGGTAACAAAATGATTAGGAACATAAACTGCCAAACCAGCAGACTTCTCACAGGGACTTTTTGCAATCCTTGAGTGAGTAGTATTTAAAAATCTACATGATAAATAACGCTACAAAATAAGGTTGAAATGGCTTAAGGTAGCATCTGCAACTGCATCCATGGGCGTCTTATTCGCAAAATTTTAGGGAGGCAACAAAGGGTCTATTGCAAATTTTTGCTGACGTGATAAGGAAGAGATGTTTCATGAGGAAAGTGGATGATAAAAGCTGGATGAGTCAATTTTTAATAAGAGAGTATCCTATGCATGCGTACTGACCGGAATGTTGAAATATTCAGTTACACCTCTCCCTGTTTTTCCAATTGTAAACAGAGATATACTTTCATCAACAAATACACGAAGTTTGTACTCTGTGCAAAGAGCGACAATTTCTGGCAGTTTACAAATATTGCCTGTGTTCATATAGATGCCTTCAATGATACAAAATCTCCGAATTTTCTTGGCTTTTGATGGATTCTGGAAAAAAAAACCAAAACAGGATTTCGATGTCACAACACGAGAGAAATCAGACAAGAAAAGTTGGAGGGATGAAAAGTAGTATTGATGTGTAAAAAAAATAAAGAGCTACGATTGAGGGCTTTGAAAGTTGATTGAGGCTTACTGAAATTGTGTAGGGGTACATATGTAAACCAGATTAAAATTTTCCTCTGAAATTACGTGACAAAAATCTGCCCTAAGCATGGATTCATTAGAGAATTGTGGGTTCCTATCATGATGGATAAAGAAAAATGCTTACTTTTAAGTCCTTTTTTCTTTGCTCTTCAAGCTTTGCTTTTAGATCATCCATATCATTATGTTTGAAAAATACAATTGTGCTGCGGGACGCATCTAGTCCCTTTTGAATTCGGAAATTCACTTTTTCATCCCTGCAAAGAAAAAAAAAACAAATTGAGCATAAAATCATACATATATACAGTACATAAGAAACTAAAAAGAGAGGCAATAATCTACCTTGAGGCATAGGATAGTGCATGTTGTAAGTACAGCTATCAACTTGAAAAATAAGCATCTTTGTCTTACCATTTTATTATTAATTACTATGAAAATGTTTCTCTAACAAAGGAAAAAATGATCTATTGCCCAGAACAAATTACACCCTCAGTTGAAAAAGGTACTTGTGTCAAACACAAGTGATTACCTTAGAATTAACCTCTGAACTGCCAATCTGATATTTTACGTAGATTCATGATCATTGGAGTGAAGCTTTTAAATCTCCTCACTTTTCAAAAAATTCTAAAAAAATCTTGAAACTGGGAAGGTAAGTAGAGCCCGGCAATTTTTCAGACTTTGTACATAGTGAAAATTTGAAACCTTACGCAAAAATAATATCTGGTTTCTTGGCATATGCAGATATAGCACTTGCCACGGCTGAAAATCCATACGAATACAACGCAGCTTCTTCCATTCCCATGAAATCAGCTAACTTTTGTTCCAGGTTTAAGTGGATATCTATTTAAAAAACAAAAACAAAAATTTCATATTACTTCTAAAAATCAGTTGACAAGTATTACAAAAGACAGTCAATTAATGCTCTCTTCTGGAGGATAATTAATTTAATTTTTAAAATGAAAATGGGGAAAATTTTTCACACCTTGATTGCCTGTTCTATCTTAACACTGCTAACTCTAATTTCCAGGTTTTTGTGATCATCTTTTATTTTTCCCCGATGTTCAAAAGTGGCTCATGAAAAGTACAAGCTTTAACATTCTAGATTGTGATTTCAATGGTTTGAGACTCCGAATCTTAAGTCATAGCTACCGTTATTTTTATTTTTTGTGGATCAGAGCTCCATGATATTTAATTATAAATTCTAATTTTATAAGGGTGTCTATTTAACTGTGTCAGTTTGCTACTCATAATTATACATTTTCTTTTTTTCTTTTTGTTAAAACAAAGTCACTTCTCAAATTTTTGGACTAGAATTCGAGGAAATACAGTGAGAATGAATGATTTTTTTTTTTTGGTTGAGGTTTTTGTTCATTTCAAATGCTTCAGTTCAATAGGATGGATCTCTGCTTTTCCAATTATAGATTATTGAATGAGACTCTTCCTTTCATCCCTTAAGCGCTTTTCGCAATTTATACTAATTTCATCAACTTAATTTTCTTAATTATCTGATGTATATCGTTTTCTTTGATCAGTTGTTGTGGATTTTGCTCCCAAAATGAACACTTTTTTCCAATTCTATTGAGTTCTATTCTTATATTGAGTTAAATTCTTTAATTTCACATCTTTTGTTCTTTGTTGACTACTTTAAATAAGGTTCCAGCAGGGGTAATAAAATTTAAGGGGTGCTGTTTTTCAACTGGTATTGCACAGGTAAGATTACTTTAATAGCATTAACACCATCATGAAAAATTATGCCAAATTAATGTGGTGCTTTAGTTTATATTTTATACCAACACTGATCGATTGGTATATTTTGCATCTCTACTTGAATATAGGAACTCGCACAGCAGAAATGCAATAGTTGTCCTGATTTCATTCCTGAGAGGACAAAGACATTTCAAGATGAAAAGAGAGGAAAGAATACAAAAATATACCTAAGGTTCCATAGAACCCTCGAGGTCCACAGGTTCCTACTCCATATTTGTGGAGACAATCGATGACACGCTTCTCTACTGTAGGATTCGCAGCAAATCCATAATAATTATGACTAGCAAAGTTGAGGAAATTTTTCCCATTGATTTGAGTAATGACATCAACCTACAATCATAAGAATAATCAAATTATTGGGAATTACTTGGTCAAAATTGCAAAAGCTGCGTTGGTCCTGGAAAAAAATCAGTGACATTAATTTAAGAGTATTTCTTAATTTCTCCAGTTGGTGATACTAAAACAAAACTGAAGTTTAGCAGGAGGTAGCTTCGTTAGAACTAAAGCAGTGAAAAAACAATAACTTTACTCGCAAATTTTGTATTAAGTCACGAGTCAAGGTAATTTAATATGCATTCACCATTTTTTTTTTTTTTACTAAGCAGACCTTAATATTTTCTCATTCATCATACTTTCAACTGAGCAGTGTATAATTCTTTAACCAAGCATGATTTTAATATGTTCACTAATAGACGAACAATACTAACATAGACTTTCAATTTCTTCTTGCAATATGAATGATCAATTTTGGAATCCTTTGAGAGTTCTGTAAGTTTTCTGACTATGAGTTCTGATGAAAATGACAACTAACCGACTGTTCAAAATGCATAGCCGCAGAGTCACCTGCAATATTGTCAGACTTCAGAGACTTGTTTTTCTTGGAAGAATATTGCCAAAGTTATACTAAGACTTGGGGAGAAAATGAGAGGTTTCTTTTGAGACCACAATGCTATTTAATTTTATACATTTACTATCGAGTATATTTTGGGTGAAGTCTCTGATAATAAAATATTGCAGGAAATTCGACATTGGTGCAGGTGACTATGCAACTTGGTGACTGAAACATCTGTATACATGTCACTTTTATCGGAAAATAGATGAATAAATAAAACGATAATTAATTAAAACTTACTTTACTGGTTACTAATGGGTAATTGGCAGGGTCTCGATCTATAGGAGGCTCGGAACTGGAGACTAAAGGTTCTGGATGCCAATTTCTTATGATTTCTTCCTCTTCCTGAGCGACAAAAAAACAAATTAGGCGACTATTATGGTCAATCTTTTGTTATACAGAGCAAAGAAAAAAACAAAACAGAAAGAGCACCGATTACTTTGAGAGGAAACATATCGGCAATAATGATACATTTTCAGAGGAAGAAACACCTATGTAATCAGTTCCACGATAAGACATTCATCTATCATTTATCTTCAATAAGTCCTAAAATTACGATGGCTGGAAGTCTTCTATGGGTACATCACATTCTTTAAAAGACCACAACACTGTAAAGGGAAATTTGGTGCAATGTTAAAGCTGCAGAACCAGTAGATCTTAAATTGGGGCTGGTAAATTGTTTGGCTAAGCTTGTAGAGTAAAACAAAATATCTACCAGGTAATTTCTACTTGAAACTAGATGCAAAAATATTAAGAATTGTTAATGTTTAAAATTAAGAAGAGAGTTTGGAATGATTTTTTGGCCTTCATAAGCCTCTTTGCCTGCTTATTTGAAAATGTTAACAATTGACATACCTCCAGTGAAAGAGCTGAATGTTTTTTCTTCCTCCAACTGTACAAACACCACAAGAAAACAACTCCCAATACGCTTTCCAATAAAAAATCTTGCAGAGATGCCTGTGAAAAAAAAGGGAGAAAAAATCAGACTCTTCTGATTGAAAAAGGAAAGGGATTGACAGCAAAAAATCAAACAGAGAAAAAAATTCAAGCACAGAAGGAACTAAAACAGGGGACATGAACATAAGTGTGAGCAGAGAATTTTTTGTGGTGTTCCAAATCAAAAAAATCTGGGGTGTGCTGGAACTCTAGGAACACCCCCCCCCCCCCCCCCCCCCCCCNTCGTTACTGCGGTCCCTGGAAGATCTTCCCAGCAAATTTTGGTCGAAGTTGACTTCTTTTAGACACCAATGGAATATACTTCGGTGGCACAAACTGCATTCAAGGAAATTGCTGCAAATTAAGTAACCTTTTTTTATCATTTTAACAAAAAATTGAAGAAAAAAATGGTTCAAAACGAATACCAAATAATAAAAGATGCATGTCTGTACGCTGATTCTGAAGTGGGTACATAAAATATTGGCCATTGGAAAGTTTTGCTAAGAAAAAGGTAATTGAAAATGAAGGAATAATTCTACAGCGAATTTGAATCTATTGATAGACCAGTATAGCATTTAGCGCAAAATTTATGGATGTGCCATGGCAAACTTTGGCACATTCTTACTGCACATGCCGATGGACATGAAATAAGAAACTATCTGGGCGGACATGTTCTTAGTTCAAAATGAATGCATGGCTTGATTGGTGAGGCATTATTTCAATCCGCTTGAAATAATAATCCACTAAAACTATCTTTTCCTACTTAAAAATTTTAATGAGGGCATTTTTGCTGCTTTTTGCCTAAAATTTTAATTTTTCAACTGAGAATCGTCCTAAAAATTTCATTGTTGTTGGTTCAATAATACCTTATGATGTAGGGTGACCCAGTAAAAGGTATAACAGCGACTATCAACTTGGATAAAAATACTATACTAGTATTATTATGATTGCTTTCAGTGCATCATCTAAGATCCAGATAAAAGAAACAAAATAATATTAAAGATGTAGAGTGTGAGTCTATGGCTTGAGTAGTGTGGAAAGGGGGAGGTTGCAACGATATCAGGGCTTTTCTCGTATTTGCAGATCAAAGTGGATTTAGTTAGACGTCAGTAAGATTTGGACCATGCTATATGCCAAGATATAAAACCATTGCATTGCATCATATGCTGCTGCAGCGCAAATAAAAGAAGACCTGGTGTGACTAGTGGGTGAAGGGGGAAGTTTCAAACAATGAGCACTCATAAATTTCAGCGTTCAAAATTACTTTAAAACACATTTCACTTTCCTTTGAAACATCGTTAAGTAGGATGATTTCTCGTACAATTTCCAAGTGATGTACCTACATGGATCAAAATGCAAAAGCTGCGTTAAGCAAATACCCTATAGACTGACTTAGGAAATGATGAGGCACTTGAAAAAACTTGTATACTTAATGATAGGAGATGGGGACAGTGAGTAAGAGAAGATAAGTTTGTGCGGGCTTACATTAAGGATGAATTTGTTAACGCTGATAAGAGGTTCGAAAACCATGTTTCCAGAAATACAGGAAAAACTAGGTGGAAAACACTGAAAGCACTACTGATGGATGATCAGAGATCCTTGAAAAAGTGGGCGATGCCGCTGGATCTGGATGCGGAAATTACAGTCGCGATAAAATGATTTCCTCTCGCGAACCAATTACTCATAATTACATGATTGCCGGCAGGATATTCTCTAAAACAGATGGATAGACAGACGTGATAGACGTGAGCTGTAAAACGTAACCTTAACTTTCCTCGTAAATGAAAACAAGAGTCACGTGATGCTCATGTGGTCATGTGATCTCTGATGTGAGAAGCATAAACATTTGCATAGACGAAAAATTGAAGGCGTTTGCAATGCGATTTGTTTTTTCCGAGGTGGGTTTTTTCTTTGACCACTCCTGACATCGCCGCGCGTCGCTCCGTGTCGCGGCCGGCTACGCTGCCGTGCTTAAGGAACAACGACTTTAGTCTCTTTATTCTATGGAACAACGCTGTATGAACATTCGACAGTTGCCAAATTTACCTCGATAAAATGTTTATTTTTGAGGTAAGTTGTGAATATTTTTCCTATAAATTTTCAGAATCATTTGGTGACATTGCGAACAAAATTATCTGACAAATTGGGAGGAAAATATCCATAAGTTTACCATAAAATCGTGGCCAGCGCGAACAAGGACAGAAAATAATGATACCATTTCACAGAGACCTATAATCTTGATGTTCGCGAAATTTAAAAATTCCAAAACAAATTTTGAAACATCTAATTGTGAGTATGTGGCTCATTAACCAATTGGGAGCGTATCAGAAGGACCCATGAGGGGAGCTAAGAGGCAGAGGAGGATTTATTAGCACGTAAGTAGTAACTTTAAATTTAGGAGAAAAATACTACTAATACACTTCGATATTCAAAGTACAAAACCACGTATCTCTAATGCAGTGCTCCAAAATGTGTGTTTCTAATTTTTTTTTTTGGAGGGAGCCAACTTTATGGCTTACATTTTATACAGAGTATTCTGCTAACAGGGGAAAAAATCGAGGAAGTTTTCAGATTAAGATTACTGGCATAGGCGGTTCTAGACCTTCATGCTTGGGGGTGCCCAGAGGTAGAAAATGTCGTAGACCGGCCCCGAAGGGGAACGGTAGCTCAGGGGAGGCCTAAGTGTCGGCCCTCAAGTTTCATCCCTTTCCTACCCTCCTTTCTCTTTTTCTCTCCTCCCTTTCTACCTAAATACCTCTAAATTCAATGTAAAATTTTTTTAGCAAAACTTTCCATCAAAACTACAACCTTACCTTAAAAAAACAGTAGAATCTTTGTAAAACACGGCTATCAATATTAATTTTTGAAGTCATATCAACCTCATGATTTACCAGAAGTCAACTTTTGACGAGATCCTCCCTCCTCCCATCACCCCTTGCCTATAATCATTGAATACTGGACACCTGCAGATTTCAAAAATTCATGAAATAAAAATATTGCCAATTTTTTGCGCTTCATAATACGATTTTTTCTCGACGTTTTAACTTGCCCAAAAGCCTCTTTCACGGTTCCGGTAACCGTACTTAATTTTTGCTTGGGGGTGCCCGGCACCCACTGGCACCCCCGTAGAACCGCCTATGATTACTGGTTTTCCGAGGAAAAAATAAAATATGACAGGAAGTCTGCAGCATCACGGAGAAACGTGGTTTCGCACTTAGGTATAGGCCATATTGATTTATATTATTCTTAAAGTCCATAGAGAGACATTTTTATGGGAAGATTGGGGAAGAGAGAGAGAGAGGGGGGGGGGGAAGGAAAGAAAGAGAATGCATTATTTTATCAGATTAAAGTAAGGACCTTATAATAAGAATGGTAAGTACCAGTCATACTTGTTTGACCTCCATTTAAAAGCTTGAACAACGATGAGCTGGTAAGCCGGCCATTGAATCATTTAAATCCAATTCATTCAGTTTCAATTCCTTATCGACTCTGTTTATCGGGGTGTCAGGGTAGCCTGACCCTCGGAGGTTCGCTTAGCCTAGTCCGTTGACAATACACTTAAAGAGGAAAGCACCTCTCGTAAAATTTTTGAAGGGCCTAAAGGAAAGACGAAAGATCGAACTTTATATTCTCTTCAAAAGTGGTACTAAAAAAAAGGGCCGAGCGAACATTTTTAATGGCTTAAAGTTAGATTCGAGTTATCCAGGTAACTAAGGTAACTTCGGGGCAGGACGTAGAGTATCACCCAGCAATGAAGGCTTGTAAAGTCAAAATCTTGTTAATGTGAGGATCTCTTAATGAGTGGAGGCAGTTTCTCAATATCTTTAAAAAATTCCATTGACAAGTTATTATGTTGCATTAATAACATAAATGTGTACAAACAAATGTCCCATGATAATCAACCCAAAATAAAGGATAAATTGGTGGATGACTTTAAATGCACGATGTCGACTTGGCGAACCAGAATACTGCCCTGGTAAGAAAGAGCACAATGCTTCCCGACCAATTCTTTCGGGCTGAGACTGTTTTGAAATAAGTGCATTCGTGCGTGTGACAATCCATTTATCAAATAGATTTACAGGACATCAGTTGACAAAAAACAAAAATGATCAGTAGAAAATTGATCTATTGAAATTTCGAGCCAAATGCAAAAATGAGAAGAGGTTTCTTGTCAGTCTGCCTTCAATTTCTAAGTTAGGCAATACCAGCTCCCACGTGGTCGATTAGTGGCATCCTGCCCTATGGATGGTCATTGGTCGGTCTCTGTCGGCGAATTTCTTGTTGACGCGACAACATAAGAATATGAAAAGAGAAAGGAGAGGAAATCGAAGAAAAGAGAAAAACAGAAGAGAAGGGGAAAAGAGAGCGAAAATGAAAAGTCTAAGAAGAAGAAGAAGAAGAAGAATAAGAAGAAGAAGAAGGTAAGAGGGAAAAGTAGATATAAATAGGAAATGAGAAAAAAGAAGTCAGAGAAAGAAAAAGGAGAAAAGAGAGAGGAGAAGAAGAAAAGGGAAGAAATAAGATGGAAATAGAGAAAAAAGAAGAGGAAGGAGATGAACATAAGAGGACAAAGAACAAGAGGAAGAAGGAGAAATAAGAGGGGAAAAAAGGATAGGAGATGACAAGAGAGAGGAAAAGAAGAGGCAGATGAAGAAGAGAGAAATGGGAGGAAGGAGATAAAGAGGGAGGAGGAGAGAAAGAAGAGGAAGGAAAGAGAAAGAGAGGAAAAATAAGAATATTAAGATGAGGGAAAGTGAAAAAATCGTACTATAATTATTCGATTCACTTTCGAGTATGTAAATATACATTTTCACTGAGAATTTTTTCTCTTTCTGTAAACTAAGTAGGTAGAGAAAAATCAATTTTGAACCGCCCAATCTTGGGTATTCCGATCAATTCAAGGTTGTTAAACGCGAAGAAGCACTGGAATAATCAGTAAATTCCCAAAAATTTAATAACCTTTTCCTTTGACCTTCTTGTTGTACTGCCGCGCTGAGGAGAAACGCCATTTGAAACTTCAAGCGTCGCCCAATTTTCTTTGATGAGATACAAATTTATTGGAACGATTGTAAATCTTTTTTTTCCAATTTTTCAGGCAATTTTGTGCAAATATCTACAATACCTACTTGAATATTTTAAGGGAAAAATGCACATATTTCTTCCCAAATAAATGTTTCATCGTGGAGAATTCGAATGCTCATTGCTCATACGGCGTTTTTCTAGAAGACGGAACTATAGATGGAGACACAACATCAAATAATGCCGTTCCCTACATTTCCTGGATACAGGATCCAGCTGTCGCATAATATAAACGATTCATAAGACAGAGAAAAAAGTAAGAAAAGAAGGAAACCATTTAAAAATACACGCTGGAAGGAATTAAAGCGGAAAATTTGCCATCCATCGTAGGTGCCAAGGATCTATTTCTGCGGCTGCTATTAGTGCGGGTATAACTTCAGGTTCTCACGGGACGAAATCCAGGGGCGTTTTTTTCACAAATCAAGTGATGTCAGTTTTTTCTTGACTCTCGGATGCAAGGGCTAAAGGATTGGCTGAGAGCGAGCGTCGTCGGCGCGGTGCATAATTGCAAGTGGCTGAAACTTACCTGAAACGAATGAAGACAATCAAAGGAGAGGCAGAAGCCGAGAGCCCCGGATTCGGTCGCCCCCAGAGAAGGAGATTACCCGTGGGTTCTCATGATTTGGGCGTGTTTATGCTAAAAGGAACTATGAGCATAGGGTTTGCGCGCGGTATAGTTCCTTTCAGCATAAATGCGTCCATTTGACGCGATGCAGTTTCCATACAGGCTCATGCTCGATGCACTCGGAATACTCGGATCCTGTTTTGCTCCTTTATTAAGACAGCGCTGGCGGTGCATAAATTTGTTTTGTGGGGTCATCCTCAGTCGGCGTTCGCTGCAGCCACCGTGACCCTCCCTATCCCCCCCCCCCCCCCCCCNAACCCCGCAATGTCACCAGGCACTGCTGCCGCTCTAAGGAAGAACATGGCACAACGCTTGGCATTCGAATGTCACCACGAGAAAATTCCTATTTATTCTAATTAGTGACCAATTTTCGTCGAAAAATTCACAAGTACACATTTAGTTTTACCAGGAGAAAAATTTGCAAGAAATCCATATGAACCACATATCGACGGTGAAACTACCAAGCCACGTATCTCGGTTTGCGACGTCGCAGACTTCCTGTCATACTTTATTTTTTAAATGAAAAACTACTTAACGTCCAGTCTTGAAAATTTCTGTGATTTTTCCTTTTCGTGCGGAGAAAATTCCGTGAAAATTTCAAGGAATGATATTGATTTGGTCTACTTCAAAAAAATAAAATGTGAGCGTAGATTTTTAAACACCGCAAACGAGATACGTGGTTGGGTAGTTTCACCGTCGATATGCGAAACTTTCCAGAAAATTCATGTTCTAATCGAGGAAATTTGGCGACGTTTGAAAGAACTTGCGGTCTTTTTTCTTGGCATGGCGGGATGGGAGACTGTGCGTTCATCCGACCGCTCTGTTCCTTTTTTCTCGCACCTTAAACACAAATAATTGTTGGTTCAGAATAAAAAGTACGATGGGTCCAAAAATATAGTCTTCCAAAGGTCTCGGAAATGTTTATTCTCGAGAGAATTCTTGCGACTAATTCTAGGATGAAGATCGTCTCGAGGAAAAATGAGAGAGCAGGCATCTGTGCCCTCTCTCCCGAATGGGCACTGTTTTATGTGTAAAGGGAGCCAGGTGACGTTGAGGGTGGATTTG